ACATGGAGGGAAAATCGGAAAATGTGAGACAATTCAATGACATCATCAAATCACTTTAATTGCAATCCCCTCGCAGGTTTGGGGAAATGAGTTAAGAGACTAAGGATATGGTCGTGCTCATATTTATGTTCCTGGCAACTTTGATTTATTTTCCTATTGTGGAAAAATTCCTCTATCTGTTGCTCCCTGATTGCCCAGAGCCATTTGGGTATCCTGAGATGTCTGCTCTTGAAACTAAGTGGAATTGGCATCTATTTATGTTTGTACCAGGTGACGCAAAATAATAGTAAGCCAGTTAACTTGAAAGTACAAATGGGGTAAAATCTTTAGTGCCGATTCTCAATTGGTGTATTTTTAATTAAAAGAAAAAACTCTTAAAAAGCAATGCTTCACATAGGAACATTTAAATATGGATTTTAAAATTTAAGCTTAATTTTATTTAATATTTTTTATTTGATAATAACTATCTTAGAATTTAAATATGATTTTAAGCTCACTAATAGTTTTTCTTCAGAGTCTCAAAATACATATATAAAACATTTAATAAATAAGCAAGTCAACTGATTTAAATGGAAAACCTCGAGCTTTAAGCTGGAATCTTTCAAACATCAGTATATTTTCTTATATGTTATATCTGATTGCCAATATACATTTTCAAATTTTATAGAGCTGATAACTTGGCCGCTATTATTGCCTGATTGTTGGATGTCGTGTTTGTTGGAGTGGTCATCGTGTGGCCATCGTCGTCTCCTCACATCCGCTGAGCATGTGTTTGCTGTTTTATTATACTTTTTGCATTTTGTTGCACTTTTTGTGTCTTTGTGGGGGCACGCAGATTTCCGCTGCAGCTTGACATTTGCAGTTGTCTATGATAAGAGCTGTGCAGCGGACAAAAGGCAACGCCAAAGGAGGATGATGATCATGGAAGCATGTCAATTGCACAAAGATACAACGATACATGTGTGTGGCGGGCGAACACTACTTATTTATTTTTACATGCGCGATGTCGTGCTGCTAAAGCGTGCAATTCTCCATAGTGTATAGTGGTATATACAATATAGTGGCCAGTAGCTGGATCCAGAGACAAATCAAAAGCACCAGACGACAAGCGACAGACGAAAAAGACCGCACGAATAAAAATTAAAATGTGTGTCAACAAATTGCTCAAATTATCAGCAGTTAAGCGCAGTGTGGGTATACTTGGAAAAAATTAATCTATTCATGAGGCTAAAAGTTCAAATTGAGCCACATTTCAAACAGTTTTTATAAACCAAAATTGTATATAAAGATGATATGAAAAATTGAAATTTCTGCGAAAAAAACAAGACTGTTATCATAAAATATATTTAAAACCTGCGTTTCTATTTTATTTTAATAACAAATAATATTATTTTTTTAGGTTAAAAATCCAATATTAGAACTGTTTAAACCTTATTAAATATAATTATTTTTTAAAATTAATAAAACCTCTAACCAACAAAGATCTGTCATTAATTTAACCACCTTTAAATTGGGATGCAGCAATAATTTTCTTTAAGTGTATAGTGTAAATAGAATAAAAGCGGCTTCACTGTACTTGAAGCGCACGCTGGTGGGCGGCATCGCATCAATCCACATGACAATGGACTAATTACGGGGAATCCATCACGAGAAATCATCCCACTATTTTAAAAAACTCATCACTTGACCCTGCTTCATCTGCCCTTTTTGGTTTGCTTTTATTTTTCCCATTCCACCACAAATCGATTTGCATACTAAATCACAGCTACTGTGAACACAAGTTTGCGTAGGCCTTTTATTTATGAATGATTGAAAATTAGCTGAAAATTGAAATATACAAAAATTTAACAGATATTGAGATTTTTTAAAAATTGGTTCCAACTTTTCTCAAATTCTTATCTACTTAAAACATAAGTAACTAAAGTATATAATATATAAATAATTTAATATATAATTAAAGGTACTATGTACCGTAAAAATCTAAAATTAATTTAAGTTAAAAATCCAATTGCATTTCAATAACTATAATATATTATTTCTTATATCTCTATAGTATATTTTATACTTTTTTAATATAAATATTATTCAAAACAAGAAAGAAAGCAAACTTCGGCAAGCCGAAGTTCATATACCCTTGCAGCTATTGCAAGAATTAAACATTTTTGAAAACATTAAAATTATGATTTACTTTCGTATATGTTTAAAAACATTGAAGCTATGATGATTTGCAGCTTAATTATTTGATTGTTCTTTTATATATTTTTATTATTTGTATGGGAGCTATATGATATAGTCGTCCGATTTTGATGATATTTAAACCATAATTCTGAAATATTTAACCATTGCTATATGTCGAAGAACTAAAAAAAAAATTAAAAAACAGCAAAGTTATAATTTTTTTTTAATTATTTTTCCGATTGTTCCTATGGGAGCTATATGCTATAGTCGTACGATTTTGATGAAATTTAAACCATAATTCTGAAATATTTAACCATTGCTATATGTCGAAGAACTAAAAAAAAAATTAAAAAACAGCAAAGTTATAATTTTTTTTCAATTATTTTTCCGATTGTTCCTATGGGAGCTATATGCTATAGTCGTCCGATCCGGCTCGTTCCGACTTATATACTACCTGCAATAGAAAGACAACTTTTGGGAAAGTTTCATGCAGATAGCTTTAAAACTGAGAGACTAGTTTGCATATAAACGGACGGACAGACGGACAGACGGACAGACGGACGGACAGACGGACGGACAGACGGACATGGCTAGATCGACTCGCCTAGTGATGCTGATCCAGAATATATATACTTTATAGGGTCGGAGATGTCTCCTTCACTGCGTTGCAAACTTCTGACTGAAATTATAATACCCTCTGCAAGGGTATAATGAGACAAACAATCCCCGTTTATCTAAAAATAACCGTGAATGGAATGCGGGAGTTTCCTCATATATGCACATATTGTCTCTGCAACTGCGATCCCCAGCAGAGCTGCCCATCAATGGTCACAAGCCCAACCCAAATTAAATAAATGGCTTTTGGCTCGTTGCTTTTTTTTAGGTGCGAATGCATAGGGAAAACATACATCCATCACTTGCAATTTTAATATTTCATTTTTGGTGCGTTGGCTGTTGGCGACGCCGACGCAATGACGTCACAAATGTATTTAACCAGTTGCCCTTGGCCCGATCTACCCTCTCACTCGCACTCACACTCAACAAGGGGGCGCGGAAATCGAGATTTATATTTTGTGCATTTCCACGGCTTACAGTTAAAAAATGTAGCATGAGTAATGTCCAGAAAATAAAGAGTTTTAATGAATGAATGAAATCATACTAATAATGTTTTATTTAACAATTTTGTTGTGAAAATAAAACTTATAATTTATATCTATATGACATATCAAGATCATAGGATTTTAATTTGTTTAACATTAAGCTTGATGTGAGAACAAAATAAATGTATAAAGTCCCCCAAAAATTGTTAATAAAATCGAAGATTTTATATAAAATATTTGATATTAAAGATGAACATTCGATTTTCTAACAAAAAAAAAATATAGAATCCTTAATATAATTAGTTTATCATACATATACAAAACTTTCACATCGGTAGATATTTTTTCTCGACACGGAAAAGATCACTCAATTACCCTGTCCAAACCTATTTACCACTCTTTTTCCGAGTGCATATTTGAACTTGTCACTTGTCTGTCTGGGATTTGTGAATTGGGCAACAACTTGATCAGAACTTGACTTGCCATTAATCCTCCACAGCAATCGACAAAAAAAAGAGGAGGAGATGTGGGCACTTGGCATGCTCAATAAATGATCGTGGATATGTTCTCTACTAGTACTCCATGTTTTTGTTTTCTTTTTCGGGTATGTTTTTGAAGTGCTCCACATTATTTTGCGCTTTCATGTGGCATGCCACGTCCCCCGCCCTCCGCCCCAAAATCATCCTGAAAAAACTATTTTCAGTTCGTCTGACACACATCTATGGGCAGGAAAAGCAAAAAGAAAATGAAACAACAAAAAAAAAGTGGGAAATGAGCGGGGTGAGTAATTGTTTACATTGCGCTTCTTGCGAGCTACTTTACGGCCCAGCATGTGACCCCGCCTCCTCAATTTTTCCACCGATTTTCTGCCCCCTTTTCCCCTAAAAACAAGAAAAAGAAACACTACAAAAATCGTACTTGTTGGTTTTTCTGCTCCCTGTATTTCCTTTTTTTGATGGATTGTTTTGCGGTCCACTGACATCCACGAAACTTAAAGTTTGAACTAACAGCAATAAAAATATCCAAAGGAAACACTTGTACACACGAAAAAAAGGATGGGCACTAAATGTAAAAAAAATTAGGCCGATTTGATCTCTGATTACCTTGAATTCTCTTCAACGTTTTGAAGATGTGTAAACATTTTTTTGGGTTAAAACATTCAAAGATATCCACAAGTTTGTTTACACCATGATATACTAAGTTTATAAATAACATTGAAAATAATTATTTAAATAATACAGATTGTCTAAACAATGAATTGAAGACGGCAAAGAGTATATAAACTTTTATCACTTCCAGACAAAATATTACTCTGTAAACAAGTAAAATGTTACGGTTTTTGCATTATTTTTGATCTATGTATTAAACATTTCTGCTTGTTCTTTTTTTGAAAATCATTAAATGCTAGACAAATTTTACTCTAAATTTAACGCATAGTTAAAGAAGTAACACAATTTTAAAAAATATGTTACAATATTAATTACTTTTATCAAAATTTAGAATATTGAACTGAAATATTATTATTTGAAAATTCTTTAATAATATAAAATCTATATTTTGCAGTTTTTGGAGAACTTTATAAATTCGACCTCCGTTGAAAATCGGTAATAATTTGGTTAGCCTGTTTATAATTCCAAAAAAAAAACTGCTGCTTCCCTTAAATAACGTAAATATTAAATAAGTGCATGATTGAAGGTTTAAGTTGACCCCAGGTTAACTTACGTTTGCAGAGTTGAGAGGTTTGTGGCCGAGGCACCTACGCCGCATGCCGTGGAATGCATTCTGCAACTTTCGCCGATTTTATTGTGCTCCTTATGGGATTAGCACCTCCTCCAGCTTTTGATGCCGCCAGCTGGCACAGTTCCGAACTCAAATCGTTTATGCCAATGCACGCACAATAAAAAATTACAAAAAAATACTAATGAATAAGAAATGTGGCACGGTTGGAATTCCTTTGACAGATTGTAATAGGTAATTTAGTTTGATTTTGATTGGGATTGTGAATTTAGTGTTGCTAGTTGCTAGTTGATGGTTTCAGATTGCTAGTTGTCGCGACTTTGGTAGCGACAATTTTGATAGCGGCGGCGTTCGCGACGTTCAATTTCCGACTAAATTCTTACTTTCCGCCGGAGATGCCGTCCGGAGATGCTGCGGCAGCGACGCCAGCAGAGGCAGAGGCAGAGCCCGGCCCCGTTTCCCATTAACATTACCATTTCATGCCACCTCACAGCTATCGCCGCAGCTATATACACAATCCGAATCCAAATCCACCCACGTGGGCCGGCCAATTGTTGCTGCCGTTCCTATAATTGTTGTTGCCTTAGCATAAACATTCGAGCATCCACAGACAGTGCCAGACAGCTATATAAGGCTGGTTATCGAAACTTTAAGGAGTTTCTTTTAAAATGTCTGCATTCAGTTAAAATAATTTATATACAATTCTTATTAATTTTTTTATCTAATTAACATGTTCCTTTAAAAAAACTGAATATGAATCAAAATAATTATATTAAGTTTAAATCTTGTAAAATACTTTATATAAATCAATATTTCACATTCTTCTATGTATTAAAAATTGTATATACAACTTCACAAATTGCCAAATTTATTTTAAAATTATATATTTGCAAAATATTTCCAAATCATATAAAAATAATAGTCACAGCGTAATGAATGAATTAAAAAACGTTGTTTTAATTATATAATTTTGAACTGCAGTGTCCAAACAAGATAAATAGCCAAAAGGAAATGCCTGACGTTACCGGCGTTGTTTTCAGTACTCTGTGTAGGTGAGCAATGCATGTCATTGTTTTATTTTACCATATTTAAACGACTCGAAACATCAAATACAAAAAAGCAACAGAAGTCCAACGCGGCGTATGAGCAATGTGAATAGCAATTTCTCAACTATGTTCAAAGAAAAATTGGGAAAATTAAAGGAAAGTGTCCAAAGAGAATTTCTCGCAATGGTTGTATATAAAATAATTCCGATTCCGGTGGATATTTCACCTCATTTCCCGAACTGGCAAACACATGTTGTTAGTTTTCGGGAATGGCTGCGGTGGCATGAATCGCATGAATCACGGCTGGATAAAATATATCCCCATAAAACTGGAGGCAAAAGCCAGCGAAAGTGAAATGTTTTCAGATGGATATATGGTCCAAGACATGGATTATGCGGACCGATAGATGAATAGATACTAAATATAATGTCGAAAAATCGAGTTTATAGGCTGGCCAACAAGGAGCGTCGGTTGAATTATTTTAACAAGGCTTAAGGGGTGGCTTGCCTTGAAAAACCATATTTATTTAATTATTTGAAAAAACTATTATATGATTTTAATTTATTTTTTAACATTTTAAAGGAAAACTCTCTGTATTTGAAAATCTTAACATAAACGTGCATCTAGTCAACTGCACATCCCTTTTTTCGTGTACTTCTCTGACTAAAGCTATAAACAATCCGCCACTTGTTTGTTTACCATACCCATCTGAAAAGAGGAAAATCCGAAAAGTGAAAATCGAAAAAAAGAATTAGAAACACAAGCGCTATGTGAGATATTCCATCTGGCCGTGTAATAAAGATCTTCGGGGTGGCGGGACTTACCACAAAAAAGGGAAAATAAACTATGCCGCGAAAAAGGAACGAGGGGGAGTACCTAGAATGTAAGAAAAACTAGGGGGAGTACGAAAATGAGGCACTTATGTACTTAGAGTGATGGCGAGATGTGAAGTCAAGAACTTGCAGAAACAGACACACTCGGCCACTTGGCATTGATGGGTGAGGATTTTGAGGAAATCCCACGGATTTCCACATTTGAGTGGTGTCACTTTGGCCCCACACTCAGTCCCTGTCCCTCCCCCTGAAAGCAACTCGTAAAAATCCAGAAAACCCAAGTGACATCAGCCCCGCGAAATTCTCGCTCGTTTCATGTTCGAATTTCGTTGGCCAAAAAAAAAAAAGCCGGAACGAAATTTGGCCAATACCAAAATTGTCTCTCAATTAAGTTTCAATTGGCACACAATAAGCCAAAAGCAAAACGAGGGCAAGTCGGTGGATTAGGCGAACTTTAAATGCCCTGGAAAGTACAAATTAAATGTGTTCTACAACATTTAAAAACAATTACATCTTTACTATTAAAGTTTATATTTTATACAGTAAATTATATACTTAACTTATTATGAAATATTATATTGAGAATATTCAGAGCTACACAAGTGACTGTACTTGTACTTGGAAAAGGGCAACCGGAGAAACTGACCAAGGTATCAATTAAAATTGGAGTCGCGTGGCGATTAGCGCCATTATCCGATATCCGCAATCGCAGTGGGCGCAGTCCGTGCTTCCGTCCCTTTTTCCTGTTCTACACAGAGCAAAAATATATCACAGTGGTAATTTCTATCTGATTTTTTTTTAATGGGAATTTATTATTTATTTTTTGAAGGCAAGAAGCGTCGCTCTGTGTACTATTGTTTTTAATTTAATTTATTTGTTATTTCTCTGTTTTTATAGTTTTCAATTTCAGTGTTCGCTAAGGTCACGTCACCTCTGGATTCGGCGTTCGTTGGCCTTTTTTGTTGTCTTTGCCATGGGTCTATTTATTGTTGTACTGTTTTCTGGGCCATAAACATTGGACTATGCAAGCAGAAAAATAAATAAGAACAAAGGAAACGTAGCTACAGAGAGAGAAAATTTAATTTTACCTAGTAAATTTATTTGTCAAAGAAATTTTAATTTAATTTTTGTAATTTCGTCCTTACAATTTTAATCTTTTTAATTATTATTAGTTGACTTGTTTTTTTTTTGTTAAGAAATTTAATTTTAATAATCTGCAATATATACGATTAAATTGATTTAAGAACTAAAAACTTATATGCACGCAAAGTAAGTGGATGTGACTAAATTTAAAAAAAAAAAACAAATATGTATATAAATATTTAAGAAATATTTAAAAATCTTAATATTATTCTGTAGGTACTGTTAAACAAATATATTATTTTTCGTAGTGCATGCCACTCCACATAAACTTAGTCCAGGTACGGATAGACAGGGGGTTCAACATCCACCCGATCCACTGGCCGAACCTGCAGCGTCTGCCAGAGTTTCCTCTTTCTCGGCTGCGACTTTTCCGGTTTCCCGCGGCTTCTCTGCAGATCACTGTAGGCGGGCGGCGGCAGCAGATTCCGGGGGAGAGCGCCACGGTTCCGACGAAGAATCCTACGGCCGGGCATCCGGACGGGAGTCAGCCAGCGGAGCTGCTCCAGGCGACGTTTGTGGCGCTGCCGGAGAGTCCGGGAGGCGCAGTACGGACGGACTGTGATGTAGAAGAACACCTCGATCACCGAAAAGATGCTGAAGCCCATGAAGAGTCCCAAAAGGCCGCCAGTATTGGCTAGAAAAAATAAAGAAATACAATGTATACATATTATAAGTGTTTTAGTAAAAAAGGTTTAAATAGTTTGTCAAGATGTAAAGAAAAAAGGAAAAACATTATAATTATAATAATAAAACATAATTTTAATAAATGTTAGATTTATTATTGTCCTTATATTAGTATAGGTGTTTCAAATAATCAATCAAACAAAACGATTTTATTTCAATTAATTTGGAATGTATACAGAAGAGTAATATGTTGACTAAAGTAATATTTAAATTTATTTTTAAATGTTGAAACTTATTTTTTTGTTTGGCCTTACAAATCTATCAAAGAGAAGTCACCCATTTGCCTTATAGCTCATTTATTTAATTAATTTAATTAAATTTCGTATTATGGAACAAGAATTGGAATTTTTCGAATTAAATTATTCATAACTATCATGCATTAATTAAACATTCTTAACTCACACAAAAACTCGGTGAAGCCAAACATTTCGGACTTGGTGGTACTGCGGAATGTATTGGTCGTGTAGTAGAAGTGCAGAATGGAGATCTCGCTGGCGTTGCTATAGGGTCCATGGAAGATATAGTCGGGCAGGTTCTCTCCGGCCTGAAATCGGGGATCCGAGACGATCGATGCCGTGGAGAGGGTGGCCTTGTAGGTGAGCTCAAAGCACCCCGGCCAGCAGCTTTCGCAGGATAGGTTCGTCAGCGAGGACTCGATCTCCGTTTGGACCCGATCCGTGCACTGGTTGTCGTTGGGTCCGCACACCCTGGCCGCAGGATCGATCCGGGGCAAGTAGTACAGCACACAGCTGCACTCGCGGAGCAGCAACTTGGCCTCGCACTCCAACTCGCAGTTCTTGCGCGAGTACGTCCGGTAGTAGGCCAAATCGTTCTCGTCCGAGAAGAGACAGCGACGCACCGTCTTCTTGATGGACCGTATGGTGGGCAGGGCGTCCTCGTAGACGGGCTCAATGGGTATCCGTGCCTCTCGTCCAGCGGTCACCACGAAACCGTAGTTGCTCACCTTCGGCAGTTCGGCGGGATTGTGGACGAGCACCTTTAAAACGGGTTCACAAATGGGTATAAATTAAAAAAAGTTTATTTATTACATTTTAACATAATTTAATTTAATTTTAATTAATCGTTTTAATCGTTTTTTAGGTGCGAATAGAATTTGACTTAAATTTATAGGTATGCTTTTATACATTTTATGAGAATCCGTTTTTGTACGACTTAAAATGGTTGAAAATATATATATATTGTTTATTGTTTATTTAGCTAAAACTTAAAAAAAAAATTGTGCATTTTTTTTGTTAAATTATATGTTTAACGATTTTATTTGTCTTTTGTTTATTATTATATTTTTTTGGAAATGAGTAATATTTTGAAAAGTAATAAAACCGTTTTTCCGTTTTTTTTTTTTTTCGTTAAGATTTATATCTTGGTACATTTATATACATAAATATTTATAGATAAGTAGTTAGACCCACCTTAAAGCCCACACTCATGGACTTGGTGCAGTAGTACTCCGCTATGGAGGCGTTCAGCACCACGGTGAGACCCATCCGGATGCCCGTGCCGCCCGAGGTGCGCGGATAGTAGAACTCGGGCAACTTGCGGGCATAGCCCTTCTCCGGCGTCCAGTCGATGGGCTCATAGCGGGAGTTCGGCTGGGCCGTCTCCCACCGCACATCGTCGCTATAGTTCCGGATCAGATAGGACGGGTCGAGGGCATTGAAGTTGCAGCACAGACCGTCATCCGTCAGGATGGAGGTGAAGAGCAGGGAGCAGTCCTCCGACCGCGAACCGAAGCTGCAATAGAGCAGCATTTTCTCGCACGGCTGGGCCACCTCCACCAGGATCGCCTTGAAGTACTTCCAGGTGCCAATATAGGAGATGGTGGTATCCCCGCCCTGGTCGCACAGACCCATCAACAGCGAGAAATTGGTGCTGGAGCGCCCAATACGATCCACCTTGCTGAGCAGCGCCTGGTTGAGGTTACAGATCGTGATCGCCGGAAAGGGCATATTGCTAGTCAACTTTTGCTTGGCACTGGTCGAAATTATAATGGGCGAAGCACTCCACTTCACGTACACGTTGGATATGAAAAACACGGACAGGATCACCACCAGCACAAAGGCCAAGCCGAAAAAGACTCTGGAAAAAAATGCATTGGAGATATGTATATTGATTACTAATATTTATAGTGTAGTAATTTTATATCTCTATTTCGTTAAATGTTTAGATATAAATTGGAGTTAAATTATTTAAATTAGATAAAGATTTATATATAATATTATATAGTAATTTATAACTTTTTAATGCAAGGTGCATAAATCGTATTTTAAAAAGCTAAAAAAGCACTACTTAAATTGGAAAAAGACCCTGAAAAAAGGCATTTGACACATTTTAACATTTTAAAGAGGGTTTTTAATTATTTTGATCATGAAATTGTGAAATAATAATATATATATAATATATGTATATATATACTCGGAAAGTCTAAAGCATTTTTCAACACGGGCATGGTCATCTTAGAAAGCGTTTTGTAAATTAAACATTAAATAAAAATAATTTTAAATACTTAATTATATAAATTAATTAACGAACCTCTCCGGAATGGTGATGCTCTCCTCGGCGATGTACTTTAAGCCATGCAGCGTGCTATTTTTGAGGTAGTAAACCACACTCCTCTTAATGGCCGCACAACCACAGATGGTATTGTCGTCATCGTCCGATTCGGAATCCTTTTTCCACAACGAGGAGCCACTGTGGCGTCGCCTGCTGTCCGTCAACCTCCTCATGATGCACTGTATCCTTACCGCTGCGGATCGGCAATATTTATAGGTCACTGCTAACTGCACTTGCACTGGCGATTGCAATTGCAATTCCATTGCGGTCATCAGCTGAAATCATATTGACCCAGGGCAAACACGGTCGTCCATTTGCAGTGATAACTGCCAAATTGATTTTAGCCCTCCACGGCAATCCGCAAATGTCGAAATTAAAGCAGTTGGCCAGAAAAAACGATAACACTTGTTAGTAAATAATGATACACGCACGGTCATCACTTCAAAAAGACATGGACATTTATGAACAGGTATTGGATGAAAAAATACAAAATCTATTCAAAATCTATTAAGGAAAAGTAAAATCCCATTTACCACACCCGTTGAATTTACAATTTGGCTAACAATATTGTTGATACAAGTAATTTATTAGCCCACAAATTGCTGTGTAGTAATCACAAATATAAAGCCACACGGCAAAAGATATTTATCACTAGCAAATGTTCTGCCAAATAATAACGCATCCATTTCGAAACTCAGGGTGGCAAAATTCATTTAATGGGCATCTGTCGTGAGCCAAGTTAAGTACTTCATAAATAATTTCAATCAACCGGGGCATTTTTAGCCACTCGTCCATTCACATTGGTGTATTAATTGTAAGATACTTTGATTTCCATTAATTGTACGTGCGTATAAAAATAATTCATAGGAGGCGGTCTTTGGGAAGATCCATTTTCAATTATACAGTTTCAATATTTCATAAACAAAGTGTCTCTTCTCTTGACAACAGTAGATAATCAAAAATATTATTCGTCTCTTATTTATATATTTACATAGTAAATTTCCAACCATTTTTTACTTCTTTCAGAAAGGGGAATACAAAATTAAAAATTAAAATATCTACGTTTATATATTCACAATTGCTTCAGCATAAACGAAGCAACACTTGCTTAAATCAAAAATTCTTCATATTTTTCCTGTTTTAAGATCAACAAATTTAGATAACTTCGTGTTTTGTGTTTGAATAGATGTTATGTTCTATAAAACCATTTTTTGCGGTATAAAAAAAATCATTGAAATGTTTTACATGAATTCCCAAAGTTCTCAAAATTGCTTCATTTGTAAAGATAAAATCTTAAAACTCTTACTTCCTAACTAATTCGGGTTGAACTGGAAGAAGTCCACGTTGAGATCGAGAATGGCCTCCGTGTTGGGCGTTTCCTTCATGGTTAGGGCCTCCACGGCATTGTCGCTGGCATGATCGTAGCCATGATTCACGGTCGGAGGAGCAGCTGCCACCGGAGGCTGCATGAGATCGCTGACATTCCTGAGGAGGCTCTCCTCCGACGGCGGATGGAGCTGCCCGCCCGCTGACAGATTCAGACGCTGTGCCGCCTCGTCCGTGAGCGGATCGTCCAGCGACATGCTCAACTCGGCGTAGACCACCAGATTGCGAGCTCCTCCGCCGTCGCCGCCGGCAACAAGAGCTGCGCTTTCGGGCTCGGGCATGGGAGCCTGCGGAGATTCCATGGCGGACATGTCCAGGGCATACTGACCCTCGGGTATGCCCAACACGCGTGCCATTCGGGCATTTACAAAGTGCAGTCCTGAGGTATTCCTTATGAGACGCTGGCTGCGCAACTGCAGCTGCTCCACAAAGTCGTTCAGTTCGTTCAGGAAAAGATCGGAGCGCTGCTCCTCGCTGAGGTGCGAATGCCGCTGCAGTTGGGCGGTCAGAAGGCCAAAGAGCGAGGGGGCAGCGGGAGAAGCTACTGCTACTGGTACTGCCGCAGCTCCTGCTCCTGCTCCTGATGATTGCCCGCTAGGATGTGACATGTGCTCCGGGAATTTGACAAAGTGCCGCTGCAGTCGGCGGCCCAAGAAGATCTTTCCACAGCCCGGGCAAACGGCATTTTTGGGCACGGCACGTGGCGTGGGCATTGTAGCAATCTCCTGGCTGCTGCTATCGCCCTTCGGCGCTGGCATGCTGGGTGCCCGGTAGTCCTTGTCCCGCAAGTCTGCCACCAGCATCTCCAGCATCTGAGCGGAACTGGGCTCCTGGCGGGCAGGGCCATTGGTCACGGGAGCTGGCTGGGCCATGGAGCCGCGCACCTGGCGGCCGGAACGAGTGCGCAGGACGTCGGGATTGGAGCAGGGAGCAGGTTGTTCCTTTACCATTGGCGACTTTTTGGCTGCAGGCGCTGTGGCCACCGCTGAACTGGCTCTTTTCACTGGTCTTCCCACTTTGGGCGGCGGACATTTGACATTTTTCGGCAATGGCGGACGCATGCCCATGCCGACGGGATCCAGGCAGCGATAAATGGTCATCTGCTGGGTCACCGCATCCGTGCGAATCACTTGATTGCGCTTGCTAAAAAGTAATTACAGCGTAAGGGGGTCAAACCAAGCAATTGAGGGCGTTTTAACCCACCGGTCGATTACTATATGATCATCCTTGGACAACTTGTGCAGGCTGCAGGCCAACTGGCATAGGGTATCCTTGTCCTGTTGCAAATCCTCACCAGAATCCGGCAGTTGTTCAACAGGCGGGGATTTCTCTGCTGGATTCTCGGCCGTCTCATGGCCATCCTTGGCGAAATCGGACTTCTTGGGGAGCACCTGAAGGTCGGCCAGGATTAAAGGATCCTCCAGGAGATGCTTCATTTGCAAGTCACGTTTTTTTAGTCCAAATAAATGCAAATACAAGCAAGATAATAAACAAACTGCATTCGGGTTTGTGTGCGCCAGTGTGACCGTCGCTCGTTAAATATACTTTCGGCTAATTAAAATGTGTAAGATGAACGGGAATTCGTACACATAACTGTAAAATAACAGTTTGTCCAATTATTTTAATTAAAAAAAATATATATATACAGAAAACAGATTTTTGTATATAAATCCTTATGAAAAATTATTAAAAAAAAAAAAATTATTATACATGTTCAAATGAAGATTTGTCCTTAAACTATAAGAGAATATTGGCGTATTGTCATGAATTTTAATAACCAAGCTTTTGTTTTTGGAAATTATTACTTTTAAAAAGTAAAGTCGATGCAGAGAATCAATACCACAAAGCTTTTTTTATTTAGTATATTTTTAATGGCAAATTTAAACGACCGCGCAGCGTTCATACTGAATTGTTGGGTTTGAAGTGTGGAGTTCGACAAAAGTCCCTTTTTCAGGAATTGAGACAGGACTTGGCGGTACCGCAGAAAATGGCCGGAAACAAGGGCTACATCAATCTGCCCTGGCAGCAGCACAGGCACGGAGCCCGATACGATCGCCCGTTTCCGGCGATGAGCCGGCCGGAATGCATCGGCGTCTGCAGCATCGACGCTCGCCGGGATTATGTGGACGACGCCAGTGGCGCCAGCTACTTGATGGAGCCACCGTGGCCCCGCCTGCCCATCGATCTGAATGCGGGCATTGAGGACGTGATCCGCAAGCCGACGGACCACGCGACCAAGGATCTGGAATTCGTGTTGCTCTACATTCAGCGGCACAAGGAGCAGCTGCTCCGTAAGCGGCCGTCCCAACCGGGAAGTCTGGGCCTCCAGACGGACTTCATCACGTTGCGCGGCATTCTGCGGCAGATCATGTGCATGCAGTACGAGTGGAAACGGGTGTTCCGCATCAAGGCGACACTCCTCAACGGCAACATCTACCTGGCCAAGGAGGATACGGAGGAGCAGCGCCTGGAGAATGAGAACATGACGGAGGCCCAGTTGAACATGTGCTCCTGGGGCTTCAAGTTCGAGCAGTGCGTCACAAGTGCCCAGCCGCGGGGCAAGCCGGTGACCAATGTGCCGGTCAACGAGGCGGAGGAGTTCATGGGCATGTTCCGTGGTCAGCTGGCCGGATTGAAGCTCCTCTACGGCGCCGAAATGGACTGCGTCGTCAGCCAGGAGCCAGTGTGAGTATTCCACGGTTAAGGAATTTGACAATCTAAAGTACTTAAAAACTTTAATTAATCATAATTAAAATACTTAATATTATCTTGATATTATCTAATTTTTTCAATGAAAATTAAAATTAACAATAACAATAAATCCTCGTTCATGTGGACTTTTCTTTGGAATAAAAATGTTTTTATTATCTGCACTATTTTTAAAATTAAAATTTTAAAAACATTTTTTATATACATACATACATACACCATTGAATAGCTTCTTTCTACTCTAGTTAAATAGGAAAACTTAAGCAGTAGCAGTAGTTATGTGTAGTAGTTTTACAGAATTCTGTGAAATTATTCCAGTTAATTCCTTAGATTATCTGCTCAAAAACTTATTTGACTTTATAACTTGAAAGTGTCCACCTTAAATCGTTATTTTCGTTGTCCCTTTCAGTGACTTTAAAGATCCCGCGGTGCTGAACTCCCTGAAATTCGTGGAACTGAAGACCACCGCCTACAACATGAACCATAACCAAATGCGCAGCTTTGAGCAATATAAATCGGCCAACTGGTGGAGTCAGTCGTTCCTGGTGAACATCAACACTATCTTCGCGGGACTGCGGGACGCCAAAGGCCTGGTGCAGAAGATCGAGGAGATCGATGTTCGCACGCTGGCCCGCAGCAAGCCGTGGAATCCGTCAGCCATGGCCTGGTTCCTGGAGCAGTTCCTGCGCCAGCTGAAACAGCTGCTGGTGGCCATTGACGATCCGTTTGCCGTGGTCCAGGTGGATTTCCGGGAGCGGCGTGCCTCCTACGAAGTGTTGCGCGACCCGGAGCACCAAATCCTGCCTGACTGGTATCGTAAGCTTCTCCAGACAGGATGATAAAGCCGAGATTATTAATTGAATTTGAAACGTAAAAGCTGGAGCTTAGCATTTCTTTAAGAATTGAAACCGAGAAGCCAACATTTTAAGACTATAAATTACCTATGGTAATGTAAAACATAGAGACATTTACAAAATTAAAACCGGAGGAAAACATGTTTTGATTTGATTAGATACATAAACTGAATGTCTGACAAATAAAATAGTTTTTAAGCGTGAGAGAGATTTATACAGAGTTGAAGTTTCAATAATTCTCGCACAATATAACTATGTACAACCTGACTTAGAGCTAAATTTGAATGCATTCATCACTTGAGGTCGTTGGTCTCCAGAAGAGGAACGGCACTGGGTTCCAGTTTGCCACTGGTCGGACCGTAACGTCGCCTGTCCGGCGGACTGCCGGCGATGAAGCCGCCCATTCCAAATGCAAGGCTGCTAGTGGCGCCCAGGGACTCTCGTTTCTCAATGACGCAGTCGAAGAAGCGGGATAGTTTCACGGCATCGGTGGTTCCGGCGGCCAGACTACGAGTGTCCCGACAATTTAGCCAGATCTCCTCGGCGCCACATTTGTCGGCTATGGGTGAACAGAGGGCTCACTAATCTTAATTTAACCGATGGAAGTAAGAAAGATAGACGCACCTATGCCACCCGCCTTCTTCACCGCCGTCTTGGGCTGGCGCTTCTCGTCGATGAGGTCCAGCTTGGTGCCCATCACCAGGATAGGCGTTTGCGTGGCGCCCAGGAACTCCTCCATGTCGAAGCGGACGTGGCCGTCCGTGGCCGAGGTGTTTGAGCAGGAGAAGCTGCCCAGCGGGGTGGGCGATGGGGGCAGAGAGTTGCCACGCGACTTGTATGTGTCCTTGCCCTCCTTGTTGACGATCTCGTAGAGCCAGTCGAGCAGTTGCTCCTGCGATTTGCCATTGGTGAGGTCGTGCACCAGGATAATGCCATGGACGCCAGTGTAGAAGACGCTGCGCGTGTTCTTGTGGCTCAGCGACCCGCCGACGTCGAAGAGCTCCACGAAGTAGGGGCATTGGCGGGCGGTGCCCTCCTTGAACTCGTGGATCTTCACCTGGATGTTGCAGCCCACCGTCCAGCCAGGTCGGACCAGCGACTCGTTGTGGGCGATCAGGTGCGTCAGGCACGTTTTGCCCACACCTGGGGGCGAAATTCTCGGAGGGATTAGTGGCCCGGTAAAGTGGTCGTGGCTACTATTTACCCGAATCCCCAACCACAACAATTCGGACTCGGTTGTTCATCGCCATTTGAGCCAATGTGGCCGTGGCAACTAAATTCAAATATACCCCTAGAAATATACTAAATTCAAGAATTAATAACGTCAATTGTATTAAATTTTGACTAAATCATTTATTAACTTAATTATTTATTTTTATTTATTTATTACAATTTTAATTAAATTTTGTAGATATACTATTTCAATTGTTAAGATAAATGTAATTTAATTTACATAATAACGATATAAATACACCAAAATAGACTGAAAGTATAAAAATTCTAGTGGAATTTGTTTATTGAAAATGGTGTGATATTTTTTGGGGACAGCTGCCGTGTTAATATACTTCTCATTTAAATTTTAAATTGTCTAGAAATAAATATTTTTTTAGTCGGTTTTAGAAAAGTAAATTTTAGTATATTTTTGAGGGTCAACACGGTATATTCGAGCTGTCGCGCGGCGGTCACACTGGTTAAAAAAGCTTAAAAAAAACACTTGGCAAAATTCAGATAATAAACAAAATCAAAAATAGTTGAATTTCGAAAAATATGGAATACGAAAGTGTGCTGATCGTGAAGCCGGAGGTGTTTATCTACAAAATACCGCCGCGCGCGAGCAATCGAGGCTATAGGTGAGTTCACAAATCGGAACGAAAAAAAGGTGACTACTTTTTTTCGCCCCTTTCTTTTGGTCCAAAAATTGAAAGTTTTTCGTGCATTCCGACGCCCCCACATTGCACTCGTGTGCGTACATATATATATATATATATAATTATGCATATATCGTGTGTGTTTCTTCGGGGGCGTGAGAATACATTAATTATGTGTTTTAGCCAAGGTTAAAGCACCCCTGCTGCTGTTGTTGTTGTTGTTTCACTGAACTTCAATTCCAATTGATTTTCTTTTCCATGCAATTATTGTTGTTGAACATTTTCACTTACACGTATCCAAAAAAAAAAAGTGAAAAAGAAAAAGCTTTGCCTTCGTGTGTGTAATTGTTGCTATTTCTGCTCTCTTTGTTTTCCTTTTGTTGTTGTTATTTCACAGTTAAGTGCGCTCAGGTGAGCAAATAACATAAATTAACGAAACATCTCAAATATTGGAGGTATAAATAGAAGTAATTTCCTCTAAAACCCCATTAAACCCCAGTCTGGGGAAATAATTTGCAAGAACCACATTCTACCAGTTGATTATATTATAATTTATTGCATGTATCATTCAGTATAATATATTCGACTAAAAACCGATTATTTCTACAGCGTCTTTAGTAGTGGATAGTAATTCCGAATTAAAATTTCAAACTTTATTATGTTATTCACCCAAGTGAATCTTAATTCTACTTTTCCGATTCAAATGCTGCGTAGCCCAAAATGGAATTTCGACCAAATAACTTCATAAATAATATTATTGTTTGTCTTCTGACAAACAGATAAGGCACATTTCTTTCACTTTCTATAATATTTTTTGACCCACGTTATGAAAGTATTTGGCATAGTTTGTAAAATATTTTATTAATGAATATTTTGTAATTTTTTAACATTCACAGGGCGGCAGACTGGAATCTAAAGGAGCCAACATGGACGGGCAGAATGCGATTGGTGGCCAAGGGCACCGCCGTCGTCCTGAAACTGGAGGACAAGACCAGTGGCGCCCTGTTCGCCAACTGCCCCATCGACACATATCCCGGCGTGGCCATCGAGGCGGTATCGGACAGCTCGCGGTACTTCGTCATTCGGGTACAGGACGACAATGGAAGATCGGCGTTCCTTGGCCTGGGATTCGGGGATCGGTCGGACTCGTTCGATCTAAATGTGGCGCTGCAGGATCACTTTAAGTGGGTGAAGAACCAGGAGCAGATCGAAAAGGAGAAAACGGAGCCCAAGCAGGAGCTGGATCTGGGATTTAAGGAGGGCGAGACCATCAAGATCAACATGAGGATAACGGTGGGTTTAGCTAGCTTATAAACTATTTAAAGATTGAAAACAATCGAGTTTCCTTAAACTCAGTTATTTACCAATTCATTTTTTCTGAAAATAACTAAATGCCTTTTATCGACAAATTGCGACATACACTTTTTTTTATAGAAATCAGTTTTTTCTGGTTACAAACGTGGTTCAAACTGCTTTTAATTTAATTTGAAAATATACCGGCGACCCCCTATAAATTGAACTTTTTTAAGCTCATAGTTTCCAAAGGGTTGGCAAAACAATTTTATCTTAAAATTGTTGAACATAACAACTGATTTTAAACTTCTTTGAAATTCTAATACCATGTAATCGGAATCTCAAAAAGATCTCATGTGAATGTTTAAAGTAAATAAGTTTCACTTTTGGTTTATTATTAGTTTCATCAACGGAGTCGTTTATCTCTTTGCAATCCAATCTCTCATTGAAAGAGCCATCTGCCTTTTTCGCATACCTCCCTTTTTGTTGAATCAGCTTTTTAGAACTTCAGAAATGGGATGATCTTGTGGCTTACAGTTTGCTGATTATTTTTGATTTCATTTGAAGTAAAACTGATAAGATAAGATAACGCTCGGCCGAATTGTAATCTAACTTAATCTTAACTTATTTAATGGCAATCGGTCTGATTTATGTTTGGACTTGTAATACATTTTTGTACTCTTTTACATTTCAGAAAAAGGATGGCTCCGAGGGACCCTCGCGCACTGGCAAGAACAAGGGCTCCTCGGGCGTTCTGCCACCGCCGCCTGGTGGCCTCGGCAAGATCGCTCCACCACCGGCCGCCGCCGCAGCCACGACGGTACGGCAAAGTCCCGGCGTCTCGCCCGCCCACAGACCCGCCGCTGGAGGATCCGAATGGACCGACTACGCATCCGCTGGGTGAGTTTCTACTTGGGATCACAGGCGCATCATTTTTGTACGCTTAAATTTTCATCACCGCTCGATAGATAAACATTACAATTTGTGCTTGATCACATTCAAAAGAACTCATTAAAAACTAGTAAATTCTTCATCCAAGTTTCGCTTGTTTGACATATTATCCCAAAGTTATTAAAAAAAAAACTAAAACAAATTAGTAAGGTTTTTGCGGGATTTCCTCTTGGTAGTAAAATGTTTAGCTAACTAAGGCAAAATAATAAATTGCAACTATATATATAAAAATTGATTTTTTAACTAACTAACGACGTTTATTTAAAAATGATAAAAAAAAATTGAATTAAAAGAACTTTTATATCATAATAAGTAAATGAATCCTTTTTTGCAGTGGCAACCAAGGACAACAGAACTCGGCCAACGCCAACTGGGTGCAGTTCTAGATAGACATCCTCCTGTTCCTGCTGCTGCTGCGCTTCTACCCCCCAAACTTTATGTTTTAAGATTCTACAGATGTTTTTTTTTATTTACCTCTTTCAAGCAAGTTATTCGAATTATTTTCGTTTTGAATACGACCAAAAGATTGAACAGAACATTCAGCAAAGGCGTCACGCGTTAAGGTTAAAGTTTTTTAATTAAATTGAAATTTTGTATTAGTTTCCCCGCCCACCACTCGTCCTCTTTTTGCCTCTCGCTCTAATTCGAGGTGAAAGGTGAAAGCGGGCCGAGTTCTCAGTGAGTGGGGATTTGTAGCAAACTATTTAGCCTGGTTGTTAATTGTATAAATGAAGATAACAATAATTTGTATGGAAATTATTCTAAAATGTAATTTGTTAACGTCGAGATAATGCAACTAAAAATGCAAATTAAGTTTAAATCATGTTATACACGAACACGAACACTGCAAACACTAAACTAAAGTGAAATATTCAAAGTTTGAGTACTTACACACAGCATACACACACGTGAAAGGACATTCCGCAGATGAGAGATAGGACGCATTACATACCAATCTAATTTATTGTTAACTCTACTCCAAATTCTCCCTGATCAACTTGTTTTACACCTACCTTTTATGGAATAAAACCAATTATACAGATCTATCATCCTGTTGCCGTTTTTGACTTCAATCAAATTGTGTGAAATTGAAATTAATTTAATAGAATTCAGAAAGTTAAAAACGTTTTGCCATGGATTGATATTTGTTATCCGATTACTATGTTAATGCGCACGCCTCATTTGGAAATAAAATGATTCAATGGTTAAAGAAAGCAACTCCAAAACAGCCACAATTGACTATCGATAATCAAAAGTCGATAATATCGATAATGATAATGTTTTCAAATTTCATTTAATTCGATTTCACAAAATTTGAAAGAAACGCAATCGAGAACAAGGCAATATTTATACATTTTTTTTTGTTGTTTAAAAGTGGCACACACATGCATAGCAATTAAGTAAATCAAATGAATTATATATAATATACAATATGAAGAAATATCCATATGTATTTAATAAACCACATTATTGTATAGAAGGAAATCTTGCTAACTCTGAATTGTTGTTTTAGAAATCGATTTCCCACCCCAAATCAATATCCTGCGACTAGACGAAACACTGTGTTCCGGCCTCTTGTATCTGTTGCTGTTGAAAGATGATCAAAAATCGAAAAATCTAAAAAAAAAAATAACGAGTTCTATTTGTTCAATAAATGTTTATAATTAGAGCTGCATCTGGCACACACTTTCATCGCTTTATCTACTGTATATCTATGTGAAACCCCAGCACTAATCTAGTGGAGACAGCGGGCTTCGTAATGTTTTTAAATCTGACTTTTTATATTTTATGTTGTGGGTAATTTTTAATCATATGCAAAGGGAAAGATCAATTATTTGCCGTTCTTATATCGACATTTTAAAATCAAACAAAGTGTGTTCAAATATATCCTTTTCAATATAAAAAAGAAAAACCCTTCAAAAGTATCGATTCATATTTTTCACATTTAAGACCGGCCTTATAGATGTGAAACGTGCTGTTTCCATAGATTTGCGTTAACGGTGGAAACCACAGAGCTGCTAGACAGGTATTTTTACTTTGCGGCTCCCGTTTTATTTCCGTAGCTCACTTGAGATAACCTTCGAAACGAACATATTTGCCAGCTTTGAGCAGTCAGCAAAATCAACAAAACGAAACATAAATTATATGGAAATAAAATTATATATATATATACACACAAGATATATACAGAATGTAATTAATATTAATGAAATACGAAATAAAAATAGCAATGAATTTCGATGTAAATTTGATTAGCCTATTTATTTCATTGGTAAAAGTGGATTGGACGTTGAAAAAAACTAAGTTTTATCTTAATAATATTGGTCTGCTTGTAGATTTTGGCTGAAATTATTCAGTAGAAATATTTATTTTAAATATTTAGTTAAAGATCGCATGGAAATTCAGTCTTTTTATGTTAATGCAAAAAGCCTGATATTTAATTAATATTAACTTCCCCTTGCTAAATAAAAACCAAATTTTTCATTGATTTTTCTTTTTTTTCATATGTTTTTATTTAACTTACAATTTTGCATTCGGTTTTTTTGTAGGTTGTTTTTTTTTAATGATGTTTTTTTTTAGATTTTCTTATTGATTTTTTTTTAAATAATTCTTTAGGTTTTAGTACATATAATTACAACGCAATATTTTCATAGGACTTCGATTTCCGACTTTCGACTGCCGCTTGACTTCGCGCCGATATACAATTAATTTAGCCAGCTTCCAGCTTCTTCTACAATTCGCTTTAGTAATTTGCTGATTTTGGATTGTTCATTATTACATAGGTATGCCGAACTACATGGATCAATATTACATCATCGTATGCTATTCATATACATAGCTATATGTATAAATAGATGTTGTGTATATGGTATAACCTGGCTAGCTTGAAGTTACAATCACCACAGATTATGTATCATGGTTTTTGTTTGGGTATTAGCGACCTTTTTCACCCGATCTGCCCATTGCTTTGACAGGCTCGACTTCTCTAGTCATACTTGGATTATTCCGAAGATCATCTTTAAAGGAATTTATTTACCAGACGTCGAGCCAATCAATCGCAACATGTAGATCATCGTTTAATGTTTCCGCTTTCTCCTTCCTTCTTCAGTTACGGGTATATTTTCATTGTTTTAGTTTAGACTTTGTTAGGTGGAGTTTTGTTTTCTGTTTCGGGGGGAAGACACCACATATGCATAGCATCTTGAGCTGTATTGGGATTCGGAAATTGGGAGAAATGAGGCGGGATAGGCGGTATACAGTAGCATATATAAATAGTATATATATGTAACATTATATTTCTGTCTCGGTTTACTTGTGGTGTCTCTTAGTTTTGTTATTTACACAGCTTCATTTGTGGTTTGCATAACGCCAAACAAGGGTTATTCATTTTACAATAGCTTTTACTATTACTGTTTCGCTTAATTTTAATTCAGACGCACAGCTGGCATATAACAGATATCGTACTCCTAAACTCCTCACTCCGTTTCTTGTAATGCTTGATGACAATGATCAACAGTTTGTGTAATAATGCCTTATATTGGCATTATCTTTATCAACATAAACATCTTTTGCTGTCATCACTATCAGCATGACTTTTCACTTAAGTGCTATCAACTAAAACATAACTTAACCTTATCTATGTGTGATTTTTGTGTGTTTTACGTACATTTGCTGTATGTCGGTGCAAGGAGTGTGGGGGAAAAGGACTTTTTTATAAAAAAAAAAATATTTCTATAATAATTGGTAGGCAAATATCAAACCGAAAAACTAAATATAAATTTACACTTTATGGTTCTTATGGTTTATACTTCCAATAGGCCGTTCTTTTAATTTCCGCGCGTTGTCTTCTTTTTTGATACCAAAAGGTAGAGTAGGGTTTGTGTTTTGATGACCGGGGGAGCTTAGCTTTGGGCTGGGATTGCGATTGGTATTGGATTACATAAAGCGCTGGCGTTTACTGCTGTAGTGGCAAATGTCCATTTTGTCGTCTATGGGACTGCCGGGACGCTTGCAATGGCGTGCTATTTCGTTGGCAACAAATGCAAATAGTTCCGGGCCACTAAAATATACAAAAAAATGCATTAGTAAATATGGTTAGGAAATGCTTGAATAGACAGCTGACGATACCTAGGTCCTTATTTTAACATTTGACAAGCATTTGTGAGTGCAAAAAAATCTTAAAATAATAAATGTTATTTCCATAAAGGATTCTACCACGGTTCTGCCGATCTGATAGTTATTAACATTGAATGGAATGCACGAGGTCGTGTTCAAATTTGATTTTTGCTTAAAATTCGGACTTAAATTAATTTTAGCAATGAAGTTGTGAATTAATAAGCTCAATTTTGAAATATCGCCTCAATAAAATTGAAAGACTTTCAAAAATACCTCTACCTGAATTCGCTTTTTTCTATTGTTGTACAACTTATTGTATTTTTCTTACTATTGGTTATCCATATAAGTAAGTATTAACATTTTGGTCAGATTGTTGAAACTAGTTTTCAATGCTGTTGCTTAAAAAGGTATTTAAATGTTTCCTGATGCGAATGCTAAACTAAAATGCATTTTAGAATGCAACATTTTAAAACGAAGAACGTCCATGGTTCCATAAAAAATAGGACTGTTAATATTTCTTGTATATCTACACAACGAAGTCCAGCTCAGCCAGTAACAAAAATTTTCCATCAAGAAAAAATATATTCCTCTCAGTAGTTTTCAATAAGGATAGTAGAGATGGGATGCCGTTCGACTAACCGTGGACGCAGAACCAAGGCCTCCTTAAAGGTGTGCAAATCATCGCCGATACCGCCGCCGGGGGCACCGCCCGTTCCCTCTTGCCGGCCGCCAGCTGCTCCGGTGGACAACAGATGTCCGCCGGCGACTGTAGGCGGACCACCGGACAAACCCAGTCCCGAGCTGTGAAATCCCAGGCCAGAGCCACCGCTGCCGCTCTGGTGGTGATGCTCTGGCTTCGGTGAGCTGCGGAGAACAAAGAAATAGAATCCATTTTAATGGGGGTTGTTCGGGAAAAATTGCTAATGGGGACTCACCGACGATTGGCATGTGGATTTGAGTTGGATGGCGGTAGGGGCTTTCCGGCCAGATAGGCCAACAGATCCTCGCGCCGTATCATCCGGCGTTTTTTGCTGCGCGCCCAATCGGCCAATTCGCGTGTGCGTCTTTGGTAGCCGCACTGAATGGCAGCGTCGCTGGTGCGTTTGAGACCATCACATGATTCTGGGAGCGATCGGAGGACGTACATTAGTGATGCATGCTTATATTGTTGGATTGACTATTTAAACGCACCTTTGTAGAGTGTTGTCACAGTGCCAGCTGCGGTCTGGAAGGGCAGCCAAAGGGCGCCTGTGTCTGAGGAAAATGTGTTCGATGAGCGCTCTGCAAGAAATTATTAAATTATTTAAAAAAAAAGTTAATACTTTACTTGTTTTTTTTTAAATAAATAGGTTCGTTCCTAATTGTGTTAAGAATGGCTAAAAGTTTTGATGCATTTGATGCTAGGGGTATGATTGATTCCTAGGTGTGTTGTTATACCACATTAGGCAATTCTAGAGATTATAATTTCCGAGATACACTGATTTTAATAAAAAAAATATTAATTTAATTTTAAGGGAAAAACGTATTTTAATTATATACTTGAAAATTAAAAGAAAAAATTATATCAATATACATATCAAACTGTCGCTAAAATTCAAACAATGTCTTAACTTGGTGGGCTCCAACAAAACTTTGAAAATATCAGAATATAAGGGCTTTAGATTATCTATAAAAATAGTGCTTTTAAGCAACAAACTTTAAGCCATTTTTTTAATACCTTTCATTACCCTTTCCTAATATATACTGTTCTTCTTGTATGGGTGATTTACAGAAATTTAAAATTACATTTTTTTGGATGGTATCCAGATTTTGACTTGGAAAATCCTGTATACCCAATATCGGCAACGATACAAAATTTCGAATACGAAATTGAATACCATATGTTATGAAACAATTATTTCGAATATAACGCAATATTTGAGTGGGTGATGAAAATTTCAGTATTGCAAAGGCAAACGAAATCACATTAAGTGCGACATTTTGGTGGATATACCATTTTAAAAACTCATCCCTAGCTTAACCGTTTGCTACGAAGAGAAATGGGAAAATAACGGACCTAAGATCCTTGCAAAAACAATTTTTAGGTGGAACAGTAAAAACAAACATGTCCGACCTGTCGATCGTCTTGTTTCTCTTAATCTCTTTCTTTTGCCCCTGCTCCTTGCACACCTGCTGCACGAAAGGACGAAAAAGGACGAGAGAAAGAAAAACCCTTATCGATCCGAAGGTAGAGGAAGACAGCGGTGCAAGAGGGATGACGATAGGCTCTCGAAAAAGTTGTCAGTGAAATAAAAACAACAATGGTAAAGCAAAGAGCGAGTGAGATTAATCTTTCATTTATTTCCCCTTTTTTTTCGCCATCCGAAACAATGACGAAAGCAAAACAGCTGTTCGACCCACACACACACATAGATGAGCCTGCACGCACATGTTGATTAATGATATCAACAACAACAAAACAGGCAACAACAACAACAAATTGGGGGAATAAAAATTCTTTAAGGCGACGCCTCTGCCCTTCTCTCCCTATTCCATTGCCATTGCACTTGCCACTCTCGCCATCTCACTCTTTGCTAGTCCTCTCTCTCTCTTTTGCTCCCTGTTTGTTCTATTGCATCTCCCCCCTTTCCAAACCAAAACAACAACACTAGAGCCCTTTCTGCATTTTGATAATGCGTAGTACAGGGAAAGAGCGAGAAGGGGAGTTGCATTTTCGTGAAAGCCGGGCTGCTGCCTCTTCTTCTTGCTCTTCCTCTTGCTGTTCTATTTATACCTCGCCCAAAACTATTTTTGAAGAGAGACTGCACACACATACTCACACACACAAATAGATAGGCAGACACACGGATAGAATGGAAACACAAAGAACATTAACAAAAAAAAAGCATGGAAGCCTACGCCCTTGGAAGGGATAACGGGATCTCACCTCTGTACAGCTGGGCAACGGCGGTGGCCGAATCCTGGAATGCTCCCCAAACGGTGCTCAGGTTGTTATCCCTCTGACGCACATATTCCCGTTCGAACTCGTCGTGCTGACCGTGGATTTCGCGGTGACACTGCTCCTCCAGCCAGCTCTCCTCACCGCCCGACTCCGGTTGTTGTTGCATTTCTCTCCTGCGACGCACTCTCTCTCTATCCTGCAAGCGAGGTGCTCCAAGTTACGGGTTCTTTCCCGTTCCGGCAAATGCCTGGACTACGGTCTTCTTCTTGCGTTCCTCCTTTGCTGCTGCTGCTTCTTCTGCTGCTGCTGCTACGACGACACACGCACACACACTGGCACACACGCGAATCGCACCAACACACACGCACTTTGGACCACTCTTGGTTTTGCTTTTCGAATCACCAGCAAATCGGTTGGTAATCCGCCGTTTCGACCGTTCTTTTAAGCCGAAAGCTCCTCCGGCCACCCGGTTGTAAATGATGTTAATTTATTTGTTCTCCTCACGACGAACGAGCAGCACTTTTATGTTGTAAACCAGCACAAAAAAGAACTCACACTCAGCGACAGCGATGCCAGATGACCGCGAACTGTCAAACGAACGCTTGCATTCTAGTTCGATTTTTGGTAACAAGTTCTGAACTGATGAACCAGTCACGAAAGAAGGGTTCTTAACAATAAAGATGGTTCCTGCCTAGCAATGCTTAATATAAAATTGAAGAAATTAAATTGCAATTGATAAGTTATTATTAAAATATTACACTTCAAATTTCAATAGGTGCGGAAGAAAGTTTGGAACTTGTGAACCAGTCACGAATCACGGAGTTACAAAATAATGAATAAAATAAATTGACAATATAATTGCTATCTATCCTATAAAACCACAGAAATTAAATTTAAAATATTAATTATATGATATATATTAAAAAATGTTAAGCTAAAATATTGATATAACGAATTTCTAGGTTGACAATTCCTTCATATGTTCCTTTAACGGAACTGTTTTATATTAAGTCACTCTTAAATTGTTCTATATTTATGGTAGCAAAACAAGCCAAGAGTTGAGGAGTATGAAAATATATTAAGAGAACGTAAGTTAAAATTCACGGTTCAAAATATCGATTAAAAAATTTAAGATAAGGTAAGCTGAGTTTTAAAAATTAAAGTTTTAAAATTTAAGTTAACTATAATGTTGATCTGGACCAATTTCATCTAATATGCACATATATACCTTATTCAATATTTATATCTATAATTCTGGGAAATTCTAGTTCTTCGTTCATTTGTGAACTAGTGAGCAATTTTCTTGTAAATGTTGCTAGTACATGCAACTTTGTGTTCATCTGGATATATGTGCATGCATAACAATAAGACTTCATAAATAAAATGAATTTAATTTTGTAACCTAAATATTTGTTTATAGCAGGGCTGTGAACCACTCCGGAGTAGAATTACTCCCAACCGGAGAAGTAGCCATGGCCACAACGACTGTTATTCTTCATTGCTGGATTCAAGATTTGAATTCAAAAATTATTACAGAAATAAAACTGTTAATAAACAATGTAAAATGACAACCATGTAAAAAAAATATCATCCGCTTCACCTTGAATAACTATTTTTGTACTGAACATACGAAAAAAAAATTAAAACAAAAAAGTAGTCCCAGTTCCGTGGGAACCAGTTGCAGAGCTGATAACTTTTTGCACGATGTGGCAACGCCGCCTTAGTTGTCTGCACGTTTTTGAAAGCCGGCCAATCTGATTCCAAAACAAAGGAAATCCTTTAAAAATCCAGGATGTTTATGAACTCCAACCTTTTTGAACCGGGCAAATCGAAGCCGGAGCGGAACTTTATCCAATTGGCGGTGAAGCAGAACCAGCGCTTCGACGGCCGGCGCTCCAACGAGTGTCGCGATGTGGAGGTGGCCTTCGGCGAGGATTGGGGCACTGTGGCGGTGTCCCTTGGCGATACGAAGGTCCTGACCCACGTGTCCTGCGACCTGGGAGCACCGACCACATCCCGGCCCAACGAGGGCAAGCTCCAGCTGAACGTGAACCTCGGCGGCGTGGCTTTCTTAGACGAAGTGCAGACCACACATGAGCAGCGATCCCTCACCTTGAATTCCCTGCTCGAGAGGACCTTTCGCAGCTCCAGGTGCGTCGACCTGGAGTCCTTGTGCGTGGCTGCCGAGCAGCATGTTTGGTGCATTCGCGTGGACATCAATGTGCTCAATCACGACGGGAATCTTTATGGTAAATTCACTTGAGAGATATAATTGATATGATTATCAACTATTAACCACTTTGTTCTTTACAGATGCCAGCACCATAGCCACCTTGGCTGCGTTAATGCATTTCCGTCGACCAGATGTGACGTTTGCTGACGATGAGCTGCGTATTTATACGGAAAAGGAGCGGGAATTCATTCCCCTGCTATTCCTCCACTATCCCGTGAGTGTCACCTATTGCATTTACAAGAGCAGCAACCAGCCAATTGTGGATCCCACGCTGCTCGAGGAGAACGCCGCCGATTCGGTGATTGTACTGAGCTTCAATTCGTACCAAGAGTTGTGCACACTGAATGCCGGAGGCACTGCACCCACGAATGTCCGGACCATTATGCAATGTGCCCGCAATGCGGCGATTCGGGCCAAGGCCCTGGTAGATTTCATACGCAAAGCCCTGTCGCTGGACGAAGAGCGTCGGTTGCAGGGCAGTCGATTGATCCAGGGACTGGCGGCTCTCATCGGGGAAACGCCATACAAGCTGAGCTTTAGCAAGTTGATGGGCCAGCAAAAGCTGGAACTGCAGCCGTCGCTAAATGACAAAATGGAGGTAGATAACAAATCCATTTCAAAGCCGGAGGTCGAGGAGATGCAGGCAATGGTAGAGCCGTCCAAACCGGAGACAGGTGAGCTAAAGTTCTGGAGTGTGTGGGTCTATTTGAAAAAAAATGCCATATTCATGTCGGGCTTACCTAGTGATAGATACCCCCATGGACACCAGCAGTTGGCTGCCCCAGGATGAGGACTCCCAGGAACTGCCCATGCCCGCAGAGGCATCCACGTCGAAGGCAGGCAAGGGTAAACCAACTCAGAGCAAAAGCAAGGCCAACAAAAAAAAACTGGCGAAGAGACAAAGTACGTGGACAACCATTAATCATAAATTAAACCAGAATCCATTTGACAATGCCCTTAAACTCTTTCAGATCAAAGCGACTCGGAGGAGGAAGCCAAGCAAGTCATCTAGCCGATATGATAATCGTGTAGTTAAGTGAAAATGCTTTCTATTAAGTTTTATTTAGGCTTAAATGTATGGCTAAAATCAGTCTAGGCTTTAACAGAAATCGTGTAATGTGGAATTCCAATTGATGTTTGGAAACGATGTTCGTCTTAGTTAGGCTTAAACTAGAGCTCTAAATATATTTTCAACCCGCCTGGGCAAACGAGACTATTTTTATGCTTTAATATTGCAGATTAATTTCACTTACTCATTTACAGCGATAAATGTGTTGGCTAATGTACTTTTTTTTTATTGTAAACTAATTGTGCTTCGATTCATTAAAGGTTGATTGCTGTTCTGTTTATTGTTGTTTAGCCCTCCCCACTTAATTTGATTTATGTATAATACAAGCGCTTAAATGAACAACGTTCGCATCGCCATTTCTATTAAGCCTAAGAATACGAATACGAATTGCTATTTGATTCAGTGTTGTGTGCTTTCTGTTAACTCTCTTGTAAATTTACATAGTTTATTTAATGTAATGTGTGTATAAAGAGCTATTAACAACGGACCAAGGCTACAATAAGTTTTGTAAATTTTTTGCTTAAGATTAAGATTACTTTTTATCGCGCTAAACTATTTTTTTGGGAGCACCAGTTGCCATTTTCCTTACGTTTTTTTTTTTTCATTGCAGTTTTCTTTTACATATTGTTATTCTGGGGAGTTCGAGGAAAGGATTTTGGGCAGTGGTGGTGTAGGTTCGGGATTACAGATGAGAAGGAAATTTCGCTATCAGTATTTTCGGTTTTTCCTTGCACGGGTGAACAATGCCGACGTCCAGCAAATGCAGCAACAATGTGAGAAGTATTAATTGGCGGTTGGCCAGCGTTAGAAGGAGTAGACGTCGTCGACGTCCTCCTCCTCCCTCCGCCCGCCGACGCGCCTTCAGGTGGTGTCGTTGCCAAGGCCGTTCTTTTGGTCCAGCTTATTCGAGCCCATCTTCACCATGTAGACGAAGAACGTGATTATCTCCTTTTCCTTGATGGGTATTGTCTTGAAGTGCTTCATAATGGTCTAAGCGAAAGGGGATGAGACAGGAAAAACGTTTTAAATTATTATAATTTCATATGTTATCTCTAGATAAATGTATATAATATGAGAAAGGCTTTAAAGTTGCAAGCTTACAAGATTTACAATTGTTTGGCAAAAAACAAAGATCTTTTTAGATAAGCAAAGACTTTTTTTATATAATCTTATTTTTTTTGCACGCCAATAAATAAGTTTTTGTTTTAAACTTGGCAAACTCTATCGAATCAGACCAACACATTTTGTCATGGTTTTTTCTTGGAATCTGCTGACTTAACTCACTAAAAGTTATTTCTCTCAAACAAAAGAGAAACAAAATCGCATTAAATGGGTTTTACAGACTCCAACTGTTTTAATTTGGTGGAAAATTGCTTACGACATTTAACTTAGCAGTCGTACAAAAGATTTTTAAATTGATTACTCCACGTTTCCTCGGACTTTAATCTACTCAAATTTTTGCACTTATTAAATCAACTATAGGACAAGTAAAAACCTAGAAGGGGTTCGAATTGTATTCCCTGGGATTCTATTGACGCTAATTGGTATATTCAAGTGGCAAATTAATTGCAGAATTCTTAGTAGCTTAAGGGGTTATATACAGTTAAAAGGCCGCAATAGTTGCTACTGTATATAACCCCTTAATGGTAAGGAAATCCCAAAGATGTTGAGATAGAACTGCTTGATTGTGGTGTAAACTCACATCCGCCAGCTGTGCCCGCTTCATGCCCTGCCGCGTCTGGACCTTGAAGTGGCGCTTGTAGCGACGTAGCGTGCTCACGCCCAGCTGGTAGAGATCGGGGAACTCGTGCAGGTCCGTGTCCGTCTCGTTGCTGTCGTCCTCGCTGTCCTTGCGACGGCGCTTGGTCCGCACCGACTGGATGCGCTCCTTGTGGTGGTCGCAGATGTAGATATGCTGCGCCGCCGGATCGCTGCTGAGCTTGAGCCGCTTCTGGGCCACCGTCTTCTGGATGCGCTTGCTGTAGCTGGCGTAGCCGGCTTGGTTGCGACACCGCTCCATGTCGTCGATCAGGCAGCAGGTCTGGTCCGTGTGCCCGCGACTGTCCTCCTCGCCGGTGCTGAATCCGTTGTTCATACTGTTAGCAATCGCCTTCTTCAATCTTCCCAAGCGATTTTCTGCTCTTTGCTTTGCTGCCCAACTGATGCTCCTCTGTTTTACGCCGTTTCTCTGTTCTCCCTCTTTCTCTGCGCTTTGTGTTTGCGACGTTTTCGTTTTGGTGTGACCGTCGCTGGCCAGCGATCAAATACCGCCACTTTAGACCTCATATAGGTACATGCTGTGTGTGGTGGCTGCACTCGCTAAGCGTGCCTAGTGCCATCACTAGCTACCATTTTGGCCTTGCCCAACACTGGCCAGTCGGTCACATTTTGTTTTGAAACGAATTTTTGTAGAAATTATTTCCAAAATGCCACCGGGAACGCAAATTGCCAGCGATAGCGATATGGAAACCGTTCTGGAGGAGTTCAAGCAGCGCCACGAGCGTCGCAATAGCGGCGGTTCGGCCAAGTACACCTGCAGTGTGCCAAAATGCGATGCCACCTTCAAGCGACTGGACCAATTGGACCGCCATGAATATCATCATACGGGGATTGTAAGTTAAAGCATAAACTATTCAAATGAGGTGGCCCATAACCCATGATCCTTGCAGAAGAAGCACGCCTGTTCGTACGAGGGCTGCGACAAAACGTACTCCATAGTGACACACTTGAAGCGCCACCTGAGGAGCACCCACGAGCGACCGGAGGCGGCGGCCAAGAAAACAGTGAAATGTTCGCTCGCGGAATGCAGCAAGATGTTCATTTCGGTCAGCAATATGACGCGTCACATGCGCGAAACGCACGAGAGTCCACGCGTCTATCCGTGCTCGCATTGCAGCGCCAAGTTCTCGCAGAAACTCAAGCTGAAGCGGCACGAGATCAGGGAGCACACACAGGAGTATCCGTTTAGCTGTGCCAAGTGCTCGCGGGGATTCTACCAGGAGTGGCAGTGCCAGAGCCACGAGGCCAGCTGCAAGCAGTACGAGTGCCCCGGCTGCCCCCAGAAGTTCGAGAAGTGGTCACTGTACACAAAGCACTGTCGCGACACTTTGCACGGCCGGCAGCGCCACAAATGCGAGCGCTGCGAATGCGCCTATGACAAGCCCAGCGACCTGAAACGCCACATCGAGACCAAGCACAAGGAGGCGGAGGCGGAGAAGGAGAGCTCCTCAAGCTCCGCGTTCACCTGCACAGAGGAGGGTTGCGGCAAGAGCTACTCGTATCTGAGGAATCTCCGCCAGCACATGCTCACCGCCCATTCGGGCAGGCGTTTCGAGTGCCAGGCCGTGGACTGCGGACGCTGCTTTAGCAGTGCCCAGAACTTGTCCAAACATCTGCTCAGAGATCACAAGGATGGCAAGACCCAGAAGAAGACGGAGAAGAAGCAGCCGGAGGTCAAGGAACGGCTCAAGTCCAATCCCCGCAAGCGACGTCGCGATGCCGGGCGCAGTAAACATTCCCGCCTGTCCAAGCTCGTCTGCCTGCAACTGGACAAGGATGACGAGGAGGCGGTGCGCGAACGCCAGCCGTTGGCCCTGGAGAAGGTCACCCAATCGCTGAAAGAGGATCCCATCGAGGAGCTGCTGGCTCAGACCCTGCACGATGAAGAGGAAGTGGAGCAAGAGTAAGGCAAGCTTCATAATAAGGGAAAAGCGAAGGAAGGTTAAATCGAAATCAATGAGGGAAACACTGAAAAATAGAATAATAGAAAGGGGAAAAATGCTTATTATATCCAACCGAAATGAATCTTTCAGTCTGGATATATATGCATAGGATATCAAACACTTGCGGCCAAAAAAGAACTCAAGCTTTCATCTCTTGCGACCAGAATGTTTTTCTGTTTAAGTAAATGAAAACTCTTCAGGAAGTGAACTTTTTCACAGAAGCAATTGTTAAATAAATCTACAGCAAAACTTAAAAATTGCAAGAAAACAAATTAAGAGCCCTCCTTCCTTATTTCAATCTTAGTTCATGATTGTGTAGAAAAAACTTTCTTTTTTTCCGCCAGGAGCGGAAATGCTAATCTCCAAAATACTCTTCTAAATTGTAAGTTTTATAAGAATCCCATTCCCTGACTACCCTATTATTTATAAACCTACAAACATCTTAGAAAACCTAAAAGCTTTTTTTTTTTGGCAAACATAAATTGAAATTAAGGCTAAAATCCCAACTACCAGTTGCCAAATCTTAAAAACACATTAATTGAATATGTGTAATAATTTCCAATGATTAAAAAGCTAAGAAAGTTTAATTAGAAATACCAAAATTAATTAGTTTTTCTGTGTAGTAAGTAAACCTAAATGAATTTAAAGTTCTTTGCAAGACCTTGAAGTATTCAAGACAAAAATAAATTAATTACCCAATTATTATATATTTTCTTTTGTTTTTTTTTATTAAACAATCTTCTAAAAACAAAAAATGCCTAATATGTAGGGACGCGATGGCAGAGGAGGAGTGGAAAAGTGCGGATTGGTAATATGAAAGGCTACAGTGAGTTGATGACCTTCCGGCTGCGCATCTGCTCCAGCCAGTGCTCGTACTGCTGTTCCGGCGTCTGTGGCTCCTGGTAGTAGTGCTGTGGCGGCTCACCCTCCTCGAGTCTCACAAAATAGTGGCAGTGCTTGTACTCCACCTTGCCGAAACGCCCGCGGCCATGGCGCCTTACGCCCTTGAAGACGCGTCCCTTCCCCACAAAGGATTCCGCTGTAAGGTAAAGAAAAGACCACTTAGTTAATCACTTGAATAATAATCAAATTAAATGTGACTATAAGTAGTAAGTAAGTGTTATAGATTTAGTTCAACTTTGCAGTTTCATCGTGTTTTCTTCTAGCAGTTTTTTTTTTTAAGTTAATATTTCTTAGATAACTTGAATTTCAGAGAATATTGTATATTGCCCACATGCAAAAATGTTACTTATGGAATTCTTAGATTTTTTTTTTCAAATTAATCAAGCTTTGAAGAGTATTCTATAGAATAATTAAAGCTTCAGCTTATTTTCTGCTACCTCAAAGCAAAGCAAGCTCTTTAAAGCAAAAAAGCAACTTAAACTTCATAAATAATAATACAATCTTTAAGGTAAACAAAAAAATTGTTAAAATTCAATGACAGAGGATTAAAGTAACACAAATCATTTAGCAGGATAAAGCTCAACTAATAGATGTTTAGAAAATCTGCAATTGCAGAGCCAGTTTTGTAACAATTCCTTTCCCTTTGCTGAGAATCTTTAGTTTTTAGCTGCAACTGAGCTTCTAGATGTCCCACTCTCACCTATCCACAGATTGCTCTTGTACTCCACATTGTGCCGCTCCACGGCCATTTGCTGGGCCTCCAGAATGGTCTCCTTGACATCGGTGGCTCCCTTTTTGAGCACAAAGTTCAGTTGCTTCAGTGCCTCGTCGACGGACATGCCGCGAACGAAGGCGGCGATGTACCACATCTTGTCCGGACTGTATTTGATATTGTTGCGCATATGGCAGACGTACTGAAAGGGCATTTCGTAGATTAGTATAGTTGCATAGCAAGGCGGATAGGCGATTTCCTTACCGCCTTCCGGGGCTCCTCGTCCGTTTCCTGCGGCGGATGGACCGTCTTGTTGTACTGCAGCCATTTCTGGGGTCCGTAGTTGTACTTGTTCCATTTGGCACACAGAAATCCGGATCCGGCCGAAGCTGCCGTGTGCAGGGATTTCACTTGGAAGGCAGGTGGCGAATGTGTGTGGCTCAGCATGGCGCTTGGGGATTCACCCGTTTTTAGGAGCACTGCTCCCGGCGGCGCCTGCAAACGCAGTTGGGCCATCTGCCGGACCACCTTGTGCATCATTTTGGCTGGCTAAGTCGGTGATTTCCTCACAAGAAACCAGACAATTTAATCGGAAAACGCAGACTTATTTTCGGTCGCGTAATCTGCCAGTGTGACCAGGTCAAGTGTCTAAACAACCTACCTAAAAAACGGCACAAATACTGTTGATCTGCCGGCGGTCTGGTAACGCCTGTTTGGGATGAAAGTCTGGCAGCGCTTCACAATACTGTTAATAGAATTTTTTTATTTTTAATTTTATTAACAATCAAACACACAATACTTTTATCAATACTGTTAATAGCATTTTTTTTATTTTTAATTTTCTTAACAATCAATTCGTTATATTTATTTGAAAAAATTCAGTTTGTATTTTTCGCGCTTACTTTTAAATCCGCAAGCGGTCCGGCATCGCTGGCGGACGTGTATTTTTGAAATACACAACTGCCCAACACTCGGCGGCAAAAGTATCTGCTGGATTGGATTGCGGCAATCTAGTGGATGCATTCGGTCGCGTGAAACGAAACTTGGCTGATGTGAGTGCGGAGCGCTCCCGATCGAAACGGATATTTAAACGGGCGCCGGATTCGATTTCAATTTAAAATCTAAATCCATTCGCGTATGCAAACTCAATCGATGGTAATTGAAAAGCAAAACATAGCTATTTGTGTGCAAATATCTGTGGAATTTGGAGGGCTCAGTGTTTGTTTTTATTAGTTTGCATGACATTTAGCTCTGCCTCGGATTGCCGGCAAAGTGCTTGAATAGTCGGTTTACAATAGAAAACGAGATCTAGCGATTGCGAATTTAAACCATCTGGATAAATGAGCGAACTTTATTTTCGTGTAGTGTTCTAGTTTCGATGGAGAATGAATTATATGTGGGCAAGAGCACAACAGTTTTCAAATCTTTTTCAAAAATAGTTGTTATAAATAAAAAAATATGAATGATTGCAATATCAAAATTAAAAAGTATAAAAGAAAAACTTTTCAAAATACACGTAACATATAAAAAGTTTTGAAAATATACTTTTATATTTTTCTTGAAGATTTCTTAATTCTTAAGTTTTCTGATGTTTTTTAAAATCTGATTAAGATCCAAAATAAGCTTTTTTTCTCTGATCATTCATGCGTATTTGCCAACCGAAATGACACTTAAAATGTTCGAAACATTTGCTAACGGAAATTACAAACTTCCCACACGAAACACTCACCTTTAAACATATTTTTTGAGTGGGATGCTCGCACATAAGATAATGAATAAATAAACTTATGCTATCAGTTCGGTTGTTAGAGAGCGTTGAGGTTGTTTTCCGCTCTCCTGAGTCTCCATAGTCGCCATTGAGTAGGCGATCTGGCGCCCATGTATCTATGGCTGCTCTAAGATGTATCTTACAGATATTTTGCGCCATTAGTTCGCTCTCCCTAGTCGTGGTTTAAGTCTCGCTGCGTTCGCTGCCGAGGTAGAGCAACCAACAAAAAAAAACAAAAAATAATAATACAAAACTAAAAGTGAACTACACTAATTGCCAACAAAAAAAAAAAAAAGAGATAATGAAAACGCAACACGCGACGCGCTGAAATTTGTTTTTGACATTTTTTTTCAAGTGATGAAGCACCAGTGAAAAGTGCATTCACAAAATAAATACATATATATAAGAAAAACGCAAATAGCAAAAATCAATAAGGCCAAACAACCGTACTGACGTCTCAGCTGTTTTGCCCCCGTTTTTGTGCAGTGTATACAAAGATCTGTACATGCAGGTCTATATATACATGTGTATATATACCTAGATATAGACGGACTCTGCTGGGCGTAGCACACACAGCATCCAACTTTTTAGATTTATTTTTAGATAAATGATCGGGTGTGTGTTATTTTTCACTAATTTGATGTGCTTTTTCGTATTCATATCTTAGCCATCTGGGCAAGATTGTACGGCAATTCCAGCAAATACTGCAACTAAATACCTTAAATTAATGAACATGAAATCGAAAAGTTTTCAAAAGTTACTCTCAAACATTTTCGAAATACAAATCTTAATTAATATAGTTTAAAATATAGAAATGGCTAATATATTGAGAAACTTTTCAATCGATTTGTAAAACAGTCAGTTACTCCTAAATTTCGCATTTGAATGCAAATTACTTGGGAAGTTTTTATGCAAATTCACTTACAACTTTCAGTTTAAAAATGAGTTTGCCTTACAACGAATACAAATTGCTTGTCTACATTTTGTGGGCCACAGTATTAACTGACTTATTTATATTGGCACTGTCACCAGTCATTGTGAATGCGCGTTGCATGTGCATGATCAATTTGTTGATCATTGAAAAATTGCTTGTTCCTATGGTATATACACCATATGGTGTGTTCTACAGCATTTTGTTTTTTTTTTTTTTGTAATTATAAGCCTATGAATGGCAGCCGCCCATCAATGAACTCCAGTCGCCCACACTCGGCGGAAAAACTAGCCATTATGTATGGTGGAAAATGTGTCAAATGTCACCTGCACACCGCCTTCAACTTGTTTATCTTTTTTTTTTTTTTTTTTTGCCAGAGAAACTTAAGTTTACAACAGAAATATCACCTTGAAATGGTTTGAATTTCTCGATTTAAGCGTTTATTTTCCATCTTCTTTAAAAGTAAGATACAAAAAAGTGTTCCAAATAAATTTCATTTGTGTGGGAAGGGCTAACTTGACTTAACCTGGCTAAAAGTCTGCTGTCTTTGGCGTTATTTTGTTATTTCGGGCAACCTGTTTGACGGCCCATTACGTCACCATGCGATGCTGTTAGCAGAACGCGCCAAATCTCAGCACACAGCACACAACGCAAACAAGAGACCGTCAAAAATATGTAGAAACAACCAATCAGATTTTAAATGTAACCATAGTAAATAATCGAAAGAACTGATACCCTAGTATTTTGCCCAAATGGAAAGAAGAAAAACTTTTGGGGATTTGATATCAATGGAAAATAAGTGAAAAGTGAAAACTTCTAAAACCTAATGTGCATTGAAGGAAAACAAATACTACACAATAAATTAACATTGCAACAAAAATAAATGTCAATAAATCAATCAACAAAATCAAACAAAACTGTTACAATTGATAGAAATGAAAAAAATTTGTATTTATGGTTGACATAATAAATAAATAAATTTGCAAAACAAAATCGAAATAGAGTTTATTGAATTATTGGCATTGAAAAGCAACGAATGATGTGAAATGAAACTGAACCGAGTAATAAAGACCGATTTGGAATACCCCTAATTGCCTCGACATCCGACCAGCTCTAACCACCCCGCCCACCTCGCGATTTCCAAGGCCAATAGATCTTTATGTTGGAGAAATAGAGATGGAGATAGAGATAGAGACAGAGATATGGAGACACTGCGGCACTCACTATCTGCTGAGTTGAAGAATATAGTTTCTTGCTTTTAACTTTTGTGTTTTATGCTGCTATTTTTTTTTTGGTTTAGGTTTTGTTTTTGGTTTTGGAATCTCAAACATTTCGGCCAAGGTCGAGTTTATATAATAAATAAAGCCGCGCGTGTGTGCGTCTCTTTTGACCATATGTTTATAATAATTCTCGATCTCGATCTCGATCGACAGCTGTGAAGATGCAAGCGTAAAAGTGTTAAGTTCTTGATGCAAACCCAACGAAACCCAATCGAAAGAAAATAAAAAAATCAAAACAAAGAACTCACCGAAAGAAAGTCTCGTTCATTATGAGTGGAAGAGAATATCTCCACCATTGGCTGGGTCAGTCCCTGATGGCGATCCTGATCCTCATGCTGATCGCCGTGTCCACCGATGGCTACAACATCGATCTGCCCAGTTATGTCCGCTTCCGGCAGTCCACCAACTCCATGTTTGGCTTCAGCATTGCGATGCACAAGGCTCGCAGTAACTTTTATAGCAATCAAAACAAGTAAGTAGTGAAAAATTAATCTTAATTTTGTTATTATTATTTAGGCATTTAAAAATGAATATCCCATTTAAATATTACACAAGATCCTATAATATATTGTTGTGTATTTGGAAGTGCCTTGTCTAGAGCGAACAAATCTTACATATTAAATTATTTATTAGAAGCCATTAAGAATACTAAGAAATTGTTGGAAGATTTAAGAATCAACAAAAAATAAACTTTCGCAAAAGCTTAAATAAATTGACAAGTTGTAAGCCTCATAACATACTAGATATACAACATTAATTCTATTTGGAGAGATTTATGGTAAATTGCCTTTTTTCCTAGTAACACTAGTTGTACTTGTTTCTTAAATCACATTATTAAGTACAACTTTTGAATAGGGTCATTTATTTCGCTTTATCTTTAAACGACCCACTTGACATTTTCCACAATGGTTTTCTTTACCATACGTTATCTTCATTTGGAAACATTTCTTCGTCTCATTTAAGATAAGTTAATCAAATGAGATTTAAGCACGCTATATTTATTATGCAGCCTAAATGCGCATTATCTGAAAAGAGCCCATTTATCCGGAAATACTGCTTTCGGGTGCATTCTACTTTTCACTTTCTTTCAACTATTTGTAGTCGAACGGATGCTGTTGCTTCTAATTGTTTTTTATTTTTTTTCTTTTTGAAGGAAACATAATGAAAATATATATGAAGTAGTTTTTTAAAAAATGTTTTTAAACACATTTTTGTTTTGTAAAATTAAAGAACACATAAAATCTTAAGATTATACTACCAACATGAATGTCTTATCAATAGAAAACTTCTAGATACCATTTGGCAAGAATCTGGTAACTTCACTAGCCCCCATAATTCCATAAAACCGCGTTGAGAGACCACTTGCCTAGTGCATTTTGTTTGTGGAGATAATCCAGTGACATGTTAATCTGTGAGTAGATTCCGCCTATCTGCTCCCAGCACGCAACCATCACTTTCCCTATCTTGAGGAGCGTGTAAATATGCATTCAGAATGCTAAACGCCCATTAATTTCAATCGCCACAAGACAGCGTTGCCGACGCCGAGATTCCTTGATAAATTTACGAGAGAATGGCGCAGATAGTGTCCCATTGCACTGGAGCCATCTAAATCTATCAGGGGGCACTTTTGACTTTGGCTTTTGAGGCGGAAAGTTTATTGGGCCTCCTCATCGAGAGCCTGACCCCTTGACAAATGGCGAAAAACATATTTTCCGCCTCACCCAATACTTGCATTCACTCTATTCATGTAGCCGTTGGATTGAAGCGATAACTTTCTGAACCCACAAAGTTCAGCTTGATGGACCGTGTTAATCTCATAGTCGCAGTGCAACACTCTGCGAAAATCCGATTAAAAAGCGTATTTATTATTAATAATTATAATAATATAATAATATTATATAATTTTTAATATATAATTGTTTTCTATATGATTTTAAATCAATAACATTGTGATTATAATGTACAAATATATTTCTAAAATCTATTTTTGTATCATTAGTAAATTTTAGAAATGTCTAATGTGAACAGTTTTATTGATGGCAGCTTATAGATATTTATGTTATATCCATAGATTGGCAATAACGAAGTTGTTTTTTAAATTGATACATTTACTTAATTTGGCATCCAAATTAATATTATTGTTTACCATTAGAAGATATGTTTAAATTTCTGTGTATTCTGGGACCTAGTGTTGGTCTCCTTAAACTTTTCGCACGTTAGCTGGATGGTTGGAGTATGGAGTATGCTATGGGGACCGAAGGGATTGGGATTTCCAAGACTGAAGACCCGAGACGAAGTCAAAGTCGAAGCTGTAGATACGTTTCATCGATAGAAAGAGAGTGTCTGGGTGAAAGAGTGGTGACCAGGCTATCAGGGCAACAGCATCTGGCTACGTGTGTGAATGGCCTTTTGGCCGTTTGCACTTCTTTCTTCGCCATTAGACTCTGACTCTATAATCCATACATACATATAAACATATAAACATATAGATATAGATACTTGTATATACACACACGCCGCAGCCTACAAATACAATACAAAAAACGAGCTGCGCACGCTAAGTGCACTTAAAAGCAACGAAAATTATTTAAATGCAGCGTTAAAATGTTTACAATTCAATAAACAGACGCAAACAGAGACGGAATTTGGTTAGACCCTGCCCCAGAAGAGGCGACACTTAAAGATACAGATACATAGATACAAATGCAGAACAAAAATCTAGCACCAAGTGACTTTTAACCCAGGTTGGATGAACTGTGAATGCTCTTTGTCAGTTTGGGAGAGCGAAAATGGTTACCTCTAAACAGTATCCCAAAGTCTGTTTGACAAAGCATCCCTCTGTCTATATTTTAAGGGAAAAGTTCCTAAGATTGATGCCAAGTATCATAGGAAGCTGAATGGTATTTCTAAAGTATTAAACATCATTTAATACTGAAAAAAAATATAAAAATTAAAATCGAAATAAAAATCTTCTAATAGCCAAATCAAAGCCTTGACAAAGTTGTTTAATGTTAGCTATGTCAGCTATACTGTGTTGCTCAAAATACACATTGATAGCACTATCTGCAAGCTAACGTTAGGGGATACGATTCTATTTCCCCAAAGAGTAGCAAATCTCGATGTGGTTCTCTTTTGGCTTTCTGTATAGTGCTACCCAGCTGCCGAAGGGCATTACTTGACAAAAAAAAAAATACAAAAAAAAAAAAAAGCCTCCATGGCTGGGGGTTTGCCTCCGTTAAAAGCTTAAAATTACCTGTCTCCATTCTACAGCCTCGTGAGATAATTGTGTGCTAACTCAGAAGACAAAAGGCAAAGCTGCAAAGCGGCAGAGACGACAACGAAGTGAGGAAAGTGGTAAACACAAGGTGGCTAAGTAACTATTTGTGGTTATTGTTTATAAGGCAACAGCGCAAAGTCGTTGGCCAATATGCCGCTTGCCCTGAGCAGAGCACCGGCAATTAATACAGCACATATGTGTATCCGTATCTGCAGAGGCATTTTATATGTCCATAGTCACCTCGAATGTATCTGTATCTGTATCTGTAACTCGGTGCGACATAGTTTTTGGTGTGGTGTGTGCTATTTACGGTCAAGTGTTCCGAGCCGCAAGGTTGTCGCCGCTTCACCCAATTGGCCAAATAAAGTCGTTTGTCCGTTATCCAGAACGAGAGTCGATCGGATCGCTTGGCCACAAGCACAACCACAAGTTTCCTTATAGACGGATATAATGGCCAGGCCAACTCATTAGCCTGACCCCGTTCCGTTCCTCATGCCTTGCCTGCTTTTGGGATCCTTTAATGTTCTATCTAGTTCAGCTGCTCACCCAAATGACTTTATTACGAGCAAAGTGAAATCTTTGGTGTTTGAGACATCACGTTTAGCTATGGTCGGCCGATCAGTCATTAAAAGAATCATATTTTCATGAGCCTGCATTTGTGGATTTTTGAGATGTGCAATTAAAAGCATTGTGTGGATATTTAGTTTAGAAAGTCATTGCTGCATTTCTCCTATAAAATTTAAATTGTTAATATACTTCCCCATATATTATGTATTTATCATTCCAAAAAAATAAATTAAAAAAATATAAAATTGTGTATGATAAAACAAAGAGATAATATAATAATGCTGAGCCACATTCCAGAAATATTAAGTTATTCCTGAATTGCTCTTCCTTATTAAAAATAACTGAAATTCTAAGCATTTAAATTATTAAGAATTTAGGAATATTTCCAAAATAAATTCCGTACCACATAGATCTTAGGTCTTATGTGTTTTTTATCCACAATTTATGTTCTTAGGGTTACTTTTTTTGAATATTCATTCACATAAATGCCTACCAAATTATATAGCAATTTATGAAGATATTCAATAATGAAACCATTTAAAATTTCATAAATTGTAGTACGAAATTTTCAAAATCTTAAAGGGAAAGTTAAATTAATGTGAAACATTTTCCAAACCGTTTTCATGCGCCGCTCTCAGTTATCGAATGTTTGAGTTAGCATCTTTAAGGTCTCCCTCAAATTATTTTTAGCTACTTCTCCAGTAGCCCACCAACATCGATGGCAGCCGCGGCAAAGGAAGATCACTTGAGGAGTTCATTTGGGGTCTCCACCATCCGCTCTTTCTCTATAGTTTCTCTATAGTTTCTCTATAGTTTCTCTATAGTTTCTCTATAGTTTTCCCTTGGTTTGCCAGTAAGTGGGCTGCAGGGGTCTGGGCAATCTATCTATTGCATAAACTCAAACTCAAATAAACTACTGTCAGCTGCAGCTGAGATCGTATCGATCGTTTGTTATGAAATGGCAAAAACGGCGGCAGGCAATGAGAACTGTAATTGATTTCAAATATTTATGCCGTACATCCACGGAAAAAAACAAGCAATGCTATATCAATATTGAAAGAAAATAGAATATAATAATAAAAAATATAATAATAATAATATAATAATAAATTACCTTTTTTTAAATAATAAAATAAACAATTAAAAGTTTAATGCTTTGCTTTTCAAAAGTATTGATTAAATTAAATTGAATGATTTGAGAATATTTTAATATCAACTAGACTTTTATTTAAGATTGTTAATAATTAAACAAATTTAAAAAAATCGTAGTTTTTCGACATTTAAATAGGCCACTTATTTTTTTCTCTGTAGGCGGATACTTTGGCATTTTCATTTGTTTGGCCGAACCGCCTTAATTGCCGCTTGATTGCGGAGTCTCGAGTGGTGGAGTAGATATCCATCAGAGATCGTGAATCGCCGTTTGTCCGATTTCAGATATAAGATCTCTGATCACCGATCAGCTGGCTATACGGGGTCTAGGAAAACGGAAGTGTCAATGTGTAAAAAAGGTGCTGGAAAACCGCACACGCACTTAGGTACGTGGAAATGGAAAATGGTAAATGTTAAATCGCTCAATGGACTAAACAAACGGTATGCAGCGCCGGGTCTGTCACGTGTGCAAGGGTTTTTATTTTTCAGTTTTCAGTTTTCCCAGACCTACAGACCTACCGGGGGGCGCACACATGTTTAGCGCCGACACGCCTTCGCAGTCGCCCACTTTTTCCCAGTTTTTCCCTGAGTATTGGTTTCGATCCTCACCCTCATATTGTAGTTTAGGGATCCGATCGTTTCGGTTCCTTTCACGCGCCCTGACTTCGCAAGTGAGTTGACTGTTTTTGGAAACGTTTTGAAATGTAACCCCTTTTCATTACAAATGTGCATTACTTAAAAGGTTACGAATGACAGTGAACCCCAAAAGTCACCCGACGATCAGCGGAAGTTTTATAAACAAAAGCCTGGAAAAAATTCAAATGTTGTTAGGCAAAAACTTGAGAAATGCCAATGGTATAATCACGAGTGCTGATCAACGAAAATTGGAGAGATCACTTCAATAATTTTCTGCTGACAAGATCACTTTAATACCATTTGTATCTAAGAAATTCTGAAATGCTGATGATGATATTTCAAAGAGCTGACACAACATTTAAGTGGTTAAAAAACTTCAAAATAAATAATAACACAATGTAGAAACAGAGGGATTAGGGATTACAATTCAGAGGGATTTTAAAATGCCTGTTATAAAGAAAGATAATTAAAAGTTTAAATTAATATATATATTTTTCTTGAATTTGTTTGCTTACATTCATTTTAATGTATAAGATGTGAAGCAGATACAATTAGTAATCAATTAAATGCATCTTAAGTTGTAAATGGCTTAAATAAATTGTACTGATCCTGCAGCTGTCTCTGTCTCTGAGTATATCAGTCAGCTAACTTTTCTGCGGCAGTGTGCAATGAATTCATTCAGAAGGAGAATATGTGGCAGGAAGCATGCGCAGCTTCACACAATTCCCGCACCCACATCATTCAGACGGTGAACTGGAGTGGGTATAGAAATCGCACTGGGACTGTTACACACATATATATAAATACATACACACACATGTATATATACCCGTCACATCCTGCGAGCATGTGTTCAGCGAATGACTCGGAAGTCGGGGGTTAAGAGAGGCGGTAATTTTCGAAAATGTTATTTTTAAAACATTATTTTTATTGCGGCTGCTGCACGCGACGACGAAGTCGAAGTCGAAGGTAATTCAAGATGGGTCTCTGGGCATACTCAATTTAGCATTCAAGGCGCGAACCAACATAAGGTTTTCCATTCCATTCCACTCCACTCCATAGCATTTTATTTGTATTTGTATTTGTATTTGTATTTTGTATTTTGTATTTTGTATTTTGTATTTGTATTGTATTATATTGTGTCTTCTGCGACGCTCCTTCTTTTCCCTGAATATTGTTTTCAAGACATGTGTGCGGAAAATTGGTTTTCGATCTATGTATCCTTTCCTGCGGTCCAACCCAATTAAGACATTTAGCCGTATCGAAATTAGAAATCGAACAATCGCATTTGTTGGCTTGGCGCCTGGCCCGATGTTATTTTCACTTTTCAATTGACTCGCATTGATTTCGATTATTTTAGAGGCTGGCATTGTGTGCTGCGGTCGGGGGTTTTGATCTTCGTAAGGTCCACTGAACACCATAACAATATCATCGCATTCCGGACTGACGCGTGCTCTACAATTTACAAATTAAAATTACGTAACCCAGAACGCTTGACTGCCACAAATTCATTTGGCAATCGAGAAAACTGACACTGTGCTACATCAAAAATGTACACTAATTATTATTATTTTCAAGATGTTCATGACTTTTAAGACATGATGATTAAACAGGGGCTTGAAAATTAAAAGGATAAACAAAATTAGTACAAGTTAAATAAATAAACAATGAAATCAAATAAATTAAATTGATAAATCTTTTGGTACAAAAATAAATTCGTGGGCGTAGTGAAATACTTGGAAATCACAAAAGTGAAATAAACAAATATGCATTAATAATCGACTGAAGAATGGTTTCTTTTGAGAAATTCTGTTATTGATTCATTCATTTCAATGAAATGCAAATGCAAGGCGCCCCCTCAAATAAATGTTGGTGGAGGAGAACCAGTGGATGGAGAACCTGTTTGAGCTTGTCTCATTTTTTTTTTTCGTCTGTCCATAAATTAATATTAATTATATCTAACGGAGAGCAAGAGAATGATCGAATCGATGGATGCCAATGATGTCAGCACCGAGAACAGATACAAAGATAGAAAGATACTCGAATTCAGGCCGAAAGAGAAGTCGATCTTAAAACTAATTAGAGCTTTCGAGCATGGGTTTTAACTACTAAAAACCTAACGTAATCGTTTCACTCTTTAATAAAATGCAGCTGCTTTTTTGTGTATTGTAAAATCATTTTTAAATGCATTGCAATGCCACAAGAAATAACAGCTTGTAAACTTTCAAAAAGCCGCTTCATTCATTCGTTCTCCCATTTATTGAATTACACTTGGAAAAATATAGGATATTTTTTACTAATAAAATAATTAAAATAAAGACAGCAAAACAGAAAACTGATATAAATATATATCAATTTTGTAATAAACATATTTTATTTGCCTTTGTAATGTATAAATAATAATATAAATTTTTCTATATGATAAAGTGTTTTACTTAAGATGAGGGCAGTGCAATCAGGATAATTTGCTTTCTGGTTTTTCGCTCAGCGTACTGAGCCCATTCATAGGAAGTTCCATTCGCGATCTCCTTTCGGTCGCTCCCTCTCGAGTTTCACGCATCTGTGCGATTTTTTGTGTTTAAGTGAAGCGTCAAATTGTTGCATGTGGGTTGAGCAGGTCGGCCAATAAGGGGGCGGGTCATCGAGGGGATGGTAAATGGGGCGGGGCAGGGGCGACGGCAATGAGGGTAGGGGGTTTTAATCAACTCTCAAGTGTTTGATTTCAACCGTTTGCGGCGTGCCCCGTGTAGCATCCGTTGAAGTTTGCCTACACAGAGAAAAAAAACCTACCGATAATTCTGATTTTAGTTTAAACATAATTTTTTCTAGGTTTATTTATGTGCCTAAATGGAATTTATCACTAGTTATACAAAATAAAACCTCAAATTATGAAATGTATTTAGTACTTAAAAAAAATTGTTATTTTTATTATTACTAATTTGTTTTAAAACACAGTAACCAAATTTTGTTATTCATTTATTTTCTGTGATTCAAATCTTAAATAGATAGTAATGAATAACTAGCGAATTGATAGCTTAATTTTGCCTGTGCACACATTAACTTTCCGTTTTATTATTTTCAATTTTAATGAAGGCCCATTTAGTGCACCCTAGGGCCAAAGCCTACGACCATCGACTACTGGGCACCCTTTTCTTTTCTTTTCCTTTCTTTTCTGTTCGCCGCACTTCCGCATTCAATGCTAATGACAGCTGTCAATGTGCGTGCCATGATGAACTGCTGCCCCTGGAGGAGAACAGCGTACCACTAGGACCGCCAGATATACCATAACCACCAGAACCACTGACTCTCAGAAATCCGGAGATATGGGGAGGAAAAAATGTCGAGGGTGCGGGCGGTGCGGCCTCATAAAGAGGGTTGCCAAAAGGCAAATAGGGAGGGTTATCGGCTCAGTTAAGGGAATTTCGAGAATCCAATTTGAAGTGTTAAAAGAATGGCATAAGCCTTGAAGTGGGACATTAAAGGCGCTGAGCAGGGTCGAACTCTAAAGAGATGATTAAACAAATTGTTATATATTCCCAATTGAAAAAGCAACATTCATCTTTTCATGAATCAGCTACAAATATGGGAATCGAGAACGCGACAAATTTTGGCAAAAAAAAACACAATTTTTTTTATATGTTATCTTACATCGGTATTTCCGGGACCGAGAACGCAAAGTGCGTATCAAAAAAATAACAAAAATTGATATTATAAAACCTACCAACATTCAAAAAATTAAAGAAAAAAATTTTTTAAAAATATGCTTTCTGTTATGTTATGTTAGCATACAGAAAACAGACGTTCAGTTCTTCAGCTATTAAAGAGACTGTTGTAATATTTATACATTTTTTTTATTTCCACCTTTAAAGGTTTTGTCCTATAAATCTTACTGTTGTTATACTATTCATAGCATGTTTTGATTCTGTTTCTTTTAATTTCTTTAAGGGATTTTAACCTTGTGTTTATATCCGATTTTAAACCCAATTTTTTTTTTTTTCAGCGTCAGCTTGATCGTTGGAGCCCCCAAATTCGACACGTCCCGTTATCAACAGGGCGTGACGGAGGCCGGCGGTGTGTTCAAATGCAGCCTGAACGATGACGACTGCAAATTGGTGCCATTCGACTCCAAAGGTAATTTCATCGAGGCAACTAAACACTTAAATCAGGTACCCATTTCGAGTCTGTGTCTCTGGGCTTTGCTCGTGAGAAGATGGGAGTTCGCTAGCGGAGAACTTGGCGCCAATCCCCGCCAGAAACTGGCGCCAGGGAAGCACAAATCGCAATTAGTTTATTTATGGCCTACACGCATGCGCAACCTTTTAGTATGCAAAATGCGAGGAATGCACAACGTGCAGTGGGCAAAAAAATGAAAAAAAAAAAAACAAAAATACAACGCAAAAACATACATGTATAAAATTGCAATAATATATTTTTAGACAATTGCCGGGAACATCCTGGGCATAAAACGGAAATGATAAACTTACTCACCAACAACCTCCCAAGTATACTGTACTTCCTCGCTGCAAAGTTTTTGCATATTTTTTCCATTAAGCGAAGGCTGTGCACTCTGCATTTGTCTGCCATAAATATGCAATTTGATTTTGCAACGCGGAGCGAAGAAAAAAAATCGAAAAAGACAACACATTTGGTAAAAGTTATTGACACGTGCCCCATCAGACTGCAGACTCGATAATGGATGTTGGCGAACCATAATGCCCACGGGGGGTGTGTCCCATAAATTCACAGGCCCTCCTGCCCCAGCTCCCTTTCAATTTCGCTAAAATAATATATAAATCTCTGCTCAAACTCATGCTTAATGTGGCTAACCAAAAACAAAACAAAAAAAAAAAAAAACGAAAAGGAGTCAACAGGTGCTTCATTCAGCTCGCAGGTTCGTTTGGTCATCTTCTAAAGTGTTTTTTCAGCACTGTGATTCACTGGGCCCTGTCATCCATCCATTAGTTGTTAGATTTTGTTAACCTTTCATCATAAAATTGCGTTGGCTTTACACACTCATGACTAAATCAGCAAAATTCCAAAGGAAGGAAGTATTTCCGTTTTTTTCTCAATACCCATTGATTAATGATTATTTAAATATGAATTATTCATTTTCGTTTTGGTGTCATGGGATGATTCAGTTTCTTCGAACTTGTCGTTGTAATTTTGCTATTTTTAATGGTTAAGCTCTCATTATTTTCGGTTATTCTTTAATGGGCAGAATATTTGTTTTTGCTTTCAGGTTTTTTTTTTGGATTTTCTTGGCAACAGCAAATACAAGAACTTCTATTCCATTTCCCTCTATTTTTCACTTAAATGTTCTATTATTTTTCTATCTCATCCATCACTCTGGAATACAATTTTTGATTTCATTTATTTTCTGTGATTCAAATCTTAAATAGATAGTAATGAATAACTAGCGAATTGATAGCTTAATTTTGCCTGTGCACACATTCACTTTCCGTTTTATTATTTTCAATTTTAATGAAGGCCCATTTAGTGCACCCTAGGGCCAAAGCCTACGACCATCGACTACTGGGCACCCTTTTCTTTTCTTTTATTTTCCTTTCTTTTCTGTTCGCCGCACTTCCGCATTCAATGCTAATGACAGCTGTCAATGTGCGTGCCATGATGAACTGCTGCCCCTGGAGGAGAACAGCGTACCACTAGGACCGCCAGATATACCATAACCACCAGAACCACTGACTCTCAGAAATTCGGAGATATGGGGAGGAAAAAATGTCGAGGGTGCGGGCGGTGCGGCCTCATAAAGAGGGTTGCCAAAAGGCAAATAGGGAGGGTTATCGGCTCAGTTAAGGGAATTTCGAGAATCCAATTTAAAGTGTTAAAAGAATGGCATAAGCCTTGAAGTGGGACATTAAAGGCGCTGAGCAGGGTCGAACTCTAAAGAGATGATTAAACAAATTGTTATATATTCCCAATTGAAAAAGCAACATTCATCTTTTCATGAATCAGCTACAAATATGGGAATCGAGAACGCGACAAATTTTGGCAAAAAAAAACACAATTTTTTTTATATGTTATCTTACATCGGTATTTCCGGGACCGAGAACGCAAAGTGCGTATCAAAAAAATAACAAAAATTGTAATTTTGCTATTTTTAATGGTTAAGCTCTCATTATTTTCGGTTATTCTTTAATGGGCAGAATATTTGTTTTTGCTTTCAGGTTTTTTTTTTGGATTTTCTTGGCAACAGCAAATACAAGAACTTCTATTCCATTTCCCTCTATTTTTCACTTAAATGTTCTATTATTTTTCTATCTCATCCATCACTCTGGAATACAATTTTTGATGGATTTACCTGTGGGCCATTTATCCCTCATTAGGCCCAAAAGCACCCGCCCAAAATTTGTACCATCCGCACACCCCAGAAATATTTTAGCCCCTCTACTGCAAATTGTATAGTTTAACTCCCTATAGCACCTCATGTTACCCCTGAAATTGTGTCATAAATCACTGACAAAAGGAAGTGACCATCATCATTATTATCCACGTTGTTGTTCTCAAGTGATTTTGTGTTCTCAGTGTACTATAGCTTAATTAGTTTGCCTTTCTCCCCCCGCTTAAAAATACATATTAATTTCACTAAATTGTTCATTTCCGTCCACATTTTGTCAGAATTATTTCGTACGTCTTTGTTTTCGCTGTCTCCGTTTTATTCTTAATTTTTACCCGCTTTCGTCGTACATTTGAAAATTATGTTTATTCTCTTTGCCGCTGCTGCCTTGCAATTTTGATTTGCCAAATAAAGATGTCTGTAATTTATTTGCACAGTTAATGATATGTTTTTTTCTTCTTATACCAGGCAACAATCGAAATACGGATAAAGAGGTCGTGGACAGGAAATCCTATCAATGGCTGGGCGCCACGGTGGCCACAGGACGCGATAGTGACTTGGTTGTGGTAAGTATAAAAACATCACTACAAATGAAGTAAATAAATTTTGTATGGTCAAAAAGAATATAGAGCAACCAACGTATGCTTTAATTTTAGTTATAAAGGCACAGAAGTCCTAAAATAAAAAAAATATGGAGAAATTATTGTTTCATATTGAATATCAAAGATTTGAAAATAATTATATGAGCAAAACGTTTTTAGAGCAACATAGACTCTCATTTCAGTTTTAAGATCACTGAATCACTTATTTATATTTTTATATTTATCCCAATGCCGTAAAGGCGTAGAATAGTAATCTCACTATTTTAGTATGGCCTTAAAATGATATAGCCCAGCGATGACTCCCATTAACGCCCTTTAAAGCCCCGATTTATGGGGCAAACAATGTGAAAACTAAGCAGACAGATACTTTCATTTTCCACATACCGCAAGACGACCTACTAACCGAAAAGCCAACCGCTGGAAAAACCTTGTCCGATTTTAGTGTTCATCGATGATGGCATCATCATCCGCGGCGACGGAGCTCGTTAAAATGTCAAATTGCATTGAAAGTGCAAGGGAACTAATGGTATTCAGCCCAAGATCTGAGCTTTACGCCCACCTCATCGCGTAACTGACACCTTCTCAATCATATATGTCGGAAAAATCAAATCTCTGTAGAAAATTACCTTTTTTTTATGGTTGTCTTTCCGTTAGATGTCAGTGGGTGTTCGGGTAAACTTTGTTCTCAATGGATTTGGATTTCGATTTCGATTTCGGTTTTCAATAGTCACTGTTGTTTTGTCATCGCTGCGGTTCGCCGGTGGATTGCGTCAAGTAAACCACAAAAGAAAACCAAGACAGATAGAAAACCATAATAAGATACCCATGCCCAGATACAGTGCTTTTTTGGTACACAGAGATAAATATTTTGTATTTTTTTTTTTATAAAGTTTAAAAATAGATTTGAATTGCGTTGGATTTGAAAGTATCAATATGCAGTGCTATATCACTGATAGTTTTTAAACAATGCATACATTTTAGAGAATTTAGAAATTTTTTAACATTTTTAATTTTGAATAAATGTAATCACTACGCTTTAATACTGATAAAAGAAAAGTAGTAGTAGTTTTCATACATTTTTCTCTGTGCAAAAGCAAACTGCTGCTTTGTTGCTTTGCTGCTTTGCTGGCACAGTGCTCGTGTGCTTTTCTGCTTTGGCAACTCGGACTCTTTAAGGTGCGCCACGTCTCGCAACTTTGGTTAATTGCGTTGGCGTTGGCTTCTTTTGTTGGTCGCTTGTTGACTGCCCACCCAGCATAAACATTTGATTTTCACTTTAGTTCTCAATTAACTTTGATTTGGCCCATTTGATTTTGGCCCTGGCCGTTAACATTGATGGCCAGTACGTCCTTTGCCCGTGCCATTTCTAATTTTTTGTTTCCCTACCCTTGCCATTGGGGCCAGGTCAGGTCACTTCCGCCACGCGTTCTCCTGGGCGATTGGGAAACTCGAAATGGGAACCTGCAACTGGGTCTGGGACCGGGACTGGCCTTCAAATGCCCATTAACCGGATGGGGGGGAGCTGCCCATCGATTGGTTTTTGTTACGCCAAGTGTCCGATTGAATTGCTGGGCCACATCATCAAGCCGGATTACATCAGTCGATGGGGTGATTGTGTGTAAAAAAATTAATTAGGGACAAATTAAAATAGTTTTTTTTTACCAATTCTCACAGAGTTTCTCAAGGATAAAAGATTTATTTAAGTTGAATATTTCATACAAAATATATTAATTTGTTAAGAAAAATTTTAGGGTCTTTTAATATAAATATAAATATATTTCAGAATTTGTTAAGAATAGTTTAAATTTGTGTAAAAGCAAAAATCAAATTTTAAATCCAAACCTATAGCTTAATTTGAAACAAAATCTTTAAAAATGCATTTAAAACTTCAACATTTATAAATTTTTGGCTAGATGGGTAGCAAAATAATGGCAATCGTTTTATAACCTTAAGTACCTCGAAGTGACCTTTAGCCTGGCTCATTTTTTAGGCATGTCAACCGTTTCCATTCTTTAAAACCAAAATTGTTTTGTCGTGTTCCCGGCTTATTTCCTTTGCAGCTTAACATATTTTGAACGATTTCTGGCTGGCTTTGTTTGGGCTTTCTTTCTTTTAGCTTGGTTTTAGTAGTTTTGAGGTCTCTTTCTGTACTTGGGCTTTTGTTTTTTGGGCGATTTTGTTTTGTTTTTTGTTTTTTTTTTTTTCATGTGGTTTATTGCCCATGTTTGGAGCAGAGTGCATACCAAAACGCCAACGATAAATTTTTGAGACATTAAACTGCACTTTTGCAGACGCCGTCGATTCTTCCTGTAGTTTTTTTTTTTGTTGCGGGAGCAAATGCAAAGGCAATGGAAAAAAAAACAACAGCTAAAGTCAAAAGTCAACACGTTTGACATGGTCGACATGCAGACGTTACCATTGCGAATCGAGTGCCAGAGAGAATATCTGGGGGCCCTCGGGCCAGATGCAGATGCAGATGCCAAATCGGCTAGGCCCATGGCCAACTCCAGTCCCCCGATACACCGATCCTCCTCCGGCACATATAATATATATACCTATATCTGTATATATCTGTGTGCGAGTACTCTGGCCATATTTGAGTTCAATAGCGCTGGCAATTTCACAGATCGTGTCGATGATCATGTTGCAATCGAAACGCTGCAGACTAAACAACAACTCCCGAAGATAATAAGAACTTCAAACGACCTAAAGTTACCTCAAAAAATACTTGACAGTGCATATAGAATTATAGAATTTATTGATAAACATTATTCGTAGGACAAAATTTATTTGCAAACGCTTTAAAATTTTTAGGGTATTTGTTTATTTAAAAAGGATCCAACGTCTTAAATGTGGCATTGCCTTTTTTTATGGTTAAAATTTTATTTTTAAATCTCCAGGGGCTTAAGGCAAAGCTCTTAAAAAAGAGACTGTTTTTTATCAGGCAGTCAGAAAAAACAGATGGCTTAGGAGCTGACAAGAAAAAATTAAAAATAACACATTAAATAAATTTTAAAAATTTGGACACTTTGATAATAACTGATTGATGTGAAAGATTTTAAAACACTTTCTGAAGATATGGTGAAAAAAAGCATTTGTTTTGAAATTAGTTAAATTGATAGAATAATAAGAAACCCAATGTTTTAATGATATAAGTATACCCCATAGATTTTTAAGCGCTGGGTATTGAAAATAAAAACGTAGCGAAACGAGACCGCACGACATGCGGCACATGCCCCCGGGCGAGGGCATCTGTGAAAGAGACAGCTAGATGGCCGGAGAAAGAGACGGGCGGATGCAGTGAGTTCACTGGTGACAACCTTGGTGTTGTGCCGCTGATTGCCGATCATGGCCCACCCACTTGGCGACAAGTTGTTGATTGGGACAACAGTCCGACTGTGATCTCATACAATTGTTGCCTGATCCTTGGCCTAAATTCAAAGCAATTAAGGCTGTCCCAATTTTAATCATACTTTTACAATCGGAGGAGTCATTGGTATTTTTTGCGGTTGGTTTTAAAATAATGACTTTATTTGTTTATCGATCGGGGTCACCGCAGGAAACGCTTATAAATATTTAAATTTATATGCTCTTGAGTCATAAAAATAATTGTAAATGATAAATTACTAGGTTTGCAAAATAAAATCATTAGTTTAAAAAATTGTTGAAAATGGGATGTTCCTTACAACTACTGACAAAACATTTAACTAATGTATTATTTAAAATAAGATAATTGATTGAAAATCAAAAATAAATACATTACGCATTAAGAAGTTAAAATAAAATGTTCTTCCTTGCCATAGTTTAAAATGACTTTGCAATAAAAAATGCATCTTTAAATGGTAGCGATTCTGCCTGCATATATCATCCACCAACTCTCGACCAAAAGCCATATTCATAACCATAATTTTTGATTTCAATGCTCGGAATGAAAAGCAACTGTGGACCTGTTTTCGGGATCCATTCTCCTCCGACCGCTCCCCATTTGCATATCTAACTATTTTACCGCGAACTGCAAACTGTTGGCTGCCAAGTCCGCAAAAGAATCTCTCTGCCGGCCAACTGATAATAAAGTTTTTAATAGGAAATTGCTATTAACTTATTGATCATGGCATGGACAATGGTCCACGCGGGCAATTGTTGGGAATTTCAATTGAATTGTTCAACGCTCCCCCGAGTGCCCAGCGGCAAGTCGATTGTCTGGCCCAACTCTCAGGGTTTTCTTTTTATTATTTCCCCATTTCTTGCGCTTACACTCGGAAAAATGTCGAGTATTAAAAATTTGATTGTATTTTAAGGGCGACAGCTAATGGTTATGCCATTTAAACATTTAACATTTTTTAATGTAATTTTGGTTGAATGAAAAACGACTTGGGAATTATAAAAATGTTCTTATGCAGTGGAAAACAAAACGGATCATTGCAATGAAGTTTTAAGCATGAATTTTTAAGAAATTAAAAACGATGAACTAGGAAGATGAAAAGCAGCTCAAAGTTTGTGTGATTTTCTCCGAGTGTTAGAGAAGTTAGCTGGACTGTGATTTTTTGTTTGTTTGTTTGTTTGTTTGTTTCTGCGCCTGCTTGCATAATATGGTCTGGCCCATAGATTTGTGATTCAATGGGGCATTTGAATGGTTCGGCCTTTCCATCCGCTCCCATCCGATATCCGATCAGCATGCATTTTTGGCGATAGCGCGTCAGTTTGAGTTTATGTCAGAGTTGCCAAAAGGGAGTGGGGCGGCGGGCGGCGGGCGGAAAAGCGACAGATACAGAGAGCCACTGGTTGCCATAAATGGCACAATATGTATAAATTTGTAAAAGTAATTGCAGTGCGGAGACAATAGCCCGGCCTTAAGATCTTGACGCTGATGTTGATGCCTCCTGCTCCGGCCGTTCCTGCCTCATGCCACAAACTCCAACCGCTGAGCTGACCATATTTGGAGCGGCACTGCGACAGAGATGGCTGAGACCCCGAGTCTCGTGCGTGTTTTATGTCCAACTGCCAGCCATTTATACATTATAAAACTATATAAACACACAGATCGGCTGGGATACGAAGCGATCCACTGCGACGAGGTTAACTCACTCCCCACGCACAGTGTGTCATCATCCACGAAAGAAGTGGCAAAATATATCTTAGTTATCGGGCTTAAATTTATTAAAATTGATTGTTCTAAGAACAAGATTATACCACAGTTGGAAGATAATTTAAATATTGGCATTCCATTATTGATTCGTATTGTTATGGTCAAAATACTGGTTTAGTCGAAAAGTAGTGGCTTTATGGTGGAAAATTTGGGCTAGGAATTTCTGTCTAAATTGCACATTTATCACAAGGTTACGCCACGTTTTTTTTAGGACATTTGGCATTTTATTTGAAAAACGGCCACAATATAACCGTTAGTTTATGCAAAATTCTGAAATTATTAAAATTAATTGACATTTGTAAATCTAATATTCCTGCGTGGACTTAGCATTTTCAGAATATTTTTTTTTTTTAACAAAAGTTATATGTGTGATTTAGAACCATGTCAATACCAAATTCTGCTAAGGTTCAAAGCACTTGAGTTCCACTGTACCTAGTGGATATGGGGTCTGTTAATTCGCTTTGGCCATTTTAGGAGGGCCACCGCTCCATGCCTTTGCCGTTGCTGCTGCTGCTGGCCTGCCATTGTCTCACATCTTCACCAAATAATTTCCATGCCTGCCCCCGTCTCTTTCACCTACACCGAAAGAAATTTATTGCTGACTCTATGGTTTTTTAAACATTTAAAAACTATATTAATATGTCAAATAGAAATTCTTATTATAATAATCAGTTTATAATAATTTCTTCTCATTTTTAGTAAAAGGAATTCAATTTTACAATTTTTGGAAATCGAATTTGCAAATTTCTTAATTTTGTCTATAAAAAGAGGATGTAGTAATAGAAAAAAAGCTTAAATCATAGAGAAGAATATAGTTTGTAAACATAATATAGGTACATAGAAAAGAACTTGTAAACTAATGACTAAATAAAATATAAGAGTTATTAAGAGAAAGTCAATCAATGTCATCAGTTGATTGTCAATAAATGAGAATGATTTTTTTACTGTGCAAGGTACTCGATCTCCATTGAATTTCTCCATTTCTCATTGCAGGCCTGTGCACCGCGCTATGTGTTCCACACGATGACGCCATCGAAGGCGTTCCGCATTGATCCCGTGGGCACCTGCTTCACCTCGCACGACTTCGAGCAGTTCCACGAGGTCTCCCCCTGCCGGACAAGTGAGTATCGACGATTTCGGACAGACGGACCGGGATTAACATTAACCCACACCGGAGGCCTAATTCGACCTCCGCTCCGCTTCGATTCGATTCGGTGTGATTCTGTAATTCGAGCGGCAGGGAATCCCTTGAAAAGCGAAATTCAAACTGTCAGTTGCTGGCATTCCTTCGGCTTTTGTTGCTTCACTTATTTTTTTTTTTTAAATTTTTTTTTGTAATTCTCGAGTATCGAATAACGGCAATTTGAGGGAAAGTGAAAAGTGTCAAGAATGCTCGACAATTGGTTTGGCAACAATTGAGGTGGCTGGAATACGTTGCAGGGATCAAAAATGAAAGAAAAGTATTTGTCAGAAAGCTTTTAAAACATTTTCATAAAATTTAAAATAAAACAATGAAACTATAAAATATTTGTCCAAATTGAATTCTACGGATATATTTCGAAACTTTTCTCACAAGCCCTCACCTGGAGTTTATTAGTTGACCATGATAAAAATATAGTTTATGTACCAAATTAAGGCCGCAGCTGTTCAAAAGTAAAGATGACATATTTTAGATGCTCTCTAGTTTTTCTAATACAACTTGGCCCTTGGTGACTAATTCGATGTCATTTGGAAATATAAACCAACAGCAGATCAAATTGTAAACCTTTACAACCCAGAAAATCTCCACCCACCTGGATCGAATAAAAGATTTATGCGACTTGACAGCCGACAAATACGTAGACCGACGAAAAGTTGAAAAAACATATCCATTTTCTGTAGTTTGTAGTGTGATGTTGTAGATCTAAAAATATTTAATTTGATGTTCAACGTTTTATTTCTTTCGTTCTGATGCATTTGTTTTTCTTGCTTTTACCTCACATTACTTTCCCTGTTTTTCTGTTCCGTTCTGTTTTTCTTCTGTTTTTTTTTTTTTTGCCTTTGGGACAGCCTGCCAAATTTGTTTTGGTTAGTCATCGCTTTATACCGACTATATCTAGGTCTATATAGATGGGCATCTATGTGCGAGCAGGCCACATGTGGCATTCGCGTCCTCCTCCTCCGCAAAGTTTCGACGAGGTGTGATTATTTTTAGCCTCGCCTCGCAGATGCAAAGCGTTCAACTTACGTACAATGCATATATCTTTCGGATTTTTAAGGAGCTATATCCGTATATATGTGGGTTAACGTATGAGTGTTCCTATATAGCGGCTGGCATATGGCCATTAGTCGGGGTTGTGACTCTTGAACTAGTTTATCATCCGGAAGAATTGCTTTTGCTTTTCTGCCTACTTGATTGTTTGTTTTTTTTTATGCGTAAGCATGCAAAACACAAATATTGCAATTCACATCAAATTTGTTTAAGACTCTGAGTCAATTTGAAGTAGCTGTCATAACTCTGATTCACTCTGAAAAATATTAAAACCACTTTAGGCAGTTAATTTGCAATAAGTTTTTATTACTGAGGATAGTTAACAATAACGTATCGAACACGTTTTGCATGATAACCACTTCAAAGAAAACTGGTCCATATCAATATGCACAAATAATTTTTTTTGTGCTGTATGTCAATAGCAAATATTCAGCTGGTTAGAAATAGAATAAATAAATAAATAAAATAAAAAATTTAAAAACAACTAACAGTGCTAAAATACTTTAAGTTATAAAATGAATAATAACTTCAATACTTCAAAAGATACATATTCAACTAATTTTCACCTCTGAACTTATATTTCCATACTCTTGTTAATAAGATAATAACCCTTGCTACCATGTATCTTTGAACTAGTTGCATTTTTAAATAATTTAAGTCCTTTTTTTATAAGGCGATTGCTCAATCCGAAGTCAATATAACACATCTGAGGGCGATTTATAGATTCTAAACACATACGAATGGGCCAACTCGATTCCCAGTGGTCTTATTGTTGCGTTATTAATGCTGCTCGTCGATGCTGTTGTTGTGAAATGATTAGCAGCAACATCGGCAGCGGCAGCAACTCATCCTGACAGTTGCTTCAGCACATTCCGACATCACTGAAAGCAATAAATACCAACTTAACGCACAAAATGCCAAACTAAATAGTTAAACGAAACACAGACATACAAAAACCGAAAGGGACAAATCAAAGCGGAATAAAGAAAGGTACGAAACAATCGTCGAGTGAGCAAGCCAAGTTTAAACGTCGGCAATGGAGCACAGAGTTCTCGGCGTGCCCTTGCTAAAAACTAATTGTAATTCAAGACGGGGCGATTTTATTATGGGAATTACTACAACTGCGAAGACAATGCCATGGGTATGCTCACGTTCGAGGACCTCTGTGCGTTACAAAAAAAAAAGTTGACTTATGCGATTGCCGGTGCCAGCAGCAACATGTTGCTGCCGTCGCTGCTGTCGCTGCGCTTAAATTGAAACACTTCGAGACAAATTGTTATCGTTTAATTTGATCAAACGCACGATCTACCTGTTGATTTCTCTGTTGTTTTTGCTCCAAGTCCCCCTCATTCCTGATCCTTTTCTGGAGGCCTGGCCTTTATCCGCGCATGCGACATAAAGTTGTTGTTGTCGCGAGGAATACCCTTTCGTTAAATCGAGAATATGGTATGTTCAGTTTGGCAAGAAATTTTAGATGTCGACAAAAGTAAAACCCACTCTGATACTCAATCTAAAGCGTTCAGTCCACCCGAGGGCGCCATTAAAAAAAATATTGAAGTAAATGTACACCCGTGGGCGCCATTTAATTTGTTAAGCAATCAATAATAATTTTAAACAATTCGAAGGATTTAAAACGACAAAAATCCCAATTCAAACATAGGGTATCTCTGATTTCGACATCCTTGTGCACTTTTTGTTGGATCTTTTTGCTGATGTTACGTGATTTCGTATTTGGTAGCAAGGCAACATTCGCCAGACACTTTGCCGGACAAACAAACAAACAAACAAAAGGCGGGGCCAACAAAAGGATGTGTGGCTGTGGCTGTGGCTGTGGATGTGGATGTGCGGATGCCGTCCCCACTTTGGACCTCGTCTTGGTCTTTTTGTTTGCCGCTCAACAGTTGGGGCTGCTTTTATTGTTGTGTTTTCATTTCAATGTCCATCGCTTTGGCAGGCGAAGATCTTGCCCCAAAGGCGCGCTCTAATCCTTTTATGTTGCTCCAACGCTCGTCCAACTCTCGTCCAGCTCTCGTCCAGCGACTGACAAATAGCAGCGCAATTTATTGCATTGCATCGGTAATTATTTGCAATTTATTGTCCCACACACCGTTCCCTTTTTGCGAAAACCCCGGGGCCCTTCGAACATTTATGATGAAATCGCACAATGCCTAAATGGTCAACTGTGTGTGACTGAAATTCCCTCGCCCCAGCCTCCTATTTTTTGCCCAATCACTAACTTATGCGATGCATTTCCATCTCTCTCCACTCGTTGCAGACAACTGGGGTTATCATCGCCAGGGCTCGTGTCAGGCTGGATTTAGTGCAGCGATCAACGGGGTAAGTATTCAGTGGATATACCCTATCGAAAATTAGGGGATAATTGTCCATGCAAGGTTTTAAGTGGGTGGTATTTTGCTTGACTTCAGAGTGACTTCTTCAGTGCCTCTAGGGACTTTAATTAAAACATTTAAATTACAAATTATAACAAAAAAAACTTTACATATTTTAATTTATTAAACAACAGACTTAAATATCTAAAGTCTTAAATGTCATGTTTAAAAAGGTTCCTTAAGTATTCTTAACAAAATTATTTCAACTTAACTGGGAACTCGATGGATTCATATATGTAACAAGTCACATATCTTACTTTGTTATTCAAAATAAATTCCCAATCAATTCAAGAGAATTCCAAGTTCGACATACAAAGCTGTGAGTCCGATCTCTAAATCTCCACAACGTTCTCTTTTTCTTTTTATTTTTTTTATTTGGGTTTCATTGAGTTATTATATGCATGGAATGATTCGGAAAAGACAGACGGACGGACGGACAGACGTGGGCACGTTTAGTTGGCACCTCGTTGGGATCGTGGCATAACATTTGCATTCACAATTGCATCCCCAGCATTCGATTTGACTATTATGGTATATGTGTAACCTTTTTTTTCTCCCGCTGTAGAATGGCTCGCGTTTGTTCATTGGCGCACCTGGCAGTTGGTACTGGCAAGGTAAGTGCACGTTTTTCCCACATGTACCGTGTACCGTTGTTCTATTTCTTATTTATTTATCCGTACCTCAATACCTCTTGTCTCTTGAGACGAGCTACATTTACTGTATGTATTTTGAAGTTGCTGTTCTTTCTAGTATCTCGTGTCTCAATGAGACAAGCGACATTTATCCTTTATTTAGTCATAGCTAGAACTTTAAGTACTATCCCTAGACCCAAGATCCTTGATCCTAGAACCTAGATCCTAAATCGTAGATCCTAGACATACTCCAAAGTACACTTGAACCCAAACAAACACAAACACACACACACACACCCACACACACCCACGTAGTCTGGTTTGAAATTTGAATTTCGTTATCCCCGTTGTCATTTAGCATTTGTCCTCGTCCTTCCCCAAGCTAAAAGTCCACGAAAATATTGAATTTTGATTGCCTTCCGATGTACAAAATCAAAGTTATTGCATTAACATAGTATCCTCTAGTTTAGTTTATCTTATTAATTTGTGTGTTTAATTTAATCTCTACTGAGAGTCCATAACCTAAGTAATCTACAAAGATACGTGAATAAATAGATATTATTCACTTAATATGGGTCTAGTTATATGTTTGTATCGTAATACCCGGTCGTAATACCGTCATTTTTTATTTAGGAACTCAAGTTCCGTCTCTAACACTTGATCTAAGCGGGCTATTTATAATTTTATTCAGTATGCAGTATCTGTAGAAGATGGAATGCTAGTTTTAGCCACAAACTAAAATGTAATGAGATGCATGTCGCATTGTAGCGTCGTCTAGTCGATAAAGTATCCAAAGGTAGATCGTAAAAACCATTGTTTATAAGTCAAGGCAATTTTACATGCAATATATATAATATAATTTAGGAAAAACTTACCATTTTAATATATTTTAATTGTAAAATTGTACTGGTTTATGTGACATTATTATAAGAAACTATAAGTGTGCATTTGAAAAGAAAATAATTTTAGCAATAAATTTATAACACGTTCAAATACTGTTGAAATATAGTATAATTGTCCATAAGGTATAATAATATGTCATTTAAATAAACTGCATTTTAAGTTTATTGTTTGTGAAATTAAATAAAATTATTAAGCTTCTGTTACCGCCCAGAAGAATTCGGTATAATTTTGAAATGCACATTTTTCGAATAAGTAGAGTTGACTAAGTTTCGTGACGTATATATTGTGTTGTCGAGTTGTTGTCATTCAAATCGTTTAACCCCAATTGGCCTAACGTCGCACTGTTGTCGCTGCCAGAAGCTAACAATATTGTACCGTACGAAATTGTACCCACCTGGTAGGGTACATCGAAAATGAAATCATTTTGCTAACTCCGATATCATTTACAACTCGACAGCAGGAGTCAGCAGTATAACCGTAAATTTTAACTATTGTTAATCGTAATTTAATGTACATTTAACCCAAATGAAGTTAGCTGCATTTATTGTACCGTATTTGATACACGATTTTCTACTGTAACTTTAACGTTAACTGTAACTGTAATTGTATCTGTAACTGTAAACTGTATCTTTAACTGTACCTATACCGTATAACGCGTCATGTTCTTCCTGATCTGATTAATCAAAATTATGTTCTCTCTTTCTCTTTATATTTTTTGCTCCTTCCTCCACCTCTATCTCACTCTACACTCAATCAATATCCTGTGTATCGGGGCAAAATGCATGCGATTTTGTACCGAACTTGAAATGTGAAATGCATTCTGTACCGATTCCCCAAATCCAAACCGCACCACTCGATCACCCGTACCCGAAACCAAAACCGATTCCCAATCAACATTCTTCCCTACAACTTTTGTTGCTTTAAAAAAAAAAAAACAAAAACCATAAAAAGGACAAACCTACTCAATACCGCCCGATGCCGAGTTTCCATTTAAGCCGCCTTTTTATCAGCCCTTCGGCACTGGAGGTAATAATAATAAAAAACGCAATGAAAAAAAAACAAAAAACAAACAGCAACTACACTTCTCACCCACTGCCTCAAAACACAAACTCAAAACTCAACCGAAACTGTACCTACGAACATTAACCCAGCTTAAAAAAGTACCTAAACACAAATACCCACCCACATATACAAAAACTCCACTGAGGGTCCCATTAACGGTGTCTGATAATCGAAACAAGAAAATAAAAACCATCAAATCAAACCTCATAATAGAACTTTATCCATCACCCATCAATATAAGGAAAAACCTTTGGAAACCCATTGAAAACAAAGCAAACTATATAGATTTGTGCAATGGGTTCCAATAGAAGTTGCTAGAAAGCTTTGCCTATTAATATCACCGGTTTCAGGTTGAAAAAAAGCCTATATATTTTACGTACCTCCGCTTTGCCGAATTCTGCTTAAATGGTTGTTGCCTTAACTGCTTTTCTTTTTTTTTGGGAGTGATTCGATAAAAGAGAAATTATCTTAATCATAACAAATAAGGACGATCTTTAAATTTCTCTTATATCTGATCCTAAAGGGGTGGCTTAGACAATGGTGTCATGGAACGGCAGAGAAGGATCTGATGGTCAAAACCAGAAATCGGTAGTGATATATGTAAAAAAAAGTTTAAATGTTATGCAACAAATATTTTCTTTTAAAAAGCCAAAATCACGAACAGAAAAGTTCGTTAGTTTTCCTTAACGGAGAAAAAAATATATGAAATATTTAATAGAAATTCTATACTTTTATTAAAACCAGTTTCATGGAAATACTATTTCCATCGGTTTTTGAGTCTAATTTGAAGGAGTCAAAAAATAATATCATACTTTTTTCTTTTTAACTTAAAAGTTTTATAATCATTATAAAACCAAATATCTTCTCTTACCTACTTTTTATTTTATTTAAAACAAATGGATCCCTATTTAAGATTTTGTTGTATAAGTTAATTGATGCCGAAAATTACCATTGTTAATTTTCTTCAACTTACAAAATTAAGTTAGAACCATTAAAAAAAATAAACAAATTAGTTCTTGAAAAAATGAAAAACATCTTAAATATTTTCTTATACTGCCCGACTTGTACCGTTCGTCTGACCCCATGATTTGCATAATTTGTAGTTTGTAAGTGCATGTTTACCTGTTTGACGACCTGTAGCTTATTTCGGGTGTTGACTGTGTTAACTGGAATGCAAACTAACCATAATCTCAGCACGTTTATCACGTATGTTTTTTTTTTTAGTAGTGCCCCTGTAATCATATACACGTAATCATCCAAAAAGTATCGTAGTATCTTGTGGTAATTGTTGTTGTGGCTTCCTTGGCTGGGAGGAGTTGTAGTTAAAAGTTCCATGTGCCCATCATTGTTGATATCGTTATTTGTTGATGCAAAGCATGCCCATTTAGCCATAAAGCGCCATACAGTTGCGGTCAGAAAAATAGCATATGATATTGGAAAAACATTTGAAAAAATGCCTTTTCAATCGTATTCAAAAAGATAATTTCTAATCTTTTTCAAAAAGTATTTCAAGTCTTGTAGAAAAATTGACTTATAACATGTGCCATAATTTTGACAGCAACTGATGCAAAAAATAAAAAATAAACTCACCCAAAAACACCGGAGAATAAGAGGAGTTACATATCTCAAAACGTAGTGAAGTAGTGTTTTTGTGACCAAACTATTTTCCCGGATCCACAGGTCAGGCCAGCTCCCACGATGTGACCAGGCCGGAGAACCAGGTGTTCTCCACCTCGGAAAGTGCCTCGGTGAATGATGACTCGTATCTGGGTTACTCGATGATCACCGGTGACTTCAATGGCGATCGCAGCGAGGATGTGGCCATTGGCATGCCTCGTGGTGCCAATCTCGTTGGCCGCATCGTCGTCAATCAATGGAATATGGCGAATATCTTCAATATCACGGGTCGTCAAATTGGTGAATACTTTGGCTACTCGCTGGCGACCAGCGATGTGGATGGCGATGGTCTCGACGATCTGCTCATCGGTGCGCCCATGTACACGGATCCCGACAACGCGGAGGGCAAATACGATGTGGGCCGGGTGTACATTCTGCTGCAGCGCGGTCCCAGCGAGGAGAAGGACTGGACCATGGAGCACATACGCGATGGCTACCACAGCAAGGGACGATTTGGCCTGGCGCTGACCACCCTGGGCGATGTGAACGGCGATGGCTATGGCGACTTTGCAGTGGGCGCCCCCTACGACGGACCCGAGGGTCGTGGCGTGGTCTACATCTTCCATGGCTCATCGCTGGGTCCGCTGACCAAACCGTCGCAGGTCATCAAATCGGAGCAGCTCGTCGAGGGTGCTCCCTATCCGCGCACCTTCGGATTCTCCCTGTCCGGTGGCCTCGACATGGATGGCAATACCTATCCCGATCTGGCCGTGGGCGCCTACAGCTCCGACCAGGTGTTCATCTTTAAGTCGCGACCCGTGGCCGCCGTGAATGCGGAGACGAGTTTCGTCAGCAATTCTAAGCTAATCAGTTTGGATGATCGCAACTGTGAGCTGCTGCGGGATCGCAAACAAGTGCCATGCATGCTGCTGTCCACGTGCTGGAGCTACACGGGTCGTTATTTGCCCGAGCAGCTGGACTTCGATGTGTCGTGGCTGCTGGACGCCAAGAAACTGCCCAATCCGCGCATGTTCTTCCTGCGGGACGAGGGCAAGAACATTAGGAACCAGACCATACGATTGAACTACGGGCAGAAGTATTGTTTGAATGAGACGGTCTATCTGCTGGACAAGGTGCAGGACAAGTTGACGCCTCTGGAGGTGGAGGCACGCTACAATCTGCGCAGCAATCGTCCCCTGGACCCAATGGTTCGGCGCCGTAGGAGCATCCTGGAGCCGGTGATCGACCAGAACCGCGAGATCGTCCTGCGCGATGCCATCAATATCCAGAAGAACTGCGGCGAGGACAACATCTGCGAACCAGATCTCAAGCTTATTGTCAAGTAGGCTTTTATTACTATTACTATTACTATTTTCTTTTTCTAAATCTAGATTTATTTAAAATGTATTTTACAGCACGGTGGACAAGTATCTGTTTGGCTCACCCGATCCATTGGTCATCGAGGTCCTCATCTCGAACAACAACGAGGATGCCTTCGAGGCCGCCTTCTATATGGTCACCCCACCGGATCTTCAGTACCGAAAGTTGCAGCAGCTGGGCGAGAAGAAGGACACGCCCATCACCTGCTCGGCGCCCACGCCGGAAAACAATCACACGCTCAAGTGTGACATTGGAAATCCCTTGGAGGCTGGACAAATTGTAAGTATAAAGAGCAGAACTACTTGTAATAAAATCACTAAAATGGAACAGCCAAAAGCAATTAAACTGTGACACTAAATTTGAGTTATACCTATTCTAATGGAATTTAACTGATTTGTTAACAAATTTTACAAACTTCTTAAGTGCCGAATATGGGCCAAATTGAAGAAAAAAAAATTAATTCTAGGCACTTCTAAAGGAAACTTAAAGTATGTAGCAATATATGCTTAGTACAACAATCTAATGGATAAAAGACCTTAATAACTAATTTATAGACTTCAGTGGTTTCTAGTATGTAATTCCAAAACCTTTCTATTAAATGTAAATACCCCAACTAACATGTGTTCATGTACAACCCATTTAGGCTCACTTTAATATCAGTTTGGTGCCGGAGGAGAAGTACGGTAGCTCGTCCAGTTACGACTTCTACTGGGAGGCCAACTCGACGAATCTGGAGAAGCCGGGCTCCGACTACGACAACAAGATCCGGCAGAGCGTGGGCAACTGGGTGGACACGGATCTGGACATCAAGGGCACCTCGCTGCCGGACTACCAGCTGTACAAGGCCGATGACTACAAGGAGCTGTCGAATGCCACCAAGGAGGATGAGATTGGGCCGCAGGTGGTGCACATCTACGAGATCCGCAACAATCGTCCGTCGATCATCGAGGAGGCGGAGGTCTATATCCATCTGCCCCACGAGACCATTGTTGGCTATCCGCTGATGTATCTGCTGAATCAACCGGAGACGGGTGGTAAAATTCAGTGCGACGAGGTGGCGGTCAATGAGTACAATCTCTTGCTGGACGAGAAGTTGCAAAGGAAATCGTATCTGCAGGCCCAGGGTGCCATTTCGAATTCGGCTCAGGTTGCTGGACAATCGGCTAGCTCCTCCTCTTCATCCTCCTCCTCCTCCTCCTCGTCGTCGTCGTCATCCTCGTCCTCGGTGATGACCTTCACCGATGGCGGTGGTCGCGTGGAGAAGGCCCAGGGTGGTGGCTCTGCCCAGGGCGTTATAGTGAGCAAGACGGAGGCCAGGAACCGATTGACACCCAAACAGGTGCAGGAACTGGAGCACGAGGATGCATTGGAAGCCCTGGGAGATGCCTCCTTCGTACATCGCGATCGCGCCAGTCAGACCAGTCAGAGCAGTCAGGTGCAAGAGCCCCGAATGAATCAATCAAGCTTTGCCACCTTCTCCAGCAGCAGCTCCTCATCGGGATCGGGTTCCCCATCGGCCCAATTGCGTGGTCACAGTACCCAGGGTCACATCCAGATGGCCGAACCGATTCAGCACTCCCGGAGCTCGAGCAGCTCCAGCAATTACCGCTTTGGGCCAACACAGCAGCAGCAGCATCAGCAGCAACAGCAGCAGCAGCAACATATCCTGTTGGCAGGTGCCGGAGGATCTGGAGGTGGCTCTGCATCTGGATCTGGTATCAACTTCCATGATAAATCACAATTTGGCGGTCGTAGTGGCAACTTCCATGCGGGCACTTTGGATCTGGGCACCATAAACCGGGGCAATGTGGACAACGAGCTGTACAGGAGTCAGGCTCAATATCAGCATCCCGGCCAGAGTTTGGGTCAAAGTCAGGGGCAGTTCCAGGCCGTTTCGGCCAACCAGGGACACTACCAGGGACAGAATCAGGCACAGTACCACCAGGCACGCCAACCGGTACAATCCTTCCAGGGACAGACTCAGTACAGTGGCACACCCGGTGGCTATCAGACCCACCATGTGACCTACTCCTCGTCGGGCGGCAAGCCCTACTATGGCAGGGAGAATGAGGACTATTACGACGAGGATAATCTGCAGCAGGCCACGCCAGGTCAGTGGAGCAGCTCCAGTTCATCCAGTTCCTCATCGCAGCGTCGCCTGCGGAGAGCCAGTGATACGGATTCGGATACGGAAACGGATTCGGCGGAGCAGCCGCTACAGATCGATTTGAACTCACCGTGCAAGTCGGCCAGGTGCAAGAAAATCCGCTGTGTGGTGCGAGATCTTAGCACCGAGGATGGCGATGCCGCCTTCGTGGCCATCCGGGCGCGCATGGTGGCCAAGACGATGGAGAAGCTGGCCTCGAACGTGCCGCTCAATGTGTCCACGCTGGCGGTGGCCAATGTCACCCGGCTGCCCTTCATCGGGCCGCCCAAGGATGCGATCGTGAAGACGCACGAGATCTTCTACAAGGCGGAGCCGGAGCCGCAACAGGTGCCTGATGTGGTGCCTCTGTGGGTGGTGGTCCTGGCCGCCTGCGCCGGAGCACTCATCTTCCTGCTGCTCGTCTGGCTGCTCTACAAGGTGAGTCGATCATTTCTATACATTGCTTTTTAAATTTCCATAATTTTTGGATCAATCCTTTACTGATTACAAAAATTAACATATTGCTATTGAATTCAAAATTTTATAATATAATAAATATTTAAATAATAATAAATTCAATGCATATTAATATTCAAATATCTGTAATAATATAGAACATGTAAGATTTAAAATGGGTCCTATTTAACTTGAAAGCACTGTATTAAAGTTTAATATGGTTTTAACGGTGAAAATCAGGGTGATTTAAATTAAGTATAAAATTTAAATGGAGTGTTTTTTATTTTAAACCTTTTTAAATTACCAACTTTAAATCCTTTGTTCGTACTGATATTAATATATTATACGCTTATTTAATTACTCTACTCTTCATTAAACTTTTATTACTGTGATTTTTCATTTAGAACAGTTTCAAATTGGCTTTCAAAATATTTAATTAAACAGTCCTAGTTTTAAGAAACTATTATTTTTTAATCGTACATTTTTTTAAACCGTGACTACTTCTCTTATAATATAATTAACTGTTTAATTTCAACAAATTTGGTTTATATATTAATCAAAGCAAGTGAAACAAAAGCTCAGAAATATTAAAATTTAAAAATAACAAAGAAAATTTTCTAATTTGCAATTCTCTTTTCTTTCCCACTACAGTGCGGCTTCTTCAACCGCAACCGGCCAACGGATCACTCGCAGGAGCGGCAGCCACTTCGGAATGGCTACCATGGCGACGAGCACCTGTAGAGTGCCAACGATGTCCGCCAGTTTGAAAACGCAGCACCAATAGCAAGAATATTAACAAAACCACGAAATACTTCTAACATCGCACACTAAACCAAAACGTACTAAAAACAACGAAACGGTTCTAAGACGTACCAAAATCGAACGCTTGGTTGGAGTTTTAAAACATGCGATGTCGACGGGAGGTGCCAGTGGAAAGTGGAAAGTCCCCTCCAAATAGATCACTTATGAGGGATACACCTGCTGCTTGAAAAAGGATATCTCTTTAAAACGAGAGGGAGAACTTTGTTCCGAAAAAAAATCAACACATTTAAACTTGCCTAGTCACGACATGAAGAACTTTCTAATGCGTAAAGGTTTTTTAACTTTAACAAACCTACTATTATTTTTTTTTTTTTGTAATTTTTTTTATTTTAAACTTTTGTGTTTTTGTTCATTGCAAAAATTTCGAGGAAAGTTGCACAAGTGCTATATTAATCTGTACTAAAGAAAGTAAAGCGGAGAAAGTCGAGAGTCGAGAGGAACCTAGGCTAAGTGAGTGAATGACTGAAATATATTGACTGAATGCGCAAGTGAATGAGCGAATGTGAGTGATAGCCAATATGGAAATATCAAAGTTTTAAGTTCTGGATCGAGAAAAAGGGGAGAATGTGCTGCCTGCAGAAAAGCTGTCCTATACTGCCACGCCCCCATTTTTAGGCAGCAGCCGAGGCATGGAATAAAATACAGAGGAAATCCACACTTATTAGGTGCTACTCTAATTTTTTTGTAAATCTATTATCAAGTCTCTTGATAAAGCTTGGCGTTTTGCCTAACGCGAAACCCATTTTTTTGTGGACAGTTATTCAAACTCAAAGTTTGCCAGTTGAAGGGAAAGTTACAACGCCAAAATGTGTTGAAAAATGCAAAAGAAATCATTAAAACAAAAACAAAAAGAAGAAATTATTGATTAATCTATGTAATTCTTTGTGTAAATACTAAAAATGAAAACAAACAAGAAAGGAATCAAACTTCGGCAAGCCGAAGTTCATATACCCTTGCAGTTAATGCTAAAATTAAATATTCTGGAATAAATTGAAGCTATGATGATTTGCTGCTCAATTATTTGATAGTTCCTATGGCATGGATCGTTTTCCGATTTCAATAAATTTAAAATCGTAATTCGGAACTGTCAAATAATTAATAGTGATGCTGATCAAGAATATATATACTTTATAGGGTCGGAGATGTCTCCTTCACTGCGTTGCAAACTTCTGACTGAAATTATAATAGCCTCTGCAAGGGTATAAAAACACGACGCGAGGAGAAAAGTTGAATCGTTATATTTAAATTAATATTGCATTTATTTCCAAATTACAGTGGGAGAAGCGCTGTCCGATTTCTTCCAGTGTACTCTCGAAATGAAACCCCTGTCTGTACCATGTAAACCCCCTACTAAAACTTAGTCTCGCCCGCTGCTCACAGTTAGTTTAGTTCAATTATACGCTACTGTTTAATTTATTAACTGTACTTATTAATGCGTGTCATGAATAATGATTGATTACCCCTTTTTTTTGCTTATTCTGTATTAAATTTACTGATTTACCATTAAATTAAAAATAAAAATGACGGTCGAGTTGTAAAATTAAAATGGCTGTGTGATTTATTTCAAAGGCTTGGATGGATATTATGAATATGCTTGTCATTTTAAACCTTCAGCGCAAGTAGAAGTAAAATTTTATCTGGCAACTCTGATCCTGAGATGGAAGAACATCGATGTAGGCATCATTGGCGTAGCGGAAACAGCAACCACACTCATCGATAATTAGCGGGCACACACACCGCGGTTAGAGACGGAAGAACATAGATGACAGCCTGTCAATCATCGATACCATCGAAGATTGAAAAATCGACAATTTGGCATCGAAGTTTGTCCACCCATAATTACCGCCGTTGTTTTTTTCGCGTCCGAGGAATTAGTTTGGTTTTGGTGCGGGATTTTATTTTCAACTCGCTGTTTTCAGGTGCTTTTTATGGCCCGCTCTTAATCTTATCGCAAATCAAACCGCGGGCAATGAAAATTGTAATTGCATTTTTTGGCTAACGGTAACGGCTTCGCACAGTGGGCTAAATTGGGATTAATATTGAATCTGAATCCGAATACGAATCGAATCCCGGCCAGAACTTTAAGTGAACAATGCCCGTAAAGACGGTGAATCGGCAGCAGAGCCAAACGCCCGCCCAACAACTGCAATTGCAGCAGCAGCGCGACGTGGAAAATGGCCTTTATCCGACGATTCCGCCCGAGCGCCGCTCGCCCCCCTCGCGCCCACAAACGCTTCGGCAGGACACCATCGACATGGAGGAGATACCTCTGAACCAGACGAGCACCTCGGAACCCGAGGATCGCCGCAGGATGCGCGAGATATTCGACAAGGTAAAAAGATGATATTCAAGTTATATCGAAAAAATCGTTGGGAATTAACAGTACGGTTAACGGATAAGTCTTGTGAAATTGCACCAGTTTATGTTCCTCCGTGGGAAGAACAGAAAAAGAAAAAAAACAACAACCGTCCTAAAAACACTTAGCCGGCACTTACACATTCACACACTTGTGCATGTGAATGGAGTTGCTTGTTTATTATAGCCGTCTTCTTCTCGCCCTTGGTGAAAGTTGGGTTTGATGAATCATCTGAGCATTGATCCGCTAGTGCGGCAAAAACCCCACCTTTAACCCATCAATGGGCACGCTAAGATACAACGTTTATAAAATTAATTTTCAATAAATAGTGATTAAAAATAAACTATATTTTTTGCATTTTTGTATTAACAATATATTATTAATTCCACATTGGTATACTGCACAGCTAAAATTTCGAAGAAATCCAACATTTTATAAATTATTACTACTTACTTAAGTAAATGTTAAGTAAGCCAGGATTTAAAATGTTTTGTAAATTAGATACAAATTAAACAAAAAATTAGTACATTTATTAGAAAAATCGTTTTCTAAAAGCAGTTTAACGTTTTAGATTTACAGAACACTTCATTCAGTTTCTACTCAGGCGAAAATTAAATCAGTATAGAATAAGAAAATAAACGCATACATACAAAGCATCTTTAAATTCCAAAACGTGATTTTAGTTGATCAGAAATGTAAATAGGAAATTAAACAAAAAAAAACATTCTTAATGAGTTAAGTATCTGATGACAAACCACTTTTCGTGACTAACATTTTTATATATTACATTTTGGAAAGAACAACTCGCAACTAGTGGTTAAATTTTGATTTCGTGTCGTTGCTAAATGACTTTGCTAAAAACATTTCGCAGTACCCATATAATACATTGTTAAAAATTCTATATATGTATGTCCCTATGTGTTGTGCTCCTAGCGCCGACATACATAAATGCTTTATTTGAAAACACTTTTTTGGTTGATAAACCCCTTAGCACCCGGCTGTCACTCAATTTTGCGCCTTCCGTAGCGCTTAATTTTACCCCATGGGCTATTTTTTCGCTGCACTCTGTTTTCTTAAAATTAAGAAAATTCCTGGGAAAAGGGGACCGAAGGTGTGTGTGTTTTCTTATCGTGACAGAGGGGCGGCGAATAAAAAAAAAAAAACCGGTTATAAATTATTGTTTGCTCGCTTTGAGTTCTGTCTTCGCTTTGTTGTTGCTTTATTCTTTGCTGGCGTTAGTCACTTAACCACACCGCCACACCCCGATGCCACCCACCGCCCACCTGTTTGCATTTGTTGTTTGGGTTTTCATTATCAATTTCATTTCTGGACTTCTGGCACTGCGAATGCTTCAATGTACATTGTACATGCTCCTCTTGATTCACCACCTTTATTGCGTTCAATGGCCCCCGGCAACACGACAGATCCTACAAGTTAGCATTCTCCGGCTGAATATAAAGCAAACAACACAATATCTGTGATGATCATTCGATTAGCATATTAAATGAGTGACCCGCTCTGATTCCAATCCTATCCCAATCGATCCGATCCGCCTGGAAATCGGCATTCCAGACACATTCCCCTTCGTTGGCAATCTTATCTGGCTTCTTTCGCTCCAAACATTCAAGTGGGTTCCTATGCGTATGGGTATGCGTTGCTCAAGCTTCCATTCAATAATCTTGTCATGATATAACCAGAATAAAATACATAACAAATAACAACAACGGTAGTTGGATTTAAAAGGCCAACCCATATTTTGTGCAAAACATATGCATATTTAATAAACCTAAAATATATAATTTCTGGATACATTTAAACTTCTCAAATACGAACTTGTTTTGTTGAATATGGAGAGCAGAGCAGCAGGTTTTATACACTTTAGACCTGAATAACGGATTACATGAGAAATGCTTTTCTAGATTTTTGTTTTTTTTTTTCAATTTACTTAAGAGCCAAAATTGTTCTTTGTGAGACATGAACTTTATTCACTAAAAGCTAGTTAAACGAAGAAAAATACGAATTTGAGAACTTAGATTGTATCATTTGACATTTCAGAAATATCATGTTGATATGTCACAGATAAGAGCCATTTTGATATGAGAAAATACCAGCTTTTCGTTGATATAATTTTAGTAAGCTCTATATATTTTAAACACTGCAAGGAAAACTACAAAGATTTCAAGATGTCTGTTGATTTTGATTTACAAATTTCTGGTTTTAGAGTGTTCTAATTTATATATGTTAAATATTGACATATACCAAAAACCATAAAAAAGTATTACATATTAGCACATAGAATACCTTTTTTGTGTTGAACTGAATAACTGTCTGACTGTGACTAAGTGCCAATCCCCGCGAGACACCATAACCATTGGCCACTCACCCGCTTATCGCCTGATTGTCCAACTTTTTTGAGTTTTTTCTTCTTTCAGAACATTTAACGTGCAAGACATTAGCTCATGTCTGGGATGGGGGCTAAACATGACCACCGCACATGTGTATCTATATAAATGTCTATAGTATACGTACATATGTATCTGCTTGTCTTTTTGCGTGGAGCGAATTTTTAAGTGCGAGCATTGACATTTTGCTTGGTTTTGTTTGCTTCCCCTCCTTTGTTTTCCCAGTTTCTATGATTAGTCGCGTTAATTGTCGGCGATTTTGTGTTAATTTACTAAAATGTTTTAAACAAATGCATAAAGACTGCGAATATATGTGAGATAATACCCACTAATGGTCTGCTGCAGCGGGTGTTCCAATTACGTTCTTGGAAACCACAAGGCATGCACTAATATTTAGATTACATTCTTACGTTACATTATTGGAAACCAAATATTTGCTTCCTTTCAAACCAGACTTAAATATTTACTTATTTATACAGTGCTTTTGTTGTTCTATACTGAATATTTCTTTACAAACCATATTTTAGTTTACTTACTTATTAGGCAAACGCATTAAAAACAACTAAAAGTGGCTTTTCTTAATAATTTTAAAAGGGGGTGCCCCTCTTTTAATAAAAAAATATCTGCCTTAAATAGATTGGTAAACATGAATCACAAATATATATATTTCTAAACATAGTGAACGTTTATATAGATGGCTAGGAAAGTTATTGACCATACTTTAAAGGTCAGTGCAGCGCTTATCTATGACAAATGTTTTTTATGGCTTAGAAGTCGGCCAAAAACGATAAGAAGTTAACATCCATATAAGGGCTGTCGATAAGAATGATTTTGTGTAAAGCTAAATTCGAAATGGCCTTGACTTTCAATAGAGAAGATGTTTTATACTTCATATTCATATATTTTGTAAATGCTAATGCCTTGAAAATGTATTTATACTTGAGAAAATGTTTGATTTTAGCCACTCCTATTGTTTAACTTTAGTGACAATTGTGCAATTTCCAGTGACTTTCGGTTGGCCTCGTTTGGATTTCTAGTTTCTCGTCTCGATCTGTGGCATTCCTATCCTTTTATGGACACTTTTTGGCCCGACTGCATTCGCTGTTATGTTGCGAGTGAAGCAACCAAAAGGGGAAAATCAATCAAAGAAACTTAGTCAATTTGTTGCGATTTCTTTCGGACTCTTTATTGCGCACTTGGAGTCTTACAGCATGATTTAGTGGGTGGATTGTGTTCATTCGGACTCTGAGGCAAGGTCAAAGAAGGTGGACACTTGGCGTTGGGGCATTAAAGTGCTGGTAGCCACCACCCCCAGCTCCTCCTCTTCAATAGCATCGTGCCAAGTCAGGGGCTCCTCCTTCAAAGCCAGCCACTTCCGCTGCCGTTCCAGCTCCAGAGTCTGCTTCTTTTGCTGGCTCAGGATATTTGGAGGCCTGGGTGCAGCCACCTGGTGGATCAGCGATGGCAGGTTGACCAGCCAGCACGGCAGCCATGACCCCATCGTGCTCCTGTCACGCCGGCCACCCAGTCGCTGAGCCTGCCGTCGCTCCAGGGCCGCCAGTTCCCGCTTTTCCCGTGCCCGTGCCTGGTCGGGATTGGGCGTGGTGCAGAGATCTAGGACGGCAAAGAGGCCGGCCATGCCCAGATAGAGCAGCAGGACGGTTGCGAAGCCAGACGATTCCTGCAACTGGAACGCATCCTCCTCCGACGTCTGGCAATCGCACGGCGTTGCCGGTGGTGTCCAGCCCAACCAGGTGGTCACGTGGCGGGTCATCTGCACCAGTTGCGACATCCTCGAATGATGCGTCTTCACTTCTTATTCAGAAAACAAAAAGTTTAATATTACTTCAATTGCAAAATTATTACATTGAATGGAACTAATATAAATCATAAAATCTTGCATTTAAATAATTAACAATAATCCTAACTAAAATTATAATTTAATAATATTTAAACTTTCATTCAAATTCAAAACATCTTAAGCCCTACGAATATAGTATTCAATATTACTACAAGTAGTTTATAATTATTATTTGAAAAGTTATTTGTCACATTCTAAGGGATCTTTTAGTAAGGTTTATATTTTATATTTTCATTATATATTTTTAGTCAGTCGCATTTTTAAATCCTTTTGATCAAGAATATGACTGATGGCTTAGAATTTTTTCTAATTAAGGCCAGATATTTAAATTAAAATTAAGACTGACGGAATTACTATATCAAATTGGATACAAAGATATTAAAAGAACAACCAACGAAATAAAATATAAATTTTGGATTTCAGAAGTGTGACAATGCTTATGATTATATACTTACTCCACTGTGTTGCATCTGTTTGTTACGGTGCGGGTCTGTCCGCCCAGGTGGAAAAAAGGGTAGTAACTGAATTTGAACCGCTTTTCCTAAACCCCCGCTGACATTTCTATCCAGGGCCTACTGTTATAGTACTTTGGGGTTGATATACGGTTCCAAACGGAATGTCAATTTGTTCTTTGGATCTGAAATTGTAAAATAACTTTATTTATTTAAATAAAAAAAAATGTTTGTTGATAACAGGCTTTAAGAGAAAGAAACCCCTAAATACACTAAATAAAATCAATTTGTTAATTTTACAAGTCATTTTGCTTGCCAACATTATTTTTAAGCATTTAAATTGTGTATTTCATATTTATTAATATTTATTATATTATTATTATATATGTTAAACTGAACAAAACAAATATGTGCAGTGGATAGCAGTTCTGGCTTTTGTTAGCTCTTTGAATAAATAAATCTGTATAAATCGGTGATCCATCTCCATATAACTAAATCAATATATTTGTTTTTCGCCACAGCACGACTCCGACAGGGACGGTCTGATCGGAACGCACGAACTGAAGGAGCTGATATCGGATGGTTATTGCCGGGACATCCCCGCTTATATCGCCGAGCAGATCCTGAAGCGCGGCGACCAGGACAACGATGGCCATTTGGACTTTGAGGAGTTCTACCAGATGTCCCTGCGCCACAAGTGGATGGTGCGCAACATGCTGACCCGCTACTGTCGCTACGTGGTCCCGCCCCCAAAACCACTGGAGGGCGACGAACCGGACGGCGCCTACGAGAAGCAGATGTCCATCTGCCCACCGCCACTCACCATGGTCATCTTCTCGATCATCGAGATCATCATGTTCCTCGTGGACGTCATTCACTTCCAGTGAGTTAACTCTAGTTTTTTACCATCGAAATGTCTGAAATCCGAATCACTTTCTGTAACGCAAATCTCACAACATTAGTTTCTTGGAAGCTACGAAAGCTAGAAATCACAATATTATGTAGAGTTTATTGTTTATTTTGAAAACGGACAAATAATACTGTTTTATGGCTAGTTCCAGTAGTTCTTCTTTTTAAGAAATTACTGCAGGGGATCGCAATATCGCAATGTATTGGAAATATCATCATAACTACTTAGAATTATAAAACAAGATTTCAATTTGTTATTATAAATACAAGTGCATTGATATTATAAAGTTAAGCTTTTCATACAATTTAAAATTTTCTCCACTGTTTTAAGGTTTCAAAAATGTTTCTTTTTATATGCATTAAAATGCTGTGCATATTATATAAAATTTGTCAATGCTTTGTGTTACGGAAAAGGGATTTTAGATGAAGAAAAAAATGTTTTTGTTCCGAGAGTATGTAATGTATGTTATGTCTGCCTTCCTTTCAGGGACGATCCCAACTACCAGGATCGCATTGGAGAAAGCACTAGCGGACCCGCAGCCACTCTGTTCATTTACAATCCGTACAAGCGCTACGAGGGCTGGCGCTTTGTGAGCTACATGTTCGTCCACGTGGGCATTATGCATCTGATGATGAACCTGATTATCCAAATCTTTCTGGGCATCGCCCTGGAGCTGGTGCATCATTGGTGGCGCGTCGGTCTTGTCTATCTGGCCGGTGTTCTGGCAGGATCCATGGGCACCTCACTAACCAGTCCTCGAATCTTTCTAGCGGGCGCATCGGGTGGAGTATATGCACTGATCACGGCTCACATTGCCACAATTATAATGGTGAGTGTCCATGGAACGATTAATGCACTAACTGCGAGTCCATATAGTTATACCTATTTAAATTGAAAAATGCACAAAACAATTAAAAATTGATTATTAATTCTAATCTTGATAAACGTCCAGTGAATTTTGATAGTTTTTTATTGAAACTTTGAGAAACAGAGGTTAAAAATCGGAATGTCATTCCTATTTAGCCTTTGTCTTATTAGGATGCAAAGCTCTTAAAATCAAAATTTTTAAGGCTATAAATCTGAAATTCTAAAAATTTTTAGATATTTTATCAAAACCCTAAGAAATAGTATTTTAATATCTGGCATGTTATACCTCGTTGAACTCGTAATAAAATTTCAAATTTATTGGCATTTACAGCTGATAATCCTTTTTTTTTGGTCAATTCGTATAAAAAGTCAAGTTTGTCCGCAGTGCGTGCTTTTCAATCCAAAGTTCCGACAAAAGAAAAGACTTCAAAACCCCATTTTTGTATATTTGTATAATTCGGTGCTATCTTCTTCTTCTGCCAACAGAACTACTCGGAGATGGAGTATGCTATCGTTCAGCTGCTGGCGTTCCTGGTCTTCTGCTTCACCGATCTGGGAACCTCGGTGTACCGCCACCTGACCGACCAGCACGACCAGATTGGCTATGTGGCGCACTTGTCTGGCGCCGTGGCCGGTTTGCTGGTGGGGATCGGGGTGCTGCGCAATTTGGAGGTGCGGCGCTGGGAGCGCATCCTCTGGTGGGTGGCCGTCATTGTCTACTTTGCCCTCATGACCACCGGCATCATCATCCATGTCTTTGTGCCCGACTACTTCCCCAAGCAGGAGTACAACTAGCCCTAGAACTTAGCCGTAGCCCGTAGCCCGTAGCCGTAGCTCTAGCCCTAGCCTAGACCATGTCCAAAGTGCACTTCGATGTTGAGCCGAGGCTGCAGTACGCACAGTACTATCAATAGCATTAACCTTCCCTTTCCTGGCCTTTTTGCCACGCCCCTACCAGCTCCGACCCCATGTGCCTATGTTGGCTGCAAACATAATTTATTTTCTTACACACTTGCCATGGCAGCCTCAACCCATCCGTACGTATAAGGTACGTATTTTTTTATATTTATATACATACATATATATTCTCGATCTACGCGACGCAACGAAATGTGTGCTCTGGGATGGTTTCCCATTTATGCAAAACCCGCTGAGAACGAAACTCAGCCAGCTGCTGCATTTGTATTGTATTGTACATTTCGTCAATATTATTTTTTTTTTTCTTCCACAAAACAACGATTTACCAAGAATAACGAGAAATATTTTTAAACAATGTATACTGTATATTTTTGGAGATTTATTATTAAGAGCTTATATTTAAATGCAATAAAAACAATGTCTTTGTATGAAATAAACGAAAAGTGATGTTCTTAACTTACGGTTTTCAAATGAATGGCGAAAATAAAATTATTCTTATTCTAAGGGATGTCATTTATTCAATAGTTCGTTCTGGACTTCTTACCAAGACCAACATAACTTATATGCTAAAGTACTTAAAAAATATCGTTGAATTTAAAATTCAACGTTTTAAATCAATTTAGTCAAGAAAACACTTTCCCACTCTAGGAGATTTTCCTTATTATTACGTTTTACTCCTGTTACAAGTTTGTTTGATTGTACAGTGTTTATTCAATATGAAGATTAATACTCAAAGGTAAACAAACAGTGTTTAGGTGTCAAATGAGACGTATTAAACGTCGTTCAGCCTAAGAAATATTCGGCAACGAATGTCTTTTAGGCAAATTTACAAAAAATCCAAAAAAAAAAAAAAAGTGTCGCAGCAGTTTGGGGAAAATCAAGAACAAAATATTTCGTTAAGCACATCGTTTCTGTTAGTTATTTTCATGTCAAATGAGACGTTTGAAACGCCGTTTAGTCTAAGTTGCGTGCAAAGAGTGTGTTTTAAGTGAATTTACAAAAAAATCAAAAAAAAAAAAAATATTAAAAAAAAAAAAAAAAAAGTCGCTGAGCTGAGAACCAAATATTTTGTTTTCGTTTCCTGTTGAATATCCTTTGAGTATGTTTATGTGTGTGTTGGTGTGTGTGTGTGTGTGTGTTGGTGCTCAAAGACTCAGTCTTGCCATTCTCTGGTACTAGGAGGGTTTAGGATTTAGGATTTAGGATTGCTTATGAGCTAACTTATGCAACTTATGGCGCCTAGGCATTGTAACATCCAGGACTAAAACTTCTCATCGCTGCTCTCCTCTGGACGGGGCAGGAACTTGAGCTTGGTGGTGTCGCACATGGCCACCTTGGCCACCGAGAGCCAAGCCTGCGGCATCATGTGGTGCAAGATGGCCTCGAGACGCTCCACGGGCAGAAAGGCCACACACTGGCCGTGGTCCAACTCCTGGCAACTATCGCCGGCGGAGCAGTGATTGAGGTGATCACCGTCCGGAATTCCCGGCACCGGACGACGCACTGGTATAACATCCTTACCGCTGCCACGATACAGCGTCCCAGTGGCACTCAACAGCTGGGTAACCAATCCCAGGCGGAACACCTTCAGCTGCTCGGCATTGTCGCTGATGGCCTGCATCACGGCATTGGTCATGTTGGCCGTATTGTGCATACACTTGGGAATGAGTAGCACATCCGATATGGTGGCACAGCTGGCGAGCAGGGGACTAAAACCGCCGTCCAAATCGACATTGATCAGCTCCAGGCGACGTACGCCACCGGCGAGGGATAGACCACGCATAATATCGTCCACCGGGAACATGGCCATGCCCTTGTGATCGTTCTCCAAGCGGAATGAGCGCAGAGCCTTCAGGCTGGGCAGCACCTCCCTGCCCAGCTTCTCACATTTCACATCCTGGCAGGAGCCCAGCGACAGCACCTCCAGACGCGGCAGCTCCTTGAATGCCAGCATGTTCAGATTGCCCAGATTGGTCACTCCACGCAGACTCAACTCGGTCAGATGCTTCAGTTTCGCCAGCAAGTTCAACGAACTCACGGTGGCCTTCGGCTCCGTCATGTGGATGCGAAGTACGCGCAACTCGGTTAACTTATCCAACTGCATCAGATTCAGTGATCGACTCACGCAGGTGGCTCTCAGTTCCAGCAACTGCGGCAGATTGCGTATGGCCAGGCTGATGAACTCCGCATCGCTGGCATCGGTACGCAATACACGCAGGGCCCGGAGCACACGCATATCACCGGTCATGCGCAACTGCGGATTGGCCATCATCACGCCCATCATGTCCAGTTCGCGCGTGCGGTGGCGGGCCAGTTCGCGCAGACAGAAGACCCAGTTCTGGATATAGGTGTCGCGCAGGCTCACCGAACGCCACACTCCATTCTCGCGGCCAACCATGGCCCAGGTCTTGCACACACGCGACATGTTCATGCGTTCCTAAAAGAGCGGATTGCCAGAAGCAGTCAGAAGATTTTGCGAACTAATCTAATGCAATGCAATATCTACCTTTAGGTTCATCGTTTTCATGATGGCCATCAGCACTTGACAGCCGTTGTGGGCATCAGCCATGCTCTCCATCAGATCTTGGCGCGACTTGTTGTATATCTGGTTGCGGCGCTTATTGTATATCTGATCGTAGCCGCTTAAATCCGGCTGGCGTGGAAGCCTGTCAAAGGAAAAGGCAAATGGAAATCGAATTAGCCATTGACCATACATAATGAGGGGGGTTTTTTTTTCGTCGAAGGAGAAACACGATTCGTTTTTGGAACTAAACCGACTCACAGTTTCACTTGGGATCGCGGCAAATCGGCCTGAATGGCTATGGCCTTGCGTCCGGCGACCACGACCACCTCCTGCTCCCTGAGTGCGCGCCTGGGTGTCAGGTCATTGAATAGCTGCGCCGGCGGATGCTGACCAGGCACCTTGATCTCCTCGCCGATCTCCAACAGACTGCCGACGCTCGCGTTGTCCTCATCATCCGGATCATCATCGAACTCGCTCCTCTCAGATTCCCTCTCCTTCTCCCGCTTGATCTTCATACAGCTCTGCAAACGGAGAGGCCATTAAATCGGCATTAAATTGGCTCACTAATCAAGATGATGAGTGATGTGCCATCTACCTGACAAGTGTTGGTCTTGAGGGATCCCTGCTTGGAGCCAGATGGCAATGGAGTCTGGCAATACACACAGTTCGCAATCTTTATGGCGGCGACCCTCGACTGTCTGGGCATGAAGCTAGAATAGTTGTTCAAAATTATAGACATTATATTCAAAGCGTTGCGATCAATGTATGGTAAGCTACCCTCTCTTGCGTGTGAACTTGCTCGACAGCGAGGTTCCGGCTGCGTTAGCTCCGCCGCCGCCGCTGCCATTGCTGTTGGCCAGCACCCGAGAGTTGCCCTTGACCGCCATGGTGGCGGTCCAGCCCTCGCTCGGCGGACTTGCCCCCTTGGGCACTTTGGGCTTGGACACACGCTTGCCGGTGATGGGCAACGGAGTGGTCGGCTCCGGATGGGCCATTGACTGCTGTTTGGTTTTGCGTAGCATCGCATTGGAGGGCATGGCCCGACGCACCAGCTCGTGTTCGGGCGGTGCACCTTGCGCCAGGCGCTGGAAACAGAAGTGCTCGATGGTCAGCTCGCCCGTCAGCAGCGGCACAATATCCTCCCGTGAGCGCAGCTTGCGTCCATTGGGTGCTATGAAGAAAACGTCGCCAGTGCGACGCTTGTGATTCTTGGAGCTGGGCAGGACAAGCTCACGCTTCCAGCCGTAGGCGAAGGGCAGGCGATAGAACTCGTCGGTGGCCTTCAACTTCAGCGCTGAGACAGTGGTGGACAGCTTCTCCGGTATGGCCTCAATTTGGGCATCAGGCTTGGGTTCATTTTTAGGCTCTGGCTTGTTCTCTAGCTCAGGTTCAGGCTTGAGTTCGGGCTCAGGCACCTTGGCGGTGTTATTGATGGCAGTAGAGGAGGCCACTTCTATGGGCATGGTCTGATCCTGGCTACTGAAGCGTTGCGCACGACGCAGTTGCACTGCCGCCGACGAATTCTGGACATTCAGTGATTTTGCACGCTTGGCGAAACGACTGGGCGTGGTTAAAATAATGCCATCCGTTTTGGTACTCTTGGGACTTTTGGCCATTGGGACTTCAGCTTCATCTTCATCTTCCTCCTCCTCCTCCTCGTTGGTCTTATTCCCATTCGAGCTGAATAAGCGTTTGCGAGTTTTGAAACGACGACCCGGCGATGCAGACGTCATTGGGCTGCCCTCATTCTCGGCCACCACCAGGGGTTCAAGTTCCTCCTCTTCCTCCTCCTCCGCCTCCTCGTCGTCGTCGTCAATCTCTATTACCGACTGCTGCTGCTGCTGCTTATCCTCCGGCTGCTCCATCTCCACATCATTCTCCTGGGGACAACGACACAAGAAGTAGAGAAAGAGAGAGAGATAGAGTTAGTGGGTCAGTAATTTTCCCGGATGTAAGCATATGATTTTGGTTAAGGTCTCCACCTGGTTGTCTAGTTCTGGACTTGGAGTTGTTGCAGTACTGCCAGTTGCGTTGGAATTGTTGTTGCTGTTGTTGCTGTTGTTGTTGTTGTTGCTAGTTGTTGCTGTCGTTGTTGTTGTTGTTGTTATGGTTAGATTTGTACTTGTTGCAGTTGCTAAAGTGATTGGCTGTCTTGATTCTAGTTCTAGTTCACCAGGTTCACGTCCTGTTGTCGTCATTATCATGTCAGAATTGGGGGACAATGAGGACTCGACCGGCGATGTCATAATCGTCAATGGAGGCGATGCTAGCGACTGCTGCTGCTGCTGCTGCTGTTCTTGCTGCTGCTGCTGCTGCTGTGGCTGCTCCTCTGCCATTTCAGCCGGTTCGGCTGGCCCTGCTTCTGCCTCAGCTTGCAGTTCCACTCTTGGAAACACCATCAATCCGCTCATGACCCGTGCCTGCAGCTCGCCCAGCGACTATGATTGTCGTCGTTTCGGTTTGAGATTGAGGTGCGCACAAAACGGTTACGGGTTGGTACATACAATAATACAGATCATTTCTACAGAACACACACAAATAGGAAACAGACACTCTGTATACCCAATACTTTTTCTTTTTGATTGTGGCATGAAACCAGACCAGCCTATAAGAAACAAGACTACATGTCTAAAAATAAACGAGTATACAGAGGCATATTCCATATTCCATATTCCATGCAGAGACAGCAGCAGGTCCGCTCCCTTCCAGCACAGTTTCGCCATCCCCTCTACTCACCTGCGGCTCCAAATCCAAGCTGTTATCAATGCTGGTCATGGCCTTTAACTTTGGGAATCCACCCGACCAGCCCATGAGCGCAGTATCTCCGGATGAAAGACGGCGTTTACGACGACGAGGGGTTCCTAAATGGTAAGCAATAAGAAAATGGATTAGATTACACTGCATGCGGGAGCTTTAGATACTTATTCAATGTTCTAGCTTATTTAAAATGACTAAAGATCAATGCTTTTTAAGAAATGAAAAGAACACCCAACTTATAGCCCATTATAATTTGTAAGTTTTTCAAAATTATTACAAGATATTCTAACTTGAAGTTACTGCGTTTTCGGTCATTTTGTATATTTATACCCTTGCAGAGGGTATTATTATTTGGGTCAGAAGTTTGCAACGCAGTGAAGGAGATATTTCCGACCTTATAAAGTATATATATTCTGGATTCTTGGTCCGTCCGTCCGTTTCTACGCAAACTTACCTTTTGCATAAGTCGGAACGAGCCGGATCGGACAACTATATCATATAGCTCCCATAAAAACAAACGGGAAAAAAAAAGAAAAATAATTGCTATTGGAATTACGTTTTTAATTTTATTCAAATCGGAAAACTATGTCATGAAAATCATCGTTGCTTCAATGTTATTAAACATTTACTCATATAATTCGAATTTTTTTAAAATTAAAGCTCTTAGATTTCGTTCTGGCACTCACCATTTATGGCACCTCCGTTTTGTAGATCGGACTCGCCGGAGTCATTCTGATGATGCCCATTCATCTGCGGCGATGAAGAGCTCGTGGTGGTGTCATCCTGCTCGCTGCCCGAGAGTTCCATGGAACTAGGCCCACCGGTGGGAGTAGCCCCGGATCCGGAACCATGGCCATTGCTGGTCATTGGCAGTGGCGAAGCCTGCGACTTGAAGCTGCTGCTGGAGCTGGGTGGTGAGCCCTTCTTGGCGAGCGCCTTTGATGTGCCAGGAATGTCGTCGGGGTCGGACGAGCTCATGTCGCTCTGGAAAGGATCTGAAAAAATGGCAAGTCATTTGAGATTCAAAATATTATAAAGTAAAAAAAAGAACCCTATATAAATGAGAAATATAAAAACGTTTTGTAAAAAGAAAAGGATTCCCAAACATTTGCACAATTTTGAACTTTTTATAAAAATAATGGTAATACATTTATAGAACTCTCTATATAGAAACTCTGCGACTATACTGACATGTATAATCAAGTGCTACATTTATATGACAACTCTGGAAACAACAAACCAGGTCCTTTAAATGTCATATTTTTGTATGACTGTGCACAATTTAATTCCGTTCTATGATACCATAGTCATTTTGGATGATCGCAAGAGCACAATAGTGAAGAAATTCTGCCTTATGCCAATTGTATACTAGATTAAGGTTTTAATTTAATCAAATAATAGACAATTAGATTTAACTTTTTAGGGTTGTAGCTAAAACTGTTGTAGTGCTTTTTTGTTAAACTTTCTTACTAAAACTATAGCACATTTTTTTATTTTTTATTTTACTTTATCGAATATTATTTTTAAACAAATGTGATTTACTAAGTATGTATTTGTTTTCGAAATATCATTTGTGTTTATATGTATTGTTCTTCGAAGCCGCCAAGCACTTCATTTGAAACATACCCGAGCAGGCGGCTAATACATCTGTATGCGTGCGCCAGCCTCAACAAATTTTCGACAAGAGCTTGCAGGTATGTGCGTACATACATGTCATGTGTGTGTGAGCGGTGCGGTGGTTTGTTTTTGTTCGGTTTCTGCTTTGATCGCAACATACCCATTCACGTTCATTACTTTTTGACCAATGAAAACACACGCACACATACATATAAGAATGCGGAGCTGCAAAAATCACAGTTTGTTGCACATTTTTTGTTTAAATGACATGCGAAAATGGTTCTAAACTAAATTCTCCATGTCTTCTTTCACTTTGCAAGCAACCCATTTTGCTTAACCATTGTGTTTATCACGCTTTGCCTTAAAGCTTCTTCGGCGCATCGCCAACTTGCGGTGCAAAAGTGTGGGTATCACAGCGTCTGTATGCGTAAGCGACGCCAATTAAAGCGGCCACAAAATTCACTCTTACACTTGGACGCGTTTTACCAAAATATATAGAAAATGCCACTTACCTTGTCAACTTAACTAAGCACAATTTATCTCCCGAAACTAGAACTAGCACCGGTAAAATTTCCTTCGAAAAAGAAAATGAATTAGCTTGCTGATAGCAAGAAACATCGAAGCATCGATGTTTTCAAAAAATCTGTGTTATCGATGCTTGGCACGGATTATCCTTGCCTAGGCTAATATCGAGGTTTTGGCGATAGTGAGTTTTTTAACAATCGATATAAGCTATGTGCTATTCACACTGCCTCGCGTTTCCAATCGAGTTATCTAGTATTGTGTTCATATTGGGCTAATAGCCTGGTTCCATTGGCGTTTAATGCCGCATTTAAATTAAATGCAATGAATAGCCTGATGCAATTGGCGCATTAAAACGCATTTAGCCTAAAGCGCATTCATTAACACAAAAAGCCAAAAGGCTAAATGCCGCATTTAAAATACATGCGATAAATCAATGCGATTTAAAATCATTCGCTCCAAATGTTTTTAGAAAACATACGATATTTCGTTAGTGCCACCCCCACAACAGCTGGTTTTTATACGTAAGAATGGCGCAATTTTTAATTTCTTTTGAATATAAAATCTATTTGGCGTACAAAGTAGTTTACGGAAATGAGCGTAAATTCACTCATAACCAAGATTTTGAACACGCAGCAAAAGTTTTCAAAAGCTTACCGATTCATCGATATGCCTTTAAATAGTAATAACCTTAAGCTTTATTTTACATTTGGCCTATAAATTCTTACGAAATTTCCAATTCTGTTGACAATTGCAGTGTTTTTTTTTATTTTAAATAAAATTTTAATCCATGTGCTGCTATCGATAGTACCAAAAATATCGATAACCGTAATCATCCCTGGTCGAACCAACTGGTTGTACATATGTATTTAACGCGTATTACATACCTACATACACATATAACATTGCCAGCTCTGCACGTGAAATTCGTAGGCGGCGAAAGTAATCTGTGATCAAATCAAGTGAGTATACGGGCTATATGTGCGATCCAGATGGTATATATGTAACACCTTCGCCTCCAAGCAGAAATGTCCAAGGCCAAGGGAAAGAAGAAGGAACGCTTCGACAACGACGACGAGGAGCAGTTGGAGAAAGTGCAGGAGAAGAAGGCGCCGCCAACCAAGAAGGGTGGCAAGAAGGGAAAGCGAGGAGGTGGCGGCGACTCCAGCGACGAAGATGTGGCACCCAAAAGCAGAGACAACGAGGATCTCGAGAGCATAGCCTCCTCGAACCAGAGCAAACAGCAGCAACAGCAGGGCAAGAAGCAGGCCAAGAAGGGCAAGAAGGGCAGGAAGAACGATGACTGGAGCGACGAGGATGAGAAGCCAGCGAAGGGCAAGCAGGATGATGATGAGGATGACGACGACGAGGAGGACGTGGCGCCTCCACCCTCCAAGCCAGCGGCCAAAAAGCCACCGCCCAGCAAGAAAAACAAGAAGAACAAAAAGAAAAACGACGATTTCTCCGATGAAGAGGAACCCGATCTGGATTTAGAGCAGCTGGACGACGAAGAGGAGGAGCTGGTAGTAGTGGCGGCTCCAAAGCCTGCCTCCAAAAAGTCCAAGAAGAAGCAGCAGGCCCAGCAGAAGAACAAATTCGCAATGAGCGACGATGAAGATGAGGCAGACGAAGATTTGCTAGATGACGACGACGACGAGGAGTTGGTGGAGGAGCAGATGTCCAGCAAACCTGCGGCCAAGAAGTCAAAGAAAAAGCAGCAAAAGCAACAGCTTCCTGCCAGCGAGGACGAAGTGCAGCCGGAGGATGAGGATGAGCAGCCCGAAAAGAAAGTGGAGGAGCAGAAGGCAGAGCAAATCCTCAGCGAGAAAGTGGCAGCAGTGAGTCTCAAGGCAAAGACGCCGGAACCCGAACCTAAAGAGCAACTCCAGACCCAACCTGAAGCTATAGTGGAACCCCAACCCGAGAAGGAAAACGACGCTGAGGCGGAGGAACCCAAATCCGAGGATAGCAAGGAGGAGACCAAGGAGAAGAAGCTAACCCACAAGGAGAAAAAGAAGCAAAAGAAGCAGCAGGAGTACGAACGCCAAATGGAACTAATGACCAAGAAGGGCGGCGCTGGACACTCGGATCTGGACAATAACTTCACCATGTCGCAGGTGCAGAAGAGCGCCGGTCAGCAGGCAGCCCTCGAGCATGCCGTCGACATCAAGATCGAGAATTTCACCATCTCAGCCAAGGGTGAGTCACATGAGTTGGCCATTCCATCTATGTATGTATGTGCATTTTAATAAACACCTTTGTATCCACTCACACCAGGCAACGATCTGTTTGTGAACGCCAACCTGCTGATTGCCCATGGACGTCGCTATGGCCTGGTGGGTCCCAACGGACACGGCAAGACCACACTGCTGCGGCACATTGCCACCCGTGCCTTCGCCATACCGCCGAACATCGATGTGCTGCTCTGCGAACAGGAGGTGGTAGCCACCGACAAGACGGCCATCGATACGATCATGGAAGCGGACGTGCGACGCACCGAGATGCTCAAGAAGGCGGATGATCTGGAGAAACAGTTCGCCGCCGGCGATTTGAGTGTGCAGGAGGAGCTGAACGATGCCTTTACGGAACTAAAGGCCATTGGTGCCTACTCGGCGGAGGCCAGAGCGCGTCGAATCCTGGCCGGTTTGGGTTTCAGCAAGGAGATGCAGGACAGACCGACCAACAAGTTTTCCGGCGGCTGGCGCATGCGTGTCTCCCTGGCGCGTGCCCTCTATCTGGAGCCCACGCTACTCATGCTCGACGAGCCCACCAATCACTTGGACCTCAACGCTGTCATCTGGCTGGACAACTATCTGCAGGGCTGGAAGAAGACGCTGCTGATCGTGTCCCACGACCAGAGTTTCCTCGACAACGTCTGCAACGAGATCATCCATCTGGATCAGAAGAAACTCCAATACTACAAGGGCAACTATTCGATGTTCAAGAAGATGTATGTGCAGAAGCGTCGCGAGATGATCAAGGAGTACGAGAAGCAAGAGAAGCGGCTGCGCGAGCTAAAGGCCCACGGTCAGTCCAAGAAGGCGGCGGAGAAGAAGCAAAAGGAGTCGCTCACACGCAAGCAGGAGAAGAACAAGTCGAAGCAGCAGAAACAGGACGAGGATGAGGGGCCGCAGGAGCTGTTGGCCCGACCCAAGGAGTATATCGTCAAGTTCCGCTTCCCGGAGCCATCGCAACTCCAGCCACCCATTCTGGGTGTGCACAATGTGACCTTTGCCTTCCCCGGCCAAAAGCCGCTCTTCATCAAGGCGGACTTTGGCATCGATCTAACCAGCCGGGTGGCCATCGTTGGACCCAATGGCGTCGGCAAGTCCACGTTCCTCAAGCTGCTGCTCGGCGAACTGGAGCCGCAGCAGGGTGAGCAGCGCAAGAACCATCGCCTGCATGTGGGCCGCTTCGATCAGCACTCCGGCGAACATCTCACGGCAGAGGAATCGGCAGCGGAGTATCTGCAGCGTCTGTTCAATCTGCCGCACGAAAAGGCGCGCAAGGCGCTGGGTTCCTTCGGTCTGGTCAGCCATGCCCACACCATCAAGATGAAGGATCTGTCCGGTGGCCAGAAGGCTCGTGTGGCGCTCGCCGAGCTGTGTCTGAGTGCGCCCGACGTCCTCATTCTGGACGAGCCCACCAACAACCTGGACATCGAGAGCATCGACGCGTTGGCGGAGGCCATCAATGAGTACGAGGGCGGCGTGATCATCGTCTCCCACGACGAGCGATTGATCCGCGAAACGGGCTGCACTCTCTACGTGATTGAGGATCAGTCGATCAACGAGATCGACGGCGAGTTCGATGACTACAGGAAGGAGGTGCTCGACTCGCTGGGCGAGGTGGTCAACAATCCCAGCGTGGTGGCCAATGCGGCGGTGCTGCAATAACCCTGGAGTTGGACCCGCACTTGGACTTCACGCCACTACGCCACTACGTCATCTCGTCAGCCGGCTCGACCTCTGTTAATACTTTAACTGTTGAATGGTTTATCCGCTAGTTAGCCTTTTTGTACCAACATATGTGAACGATAACAAATTGTAAGAGTAAAAGTTATTACCCAAGAGAACTGTTTGCTTATCTTAATTTGATTATGGTTCTTGAGGAACTTTGGGGAACATCTTTCAAGTTTGCACAGTTGTAGTTGTCGTCTGCCACCAACTATTTCAAATATATTTTACTTAATTTCTCTTTTGTTTTCTAAAACAACTTTATTTTACCGGTAAAAATAATTTATTTGGCATTTGCGAAAATATTTGAATATGCTAAGGTAATACATATTTAAAATTTAAAGAAATTTGTATATGGTCAGTCCTTGTTATTTGTTAAATTTAAGTAGCTGAATGATTTATTTTTCCAAAAAACTTTATTTGGGAAAGTCTGACATACAAAAATTGAATGAATTTTCAATTATTAAATGAAGATCTTGGATTGTTAGATGTCCAAAACAAATATGAAAATGTTATTGGTATAAAGTAAAGTACCTGATTTGATTTGATTTTGATTTGGAAAAGTGCAATTTATATAAAATCGAAGGTGATTTCAACTAATTAATTGTAAAGTACTAAAGATTCTTTGAATATGAGATGTCCAATAAATACAATAAACACAATTACATGCAGTAAAACAAGCATATTCCAATAATTTATGCTTTATTTCAGTTAACAAAAGTTAGGAATAGTTCTTAGATCTAGTGTGGAATTGAGAGGATGAAGCGAACATCTAGCCGCTGCGATAGAAGGCCTTGACATTGTTGATCAGGTGGCTCAAGCCATTATAGCCATCCTTGTCGAAGTCGATGTTCTCACCCCCGAATTCAATGACCTGAAAGTGGAGAATGGCGGTTAATGGGGGTCATCATCAGGGGATTCCGCGGAGTAACTGCACCCACCTCCTTGGCCCTGATGGTGTCGGCACCATGTGGCACTCCAATGACCTCCACCCAGGCTCCATCGGCGGCACCCAACTCTCCGGGCAGATTGATCTTCAGCTTGTGGTTGTCCGTGGAACTGGCCAGCAAAGTGGAACCCGCCACGCTTTCCACGCGAACCATAATGCTCACGGTTTGGCCATTGAACTGCTTTAGCATGCCGCCGTTGATGATTGAACGTGGATCAAAGGCATCCATCATTTTTCACCAGTTTTTTAAGGTTTTATTTAAGCGGATCGGTTTAGTCTGCGAATTGCAGCAGAAAATGAAATGCCGTAAACAAGAAAGAGCGCCAAAATCGATTAGGCGTTCTATCGATTCTATCGATACTATCAAAATGTAGTTTTTTATTTTCCGGTTGGTGTTGTTAATCAATAACTGTTAAATGGCAGTAATCAGTATAAATGCACCCAATGATATGCATAAGATTATTGTTAAGCTTTTATTGGCAACTAAGAGGTAAAATACCAAAATACTAGATGTATCTAAACAAGTAACCTTTTTGTAGTTCAATTAATTAAAAATTCAACAATACAACTTAAATAATATTAAAAATTAAATTTAAATCAGATTCTTTAGCATATGCACCAAAATCATCGATTACTCGCTAAACTGTGGGCGAGGTGAGAACGCGCTAGTTTCGGCGTGACAGTTAGTTATATCGATGTATCGATAGTTTTAAGCCTCGCCAACCGAACCAATGTTTATTGTTATAAAATAAATGTTAAAAATAAACAATTAATCACTTGATACAAAACATAAACTAGTGCAAACAGCAAGTGCGTTGTAAAAACGACCCCCGCACCCCGATCTTACCTCATCGCGGGCACTAATAAAAGCTAAACAACAACGTCAACAGCAGCAGCAACAACAATAAGCAGGAGGTTCAGATTCGCAACGCAATCAAAAAAAAACGAAAAAAAACTACAAGGCGAAACGCATAAATAAATAGGGAAACAAATAATAGTAATAATAAGACTAAAGGCAAGTGGAAAAGTACGAAAGCGAAAAGAGAAAACATATGTACGTTGCGTGAGAGTGACGTTTGTGTGTGTGTGTGCGTGTGAGAGAAAGAGAGCGAGCGCGAGAGAGGGGTGGAGAGAAGAGGAAAAACAAAAACAACAGCACAGCATAAGCGAGACCTTGAAAACTTTAAAAGCAGCAGCAAAAACAACAACAACAAAAAGCACAAAATACAACAAGCTCGAAATATAAAAACAAAATATTTTAACAAAAAAAAACAAAATAAATAGATTTTTATAAAAAATTTCTCGAGGAGCGCAGCGTATACTCTGTTATGGAGAGTGACGATTTTCATTTACCGCAAAGCGCCAATTAAAGGGTAAAATCCATAAAAGCGAGGATTGTAAGAGGAAAAGCGGGGCAAAGAAGGTCCGGAAAAGCGCTGGAAAACCTGGAAAATGGCAGCAGCAGAGGCGGGCAACACGAACTCCACAGGCGCGACAGGATCAGGATCTGGCAGCTCCTCGGATCCTGCCAATGGCCGGGAGGCACGCAATCTCGCCGAGAAACAGCGGCGGGACAAGCTAAATGCCAGCATCCAGGAGCTGGCCACCATGGTGCCTCATGCAGCGGAATCCTCCCGCCGCCTGGACAAAACCGCCGTCCTCAGATTCGCCACCCATGGCCTGAGACTGCAGTATGTCTTTGGCAAATCGGCCTCGCGGCGACGTAGAAAACCCATACTAAAGGGCAGCGGGTCAAGCGCCTCGCCTGCCGGAGATCTCCCCAATCCCAGTCTGCATCTCACGGACACTCTAATGCAACTGCTGGACAGCTGTTTCCTCACCCTCACCTGCAGTGGCCAAATCGTTTTGGTCTCGTCCAGCGTGGAGCAGCTATTGGGCCACTGTCAGTCCGATTTGTATGGCCAGAATCTGCTGCAGATCACCCATCCCGACGATCAGGCTCTGCTGCGCCAACAACTGATACCCCGGGACATAGAGACCCTGTTCTACCAGCAGCAGCAGCAGCAGCAGGGGCATAATCCTCAGCAGCACTCCACATCCACTTCGGCCTCAGCTTCGGGCAGTGATCTGGAGGAGGAGGAAATGGAGACGGATGAGCTGCGTCTAGACCAAGAGGAGAATCAGCAGCAGCAGAAGGAGGAGGATGAGGAGGACGAGCACAATCGACCGTATAACCGACGCACGCCCAGTCCGCGGAGCATTGCCCATCTGGCGGCCATCGATGAACGGCTGCGCACCGACCGCCGCTGCTTCACTGTCCGTTTGGCCAGGGCATCCACACGAGCGGAGGCCACACGGCACTACGAGCTGGTCAAGATCGATGGCTGCTTTCGCCGCAGCGATTCCTCGCTGACCGGCGGAGCTGCGGCCAACTATCCCATTGTCTCGCAGTTGATACGCCGCTCGAGGAACAACAATATGCTGGCCGCGGCTGCAGCGGTGGCTGCGGAAGCGGCGACAGTGCCGCCCCAGCACGATGCCATTGCCCAGGCGGCACTGCACGGCATCAGTGGCAACGACATTGTCCTGGTGGCCATGGCCCGGGTGCTGCGCGAGGAGCGACCGACCGAGGAGACGGAACCGATCGGCATGACCTTCTACAGGCAGCCAGAACCCTACCAGTTGGAGTACCATACAAGGCATCTAATCGACGGCAAAATCATCGACTGTGATCAGAGGATTGGCCTGGTGGCGGGCTACATGAAGGACGAGGTGAGTGCCCGCATAATCTTCCCTTTCCAGATGCTTACTTATCATGTTCTAATTCATGTTAACCCGTAAAACAGGTGCGCAACCTTAGTCCCTTCTGCTTTATGCACCTGGACGACGTGCGCTGGGTGATTGTGGCCCTGCGGCAGATGTACGACTGCAACAGCGACTACGGCGAGAGCTGCTACCGCCTGCTGTCAAGGAACGGACGCTTCATCTACCTGCACACCAAGGGCTTTCTGGAGATCGATCGTGGCAGCAACAAGGTGCACTCCTTTCTGTGCGTCAACACGCTGCTCGACGAGGAGGCCGGCCGGCAAAAGGTTCAGGAGATGAAGGAGAAGTTCTCGACAATCATCAAGGCGGAGATGCCCACGCAGAGCAGCAGTCCGGACCTGCCCGCCTCGCAGGCACCACAGCAGCTGGAGCGGATTGTCCTCTATCTGATAGAGAATCTGCAAAAGAGTGTGGATTCGGGTGATACGAGTGCAAGTGCAAGTGCGAGTGCGAGTGCAGGGGGACAGTCGTTGGAGAGTCTGATGGACGATGGCTACAGCTCGCCGGCGAATACGTTTACGCTTGAGGAAATGGCTCCGTCGCCAACGCCTACCTTGGCACTGGTGCCGCCGGCTCCATCGTCGGTGAAGAGCTCCATCTCCAAGTCGGTGAGTGTGGTCAATGTCACGGCGGCCAGGAAGTTTCAGCAGGAGCAACAGAAGCAGCGCGATCGGGACAGGGAGTTGCTGAAGGAGCGCACTACTCACTCTCAGCAGGGAGTGATCCGGCAATTGAGCAGCTGCCTCAGCGAGGCGGAAACTGCATCCTGCACTCTCTCACCGGCCAGTAGTTTGAGTGCCGGCGAAGCGCCCGATACGCCCGATCCGCACAGCAATACGCCGCCGCCGCCACAGCCACCGCCGCTCCATACACGTCCCAGTGTCCTGCACAGAACCTTGACCAGCACGCTGCGATGACGGGCTGATGGATTCCGGTTTGCCTTCAAAAATGGGTGTGGATTGGACGCCATTAAGTAGCCCACATTGCTCAGATAATCATCATCAGTGATATAATCGAAGCCAATCGCAAGTGAAGCCTCAAAATGTATCGGCAAAGCGCACATTAATCAGATACCTTGAAATTCATTCATTTGACTTGTAGTTTGTGATCCAAAGTTCATTTGATAGGGTTCGAGCTTGTAAAAATGGAGCGTTTGCTCCTTAAAATCAGCCAAAAACATGTGGTTCTTAGAACCCCATTTATAAAACCCATTTTAAGAATGCATTATTTAAAATTTTAAACAATTGTTTATACAATTGGACAACATTTAAGTATTTAATTACTTGTAATTAAGCTTGTAATCAAGCAAGTCTGTAATTTGATGTGGAAATTCCCGCCAATTCTGGTTTCTTATACATTTTAACTTGTTCAATATGGATTCTTTATTATATTCCAAACAAAACACTTATGTTTATATTATATTAACATTTGTTAAAATGGTTTCTTAATGGTTAAATGTGAAGAAAAAGCCAAATCAAGGGGCATTCATTTTGAGATTATGGCAATAATAATCATCTGATCACGATGATCGTTAGAAAGTTGCTTCAACTGATTAATGGTAAAGATACATTTTGGGCATTGGCTATCACTGGTTTTACAAGCGAAATCGATTCAAAACAATTCGATAATGTGTTATGTTGAGCGTCGATCGGTGTGTGCTGCTAAATGCGTTCCATAATCAGTAATCTTTGTTATGTAATTTCATTTTAATTTGTAAATATGTATGCGCGTGTGTGAGCGGCAGTGAGTGTGTGTGCATGAGTGTGTTTCAAAATTAGATCAGTGCTCGGCTTTAATTTTAGTTGAATTCTATACCCCATATCCCAGTTATCAATCCCCCTTCCCGCGTCCCGCACACCAGTGTAAAAAGAGTACAAAAACAGAAAACAAACAATTATATATTTATTTTGCTCTAAGTCTAAATCACGCTAGAAAACAACTCATTAATAGTTAAACGGATTTTGCAATCGATGGAAATTAAACGCTCTATTTTTTTTTTTGCCGTCTCAGTCGAAGAGAGTGAGAGGGTCACATACAGTCGAACTTCTCTAAATTGAACTTTTTGGACACCTGAAAATCTGGTTTATTGTTATATTGAGTTCAAAAATGTGTTCATATTTTCGGAATTTCTATATAAAATGTTTTAAAGTGTCGCTGTATTGTGTTCAAAATCATGTTGCTATTTTTTAATTGTAATTAGCAAAATATTTTTAATACCTTTTTTTTTTTAAGGAAGGCCCTCATTAGTTTGCATACAAAATTCCCCAATGTAAACATTGTTTAAAATGTTCAAGGTTGAAAATCAAAATTAAGAAAGTTAATTATTAGACCAAATTGAAAACTAGAAATATCCAAATTGGGAATGCCAAAAATCTTTAAAAAAAATAGTTATATACATATATGTATATATAAAGTATAGTTTTTTTTTAATATTTGTTAAAAGTTCTTAAAACTATAACTAATTAGTCCAAATCGTGAATCTTAAGTGAAGAGAGAGTTCGACTTAGGAAAGTTTGACTGTAGCTCAATACTCACTTTGCCAGAGAGGGAGCGAGAGATCATCTCGTCCCGCTCTGACCTGTTATCAAAGCCTTTGCCATCGTCCTTGGAGTTGAGTTCTTATCACCGGCGTATCGGAGGGAATATATTATTTTTTTTTTTTTTGGGAATGTAGTTCTAGGGGTAATTTTGATTTCGGTGGGTGGGAGCGTGTCGGGCGGTGGTGGGCTGAGTGGGGGGCCACGTTTCGTTATTATATATTTTGTTCAATAGCGAAATTCTTCTAGCTATAAACCTATGCATATGTATATTATTAAATTTTTGTTTAGCTCAATTTTTGTTTGTATTTTTAATTATTATTCGGTTTGTCTAGTGTGTAATTCAATTAAAAGTCTATTGCTAATTTCCCAGCGAATGGTTTAGTGTTTGTTCAAACGAGTTGTGCTCTTTAAACACTTTTGGTTTATCCGTCTTTTAACTTTTATTTGTTTTTCCTTGCGTTGTTATTTGCCTAAAAAAAAAAGAAAGCAAAAGAAAATTTGTGTCGTTTTTTGTTTAGTTATTTAGCTTTAAGTGTAACGTCATATGTCAAGCGGTTAATCTACGTAAGAATAATAATGTGTAATGTTTTTTTTAGAGCTTGCTAAAATCTAGCAATTAAAATATAGCCTGTAATTAACAATAATTAATTATAATAATCAGTAACAGTTCATGCAAATGAAACGTTAATAAATAATAAATTATAAAAATGAAAGTTTTTTATTGGTTGAAAAATAAGAAAAAAATCTGTAAACTACGCCCACGTACATATCAAATTGTGTATATTAGTTTTGAATTAATTTCACCGCCAATTGGAACCGGTGATCAGCAATTGCTGACGACGAGTTCCAATTGGAACGGTCACCTGGCGAATAGTAATGTTCGTTAGAAGAGTGCAGCTAGCTATACTAATGTTTTAAATTTATTTTGACGCACTTGTAAGCGAATAAACTTAGAATTCACTTAGAATTAAATAAATATTTCCTATATTCAGGAACACAATGTAAAAAAATTACAAAGCATTTGTCATATAATAGGACTATTATTCAATCGATTTTCTTTAAAAAAAACCTATGGTTTTTGTTTTTATTGGTTATTTTATTACAAAACATGTTTAGTACTATATTTTTTTTCTGAACGAATTACAAATTTAAGTAGATTACCCCATTGGATTTTGGAAGCGAAATTATCTTAACTTAATATATTTTATTGTGTTGTTGGGATACGTAAATTTTTAAATAATGCATAGCAGTTGGAAAAATATAACGAAAAAGCTCGTTTTAAATTAGCGCGCGCTTCGGCGGCAAATTCCGATGCTAACAGAAATGTTAAGTCATCGTTTTTCTAACAGAAATGAGTGGACAGTTCTGTGACAGCCCACTGTTATCGATACCACCGATCGATATTTTGAAAACATCGATGACATCCCGATATCCCCCGCCTATCGACTGTCGGCCAGCTCCAGCTGCGTGCCGTGCGAACGGGAGACATAACGGGAGTGGAGCAGCTGTTGCTTGCTGATTGGGAAATTAAACACACAAAAACACGAAATTTGTGAGTTTCGTGTGGAGTTTGGCCAAGTGAAAAGAGAGTAGCTCTTGCGGCGCCACAACAAATCACACGCAGTTGCGACACGATACACTTGACTCCACCGCCGCACTCCAACAAAGTTTTTGTGACACAATCGGGGAACTCACAGCAGTGCGACAGAGACGGGGCGAGCGGGCTAGCGAGGGGCAACTCAAGAGTTCAAAATTTTCAGTTAAATTCCGTCGTTCGAAAGACACACAAAAAGTGATGCAAATGCAGAATGCCGCAAATGCAGAGTGACGAAGAAGCGATGCAAGTGTCCACGGTGCGCCTGCCCATTGTGGGCATGACCTGCCAGTCGTGCGTGCGCAACATTCAGGAGCACATTGGCCAAAAGTCCGGCATCCTGGACATACGCGTCATCCTGGAGGAGCAGGCGGGCTACATCGACTACGACCCACGCCAGACGGACCCCGTCCGGATAGCCAGCGATATCGACGACATGGGCTTCGAGTGCAGTTATCCAGAACCAATCCCCGCCAGCGGCGCCTGGACGAACATCCGGGTGGTGGGCATGACCTGCCAGTCGTGCGTGCGCAACATCGAGGGCAACATCGGCACCAAGCCGGGCATCCATTCGATAGAGGTGCAGCTGGCGGCGAAGAATGCCCGCGTCCAATACGATCCCGCCCAGTATGATCCCGCCCAGATAGCCGAGCTCATCGACGACATGGGCTTCGAGGCGTCCGTGCAGGACGGCCAGCCAAGTCGATCGCCCACACCCGCCTCGTCGCCCAAAAAGAGGAGCACATCTCCCCCACATCCGGCTCAGAATGGTTCGACCGTGGCCATTCCCGTGGAGCAGGAGTTCCTGACCAAGTGCTTCCTGCACATTCGAGGCATGACCTGCGCCAGCTGTGTGGCCGCCATCGAGAAGCACTGCAAGAAGATCTACGGCCTGGACAGCATTCTGGTGGCCCTGCTCGCGGCCAAGGCGGAGGTCAAATTCAATGCAAATGTCGTTACGGCGGAGAATATTGCGAAATCCATCACGGAGCTGGGCTTCCCCACCGAACTCATCGATGAGCCGGACAACGGCGAGGCCGAGGTGGAGCTGGAGATCATGGGCATGACCTGCGCCTCCTGTGTCAACAAGATCGAGAGTCATGTGCTTAAAATAAAGGGCGTGACCACCGCCTCCGTTACACTGCTAACCAAAAGAGGTGAGTTCAAGCACAATTCGAGTAAAACTAGTTTATATATTAATAAATAGGCATGGCTTACTAATTTTCTTTTTAATTTTAAATTACATTTATTGTCTACTTCTTTTTTTAAACAAATTAAAATTTAATAATTTATAAATATCTCAAATTCAAATTAGTATACACCAAACGTTACCTTAAAAATACATTTGATTCTGAAAAGACTTTTATTAAATTATTAATAATATATAAATATAAATTTCAAACAAATAGAAACAAAAAAATGTATTGTTTATCCAGTATTGAATGCAATTTGTTCTCTGCTTTGTCCTGTAAATAATAAGTACATATTGGCACAATCTCTGGTTCAATTGTTAGTAGTTGTTATCCATAAACACATTATATTTATGTAGTTATCGGACTATTTGAAATCGCGGACGGGGTCACATACTGAAATCGGGAATCTAGCATTCCACAAGTGCAAATGACAAGTGTTACGCAATATTTAGAGTAAACGCCTCGAACCAGGCCATCAACCGAGGTGCACCTGTTGCGGTTTGCTTTCACCCAACGCCCACAACTGGCGGGAAATTCCGATTAAATTCGATCCGATTTCTTGTATACCCTTGAACTTAAGGTACAAAATAGTGCAAACATTTCACATTTTTTTCCAGGCAAAGTCACTTCCTGTTAAAATGTACTTTAATTAGTGGAAATTATAGGCCACATTTGAGTCTGTTGTGAAAAAGATCCATATCCTATCATGAGTAACCATAACATTATAAGATATATACAGATATCATCCTATGCTTATAAATTATTATGTAAATATCCTCTTTAAGGGTATTTAAAAGGTTGTCCCATACTATTTTTTTTTATATATTTTTTGGGAATCAACAGATGTTTCTTTATTAACCTCTTAACATCGAAATCGGCGCAAAAGTTTCTTTTTTGTTCGCTTTTTACAATTGAAAACTTGCCTGGCAATTGTTTATTGTAACTGATATACTCGGTTTACTTTATGCTCTGTGGAGACTGGGGGATTATATTTTGGGAAGGGTGGGAGTGGAAGTGGGAGGTTCCCAGCGATAAGGAAGTACCCGGGGGCAGTACGAGGAACACTATGCTTCGAGCAAACAATGGCAATGGCAACTAGATTAAAGTGCTTAGATCTGCGCTCGTGTGCGTGGGGCAGTAAAGTTATCTGGAACAGTCAGGGAATTTAATGGGGGTTAGAAAGTGATTATGCATAAATGCACTTATGCCAAAACTAAAGGCAAAATACCCTACATTATGTTTTAAAGTTTAAATTAGAAATATAATCGTATATTTGTCAAATATGTATAAAAAAAATTGTTTTTTCTTACTATTTTGAAATTACTTTTTTTTTTATCATGAATATCATTTTATTCTGTATCGTTAATTTAAATCAAAAAACTAGGATTTAAAAGACTATGTGGACAGCAAATGTAACAACTTGAATCGAAATGTATTTTAAATATGTAATTTCGGCAGACAGTTGAATAATTTTTGCAAGTGTTCAGGAAGAACCACATTATATTAGTTAAAAGAAAGAGAGTGGGATCAAAAATAGATTGCAGGCCAAAGAACAAAAGACAGCGTGTGTGTGATTGTTGAGGCTTTGTTTTCATAAACTTTTGATTGCCAATCGAGTTATTGACAGGGTCTTACCTACCAACTGGCATTTAAGCCTTGAAACTGAAAGTCCGCCTGGCCAAAAACTACAAAATCAAAACCAAAACAAAAGTGAGAGCTCAAATACACGCCCCGAAGTGTGTATGTCTAAGTGTGTATGTATACAAATATATACCCACGATCGCAGGCAGCAACTGTGGAATTAATCTCGCTTTTGTCTGGAAAGAGGGAGCCCGCTCTCTTTTTTTTTATGTTTCTCTCCCTGCTCCGCATGCGTGACCACGAACTCCAATCCAAATCCACTTTTTACACAGAAAAAAAAAATGTATGTATAGTTCCAGTAGGTTGAATTAATTATATTTTATTTTTAAAAATATATATATATATATCACTATTTTATGTTTAACTTAACAACTTATAATTTAGACTGCTTCTGCAAAATAATATAGTAATATTGATTGTTCAAATGGTTGCTTTATTAAATTTTATTAAATTCTAATTGTTTTTTATTCGGAACCAATATATTTGTAAATTTAAAAACAGAAACAACATTTACAAAATCTAAAATACATTGATATAATTAACATATTCTGAACACGTTAATATGTAAATCTATAAATAAGTAGCAACCTTTTTTTTTGCTTATATAAAAGATATTTTAATCTATAAAATACTGGTTTATTTCAAATAGCCTTGTGTATTTTTTCTATGTGCATTTCCAGTTTCATTCACCTTCACTTTGGGTTAGAGTTGTGCTATTTATTTTATTTTTTTTTGGGTTGTTTATTTATATCTGCTCTTGTCGCGCAGATCTTGATTTGAAATTAGTTGCGAATTATGCAATAAAATGCGCTCTAATGCTTGATCACACATTGGTTTTAAATTCTTGCTGATTCAGGGTAATCCGTTTGCATACCCTGGATTTACTTTGCGTACGTGCAGCAAAAACAAAAATGCATTAATGAGAGCTCATAATTATGATTGCAATAAAACTGGTTTTGGTTTCAGTTTGCCTGCCTTTTGCGCTTTTTTCGCGTCTGACATGAATAAGCGCACGGCGGTGAAAAGTAAATGAAACTATTTGTACAATATGGCACTGAAAATACTTTTCATTTAATTAATATAAAATTATGACCTAATGCGAATGTCAATCAGTTGCAAGATAAGATATAGGAAATTGTGTAAAATTTGTAAACAGCTGTGTAGAAAACGAAATCTCAATTTCTAACTAGCGCTTTATATTAAACATTATACTAAGAATAAATAAAAATCAAATAGTTTTGGGTTTTATAATTATTTGAAGAATGACATGTCAAACTTTAATTCCGAAGGTACATTAAATCATTTTCAACTGGAATGTTTAAAATTTTGTATATTTTTTAATATATTCTTCAGTAAAATGAAATATAAATGTATTGTATAATATTATAATATTTTATTTTTTTTTTTATATATATTTTAACCCTTTCTTTTTACTACAAAAAGTAACATATAAATCAAATTAAAAGTCTCTTAAAAAAGGACTATTGCCATATGGATTAGTTAAATTACCTACTGCTCCTTATCTTTGCATCAATTAGCACTTAGACTTCAAATTCGGACTTCCATTAACTCCCATTAAATTAGTTATACTTGTAGTTTCTCATTTGTTACCGGCACTTCTGCTTGTTAGCTTGTTTTTAGGTTTGTTTGCCAGATCGGTAGTCGGAATTGGGTGTGTAAACTGTTGAACAAAACATATGTTTTCTTCCGATTCTTATCGTCCGGCGATAAGTGCACGACAGCAACAACTATAGGCAATCTCAATTCTCAATTCAATTTGAAAATGTTCTAAAATTGTAACAACGAATCGCGGGCGATAAGATGCAGTCAGCGAGCAAACCAAACAAAAAAAATGGAACAGAATAGAGAGCCCTAGAAAAAGTAAATCGACTACAGTAGAACCTTAATAAATGAAAAATTAATATAAATATTATCATGATAGAAAGAAAGAAATTGCTTTTCTTTAAAACAAAGGAAAGAATTTTCATAGAATTCCCTCTTTTTCATTAGAATTTGGAATGAACACACGCACACGACCCGCACATAATTTATCAATTGCAAAAATTGGGCGAAGATCGATCGATACCATCAATAATTAGCGGCAATTGTCACCCTTCGTGTGATCAAGGCATTATGCCATCCTAATCCCTCCTCGATTTTGCACACGACCCGTTTGAAATCCACTTGATGACCCGCTAATTGAACGATAAAAAAAATGCCTGAACGATATCATGTGTTTTGCCAACTTTTTCCCTTTGTGTCCTAAGTGATTCACCCGGTATTTACATAAATATATATATATATATATGTGGATAAGATTATTTCAATTGAAGTTTTATGAACCTATCAGTAAGAAATGTCTTTAATGACCTTATTTCTGGTAATAATTTTTATTTTATAATAGGGGTGATAAATACAATTATGTTACGTTGTCGTAGGGGATTTCACTCGGTCATAACAAAACTTTTTGCTTTCTATGATGAATAGTATACTATAGTCTACTGGCTGCTAATAAATTATTTCGTTTACAAACCGCAGTCCTACTCTAAATGTAAATTTGCCTAGTTACTCATAAAACAAGATTTCAAATAAAACAGACTCATCTTTTGTTATTTTTCTCACGTCTGATAAGAATGTTGTTTAATGTTGATTACAATGAATAGGGTTCCAAATGTGACTACTTTTGATATTTATAGACATAAAGTTTTGTTTGTGATTGACATTGCACCTCTTCACCTTATTTATAATTTGTATATAAATGTTGTCCTATATATAAACTTACCAAAAAAGTTATAGAATACTTAATAATGATTCTATTAAAATTTTGCAAAATATAAAAAAAAAATGTAAGCTATTAGCTACCATTTATAAAGATAAATGCATTCAAAGTTCTAATGGATGTGCCATGAACACAATTTATGCGTGTCATGGGCGTCGGTTACTTGCTTATCAATGGAAATGGAACGTGTTAGCGCCTTGCCTTATTCCCCGTCATCAGAATCGAATAATGAACTGTGTCTGATTCCGTAATTTTCTCGGATCGGATACGGAGAATAGAACAGTAACCTTCTGAGGGGAAAAACATACACAACAGATGGCCATAGTATCAGAAATTTGTAGTTGTTGGGCAACCGGTGACATGCTAATAATCAGGAACTGCTCCAATTTGGTTTCAGCATTCGGCAAAAGTTAAAAAGTTATCTTATCGGGAGCGATGAACCTACAGCAACAGCAGCGATATTTTGCCCCCAAGATTCCGGCTGCTTTTAAGCCTTACGGATTTTATTTAATTCACCAGCATGCGATAGTTTTAGCATATCTATTTGGAAGTGAAAAACTTTAAGCTCATTATCCCTTTTAAAATCGTGACTACTTCGGAGTAAAATACACTTGATTGAAAGATACTTATTTTATAACCTTTAAAAAGTAAAATTTATGAAAAAAAAACAAATTTTTATTTAGCAATTTATTTTTTTTTAAAACAATACAAAAAAGTCAATCTCTAAAAAAACGGAAAATGTTTTTATATACTAAGCAACTATTTTTAAACTAATAAATATTAAATATTTCTTCTAAACATTTTGTTAGATTTTTTTTAAGTATAAAATATTTAAATGGACGTCCCTTACACATTCATGCTTGTTAAAACTATTCATCCATTGCGAATAGATTTTGCAATCGAGTCCATTGGAATCTGTCGCCATCGAACCGGTTGCATGCTCCAATTTCAATACTAGAACCGGCATTATTTTCCAGTCATTTACGTGCACAAACAAATATCAACCTCTGAAGCTTCCCTCTTCGTCAGAAACCCCTTTTATATATACACAACATATATATATATACATATGTATGTCTGCCTTTCGCCTATACAATTTTCTCTGGGGTATAAGTAAAGCACAGAAGTGGCCATAAAAGTGATAACAACAGCCAGAAACTGTGATGAAATTGATATGAAAGTGGGATATATCATTATTTGCCAAGTAAATAGGTGTATATAAATGAAAACCTCATTCTGAATAAATCAAGAAATGTGTTTTTCTAAGAATGGGTTAATAAAACGCAATAAGGCTTTTTCAAGTTTTGGAAAAATCTTTTTCAAATACAGAAATGCATATTTTTGTTCATAGTTTGACTTAGTCAAATCTCTTATTTGTAACTCTAAAATGTTTAGTTTACTTCCTCAATAATCTGCATTAAAATACTTGTTATTCATTTCAGGTAGACTAATCCATTTTTAATGACTGCTTCTGCAGATTAATCAAATCGAACTTTAAAATTGTAGACTTGTTAGATTATAACCATTATTATCAGCATGCACCGCTCAATTGTAATTGGCTTTCCCTTTTTTCAACTTCATTGACCGCCACTGTAGACTGAATCCTCTGTGAATATTTACTGGCAATTGAAAGCAGCTTTCTCCATTTTTTATGACTGGTTCTGTAATCTTTACACATAGAACGAGTCCGGTTTAAAAGTCTAACACTGTAGTTAAACTTGCTTTGATTAAAAAGCAATAATTAACAAAATTATGTTAAACTTACAAATTAGATATGCTTTTTTAAAATGTTTTGATTTATTAATCAATCATCTATATTTACTACTTTTGTTATTTTTTTTTAATGATTTTGTAAATGCATTTAAATTTTGCAAAATTAAATTTAAAAAAAAGTTTTTATTATTTAAAATAAATTTAATAATATATAAATGTACGATTTAACCACTGATATTTGTATATTATATTTTTTATATTAATATAATTTATATAATATTTTAATATAACATTTTTATATAATGAAGACATGAAACTAAGACAGACTCCTCTCAATGATCTTGTGTTTTAGGTAAATTCCGCTACAGCACTGAGGACACGGGGCCGCGGAGCATCTGCGAGGCAATCGAGGGACTGGGCTTCGAGGCCAAGCTGATGACGGGACGGGACAAGATGGCCCACAGCTATCTGGAGCACAAGGAGGAGATCCGGAAGTGGCGCAACGCCTTCCTCGTCTCGCTGATCTTCGGCGGACCCTGCATGGTGGCCATGATCTACTTCATGCTGGAGATGAACGACAAGGGGCATGCGAACATGTGCTGCATTGTGCCCGGCCTGTCGATGGAGAATCTGGTGATGTTCCTGCTCTCCACACCCGTGCAATTCTTCGGTGGCTTCCACTTCTACGTGCAGTCGTATCGGGCGATCAAGCACGGCACCACAAACATGGACGTACTGATCTCGATGGTCACGACCATATCGTATGTGTACTCCGTGGCGGTGGTGATCGCATCCGTACTGCTCGAGCAGAACAGCTCGCCACTGACCTTCTTCGACACGCCGCCCATGCTGCTGATCTTCATTTCGCTTGGCCGCTGGCTGGAGCACATTGCCAAGGGCAAAACCTCGGAGGCACTGTCCAAATTGCTGTCCCTCAAGGCGGCCGATGCCCTGCTGGTGGAGATCTCGCCGGACTTCGATATCATCAGCGAGAAGGTGATATCCGTGGACTATGTGCAGCGTGGCGACATCCTGAAGGTGATACCGGGCGCCAAGGTTCCCGTGGACGGCAAGGTTCTCTACGGCCATTCCAGTTGCGATGAATCGCTGATCACCGGCGAATCCATGCCGGTGGCAAAGCGAATGGGTTCCGTGGTCATCGGCGGATCCATCAACCAGAACGGAGTGCTCCTGGTGGAGGCCACGCACACGGGTGAGAACACAACGCTGGCGCAGATTGTGCGCTTGGTGGAGGAGGCGCAGACCAGTAAGGCGCCCATACAGCAGCTGGCCGATCGGATCGCCGGCTACTTTGTGCCCTTCGTCGTGGTGGTGTCCAGCATTACGCTGATTGCCTGGATCATCATTGGCTTTGCCAATCCCAATCTGGTGCCCGTGGCCATGGAGCATAAGATGCACATGGACCAGAACACTATTATCGTCAGTTATGCCTTCAAGTGCGCCCTCAGTGTGCTGGCCATTGCGTGTCCCTGTGCCCTCGGCCTGGCCACGCCCACCGCCGTCATGGTGGCCACCGGAACGGGAGCCATCAATGGCGTCCTGGTGAAGGGTGCCACCGCCCTGGAGAATGCCCATAAGGTGAGATGGTATCTGCTAACTTATACCTTACTACTTATAATTAGCAAAATGTGCTACTTTTTATCTTACTTAGGTATCCAAATGTAACTTGGAAAAAAGCTAAGCTAGGAATTTAGACACTTTTTTTAGCTGAATTATTTATTCTTTCTTTTACTATCCTAGTGCTTCAAGAGAATCTTATATTCAATGCACTAGTCTCGAATATTTGTATTTATCTTTATATTCGACTTAGCTTGATATCACTTAATTCAGTTTTGTTTTGTTTAAAATACAAATGCAATGCAACGTTTATCTGAGATTTGTCTAAATAAAAATCTGAAATAATGATTGTTTGAGATTTATACAAATAAAAATCTCTAAAAATGGATTGTTTTACAATTTTATAAATAAATAAATAAATAAAATATAAATAAAAATCTCAATTAACTATAGTTTCGGAGTTAAAAAAAAGGCCAACTAATGATTGATAAGTTTTATTTATAATTATTTATTTCGTATATATCCGTATAAAAATATATAAATTCCACTGTAAAGTCAAGACTTTTGATTAGATATGCACCTAATATGTATGTATTCATGTTTCTTTTTAAATATTTTCATAATCAGACATAAACAAATTTTAATTGAAAATTGAATGTATCTTTATGTACCTTTTACCCTGGCTAGGATACTTGGAAAGTTGTGTACCTTTTACTTTACCTAAGGTGCAAGTACTCAAAACCTTAATTCGTAGTTCCCAATAACTTGTATATTACTTAACACACTGCTCATAATTTATATTTACTGCAATTGCTTATATTAATATGCCATACCCTGCCGTTCTAGGTGAAGACTGTGGTCTTTGACAAGACGGGCACCATCACCCACGGCACTCCGATGACCAGCAAGGTCACCCTCTTCGTCCCAGCCCAAGTCTGCAGCCTGGCTCGAGCATTGACGATTGTGGGAGCCGCCGAACAGAACAGCGAGCATCCGATCGCCTCCGCCATTGTGCACTTCGCCAAGGAAATGCTGAATGTGGGCGCCACTCCGCAGGCGGGTAGCTTTGGCAAGAGCAGCCATTTCCAGGCCGTGCCTGGATGTGGCATCCGCGTGACCGTCTCCAATTACGAGCAAACCCTGCGACAGGCCTGCAACGCCGAACGGATCATCAACTACGAAAACCTGCATCGCGACCATCCGCAGGGATCGGTGTCCCTGGACAATGGAGCCAGCATCGAGCACTTGCTGCCGCAGCACAGCGTTCGCAAATCCATGGAGTTGAACCACCAGCAGTTGCTCTCCGACTTGGTCTTGGAACAGGAAGAGGAGCAGCAGCAGCAGCAGTTTGCTGCCACCGACCAGAAACTGATCGATGGCCCGGAGATACTGGTGCTCATCGGTAACCGGGAGTGGATGCAGCGCAACGCCATCGAGGTGCCGCTCGAGATCAGCGATTGCATGACACACGAGGAGCGAAAGGGACACACCGCGGTGCTTTGCGCCCTCAACGGGCAGCTGGTGTGCATGTTCGCCGTGTCCGACATGGTCAAACCAGAGGCCCATCTCGCCGTCTACACTCTCAAGCGGATGGGCATCGATGTGGTGCTGCTCACGGGCGATAACAAGAACACGGCTGCCAGCATAGCTCGAGAGGTGGGTGCTTTGGCTTTAAAAAAAACCCTGTAATCGTAGAGTAAAAGTCTTTCTGACCCTGTAAATTATATATATTCTTGATTATTGTCAATATCCATGTCCATCTGTATAACCCTGGAGATCTGTGAAACTATAAAAGTCAGAGATTTGGGATTTAAAATGCAGATTCTAGTTATTCTAATACTTCAAAATTTAGCAACCTACACTGTTAGCCCCCACATGTCGGGGGGACTCTGTAATGTCACTCCGAAACAGTTATTGATCTGTATATGTTCATTCGGTGAATATCTATCATCACACTAAAAATTTTCCAAATCGAACCATTCATTTAGAAGTTATTAGCAAAGTTTAAATTATGACGTCATTGCATAATTAAAGCATGGAATACTTGTATTTGAGAGAACGGAAGTGAGAGAACGAAATGTGCGCCTTTAGTGTTGACCCTGCAGTTAGACAGATTAAAAATCCTATTGTATATATATATTCATATATTTTTTGAATTATTAAGCTGAATAAGGGGCATCTAATAGTCGGTTAACCTTCTTGTTATAATAATAATATTATTATTTATTTATTTATCTATTTTATTAATGTTCTTACCCTTTTCCAACAGGTCGGCATCCGAACGGTGTACGCGGAGGTGCTGCCGTCGCACAAGGTGGCCAAGATCCAGCGGATTCAGGCCAACGGCATCCGCGTGGCCATGGTGGGCGACGGGGTGAACGACAGTCCGGCGCTGGCGCAGGCGGATGTGGGCATAACGATCGCCGCTGGCACGGATGTGGCCGCCGAGGCCTCCGACATTGTGCTGATGCGCAACGATCTGCTGGACGTGGTGGCCTGCCTGGACCTGTCCCGCTGCACGGTGCGCCGCATCCGGTACAACTTCTTCTTCGCCAGCATGTACAATCTGTTGGGCATTCCGCTGGCCAGCGGCCTGTTCGCTCCCTACGGCTTCACCCTGCTGCCGTGGATGGCATCGGTGGCCATGGCCGCCAGTTCGGTGAGCGTGGTGTGCTCCTCGCTGCTGCTGAAGATGTATCGCAAGCCGACGGCAAAGACGCTGCGTACGGCGGAGTATGAGGCGCAATTGGCGGCGGAACGGGCCGGTGGCTCGGACTACGAGCTGGACAAGCTATCGCTGCACCGTGGCCTGGACGACCTGCCCGAAAAGGGCAGGATAGCCTTCAAGCGGTCCAGCAATTCCCTGATTTCGCGCATTTTCATGCACGGCAACGGGGGCGTCACCTCGCCGGATGGCAAGCACGAGGAGGGACTGCTGGATCCCGAGGAGCAGTACGGCGGTCGCACCAAGATCGTGAGGAGTCGCTACCATGGCAGTGACAGCACCGAGCTGCAGAAGCTGTGAGCAGCTCAACGATGGCCACCAATCAACAGGCGGAACCCCAATCCAACCGAGGACCTCAACCAAACGACAAATTTTCAGTGAAATTGTTAGCGGACTTTAAAGAGAGAGCGAATTATAAAAACTATGTACATATTTGCAGATTAATTGTTTTGACAATGAATAAGTAGTTCAAGGTATATCTTTGATATATTCAATTGGATCTGATACACAAGCTAAAGACAAGGGGAAAGTATTCTCAGTATGTAAATATAGCTGAAACAGGAAATATTTTATTTATATTTTAAATATACTTTTTGAACAACTGAGATGTCCGCTTTTTGTCACATTTTCTTTCCTTTTCTTAATTTGAGTTAAACAAACTTGATTTAATGAATATATCAAAGATTGCTTAATGCGACTACTAATTCTAGAACTTTTGTTCAATGGCAAGTTTTCTATTTTTCAAAAGAACCGAAACCGCACCGTCCTCCTTTTCTACACAGCCTATTTGTTATTTTCCCATCTTTTTTTTATACAACCATTTTCTATTCCCGCTTTATTATGCTCATCATAAATACCCTTATTATTATTATTATTAATATTATTATTATTGTATACAAACGATTTTTTTTTTTGCGTTATGATCGTAAGTTAAATATTATTATTAAGTTCAACTGAACAAAGGCAAACGAGTCGCAGGCCAGGAGACAAAGCAAGACATCAACCATCATTGAACTATTGTTACTTATTGTTAATACGCATTATCATACATATATTCACACACGCAAAAGTAAAATAAATCAAAACCCAAAAGACGAAAATCGAACAATCGAACAACTGAACAACCGACCCCATATCGGCTTTAAATCCTTGTTTGTGCAATCCCAAGGGGAACAACTAATTGGGCACAAGTGTTGAACAAAGGAAACAAAAATTAAAGAAAACGATAAACATTCTTTATATGTAACATTAGTGTTTATACACAAAACGCATTGTTATTGTACATATGAATAAAACGAGAAAAACGGAGAGAGCAGAATCCCCATACTGGCAAATTGCAACGCAAGTGTTTTACTTACTTAACTGAGTAATTGATGAAGGGCAAATTTAAATCAATAATATATATATAATTCCAGTGAATTTTCAATATCGATTCCCTTCAAAAACACAGCTAGATTACTTTAAATTTTGATTTTTATTTCTGTATTAAATCAGTACGAAAGACAGACAGTGCGATCGATCATCATATATATATATATATATATATATATATATATATATATATATATATGTGGTGTTTCAATACTCCAAAATGCATTTGTCAATTGCTGCTGGTTGTGTGTGTGTGTGAGTGTGTGTGTGTGAGTGTGTGTGTGTGTGTAAAAGTTGAAACTATTAATGAAGCCACGTATTAAAATATAAGAGCAAATTTGCTGACTTGGTCAGGTGGTTACTTGTGAAATAGCTTGCATTCTGTGAAACTAATTTGCTAAACCTTTGGCTAGTTAATCAAATTCAAATTGAAACGTGGGGTTAGTGGTGAGGTAAATGAAGTAGAGGTGGTTGGGTGGGTGGGTGTTTAGGTTAGGCTGGAGCTCGGGGATCTCACGTCTCGCCAAAGGCATCCACAATGCGGGCAGCACGCGTCTGATCCTCCTCCTCCTCCGTCTCCTGTTGGCTCTTGTTGTGTGGATAGACTTCGAGGCCCTTCTTGAACTCGTTGATATCGATGATGGTGTTCTCATTTCCAGGTTCGGGCAAGAAGACCACATTCAGCTTGTTCTCGAGGGCCACAAACAGATCCTCGTCGTCGCCCTTCTCTTCGGATGAGTCCTCCTCATCCTCATCCTCATCCTCTTGGTTGTCCTTTTCAGTTTCATTGCCATCCTCAGCTTTGTTAGCGTCTCCAGCTTTCTCCGCGCCATCGCAATCGAGGTGAGAGCCGGGCAAAGGTTCCGGCATATCGGCCGGACGATGGCCAATCACCTGTACGGACAGCTTCCTCAGGCTGTTGGTATCGATGTCCAAAAGGAAATCAATGATCTCCGACTTTTGAAGCGTGCGCAGCACTTCGATTTGGCGACGTCGACGATCAAAGAGGTAATCCTCGTTGATGATCTCGTCCCAATTGCGTGACATTTCCGAGCTGAGTGCCATGTCGGCCACCAGTTTCAGCTTGATCAACGAGTCACGCGTGTGTTCGTAGTCGTCCGGCGGCAAATCGCGCAGTATTTGTAGCATTTTGGCGCGGAACATCTCGATGCGACCCTCCACATAATTGGCCGTCGTCTTTGTCTCCTGTGAGTTGACCATTATGGAGTAGCCGGCAATGCCGTAGTTGATGCGTACAGTGGCGCCCACATGATAGCCTAGCTGCTCCTTGGTCCTCAGTTGGTCGAACAGCGGTTCGTCCACGAACATCATCATCAGATCGAGGATGCTCTCGACGCGTACGGTGTTGGGTCCGATCTGATAGAAGTTCGTGATCACTGTGTTTGTATCCTGCTCGTTGAGGGCATGGCATCGGATCACATTGGTGCCCAGCGGCAATTGTATGGTCCTATCCTGCACATAGCGCTGCTCCTTGATCGCCTGGCAATTGAGGCGACTCAGCACCGAGTTCAGTACATTGTGGGCGGACTCCTCCGTGTAGTTGCCCTGGATGAGGGACTGGATGTATAGCTGCTTCGGGAACTGGCGCGCGAACTCGCGCAGATCCTCCAAAGTAATATCGTTGAGGCACTTGTACTTGTCAATCATCAGCCAGCGGATTTGCTCCAGCACACACAAACGCACATCCCTGAATGAGAGCGAGAAAGAAGTTGAATTTGTATGCGATTCGGGGGGGGAATATATTGTAGTTAGATTGTCTTACCTGTTGAGTGCCTTTGGTTTGATCAGCGTATTGAAGTAGGTCTTACGCTGGTTCTTCCGGAAGGCAGCCAGTGTATTCTCATCAAGGGTCTCCGCCACATGGAGCATGCCCTCAGCAATGGCCTCCACGATCAGATGGAGCTTCTCATTGTAGCCGCTCACCTTGAGCAGCAGTCCCTTCTCCATCGCATTGAAGGTGTACGAAAGGCCGGCACTGATGGCCGGATACAGTTCCTCGCACACATGGAACTTCACCAGCTCCTCGTACAGTGTGCACATGGCATCGCTGAAGGCAAATAAAGGGGATCAAATTAAATGAAAGTCTTAGATGCATTTCAAAATTCCCATCACTCACTTTTTGGCACTTTGTCGCTGCAGTGGCGAAATGAAATAGAAAGCCATGTGGGCCTCGGGCAAGTCGAACTTATCATCCTGACGGAACCACAGCTCGCAGGTGTCCGTCTTGAGCAGCTTCTTGGGTGCAGCGGGCACTTCCGGTTTGCCAGACGCATGCCAGAACAGTGTGAAATCCTCAGTGACAAATCTATTTGGCTCGGGCAGAAAGAGTTCGGGCAGGGGCTTCGAATCCTGCCACAGCTTGCGCCACTTCTCGGGCATCGGAATGGTGGCGTACTCCGTGCCGAACCATTCCTCCGTCTGATCGTAGGCACACACGCCCTCGTACTTGTTGCGCGAGGTGACCATCAGGTTGAATTTCATCTCGTTGAGGTGGCCGATCAGCTCCTTGAGATGCTCCTCATTGTACTCGTAGTACAGCTCCTTGCCGGTCAGAATGTCCCTCGGTGGGAAGTACTTGGAGTTCAGCACCAGCTCCTGGACATTATCGAATGCAGGTCGCTGTGCCTGGAACCGGAATCCCGTCTCCTCGATGCGCTGCTGCTCCTCGTAGACCGCCTTCATGGAACCGCAACTCGAGAAGAGCTTCACGTAGGCAAACGTGGCGGCCAGCACTTCGTCCAGATTCTTGAAACCCTCGTCCGTGAGATAAATGCATACGTTGAACAGAGCATACATGGAGTTGGTGTCAAAGCCGTTCTCCTCGATCCCAGCAATGAGATGCAGAGCCCATAGGCGGCGTCTCAGGTAGGCGCACAGGCTGCCACGCCCCTCGTAGCCCAGCAGATAGGAGAGAAACTGATCGGGCTTGCTGCGGTAATACTGGCGCACATTGGGCAGCACCCAGGTCAGCTCCAGCTTGCACTCGTTCTCCACGGGCTTCACGAAGAACACCTGCTCGTGGAACTCCGCCTTGAAGGCGTCCCTGTAGTTGAATCTGCTCAAATCCGGCGCCTGCACCTCATTGTGTGGTATCTCTGCGAAGTGGCGCACCACCAGCGATTCCAGCTCTTCGATGGGCAAGCGAGCCTGCAGGCACACATACATCCGATTGGCTCCATAGTGCTCCCTGCGGATCTCGTGCAGCACCTTGTGCAGTTCGGCATCATCCACGTTCTCCTTCAGCGACTTCATGTTGCCCCAGGCGAAGGTGCCGTGGGGGAAACCCTCGGTGGCCAAGCTGGCCAGCAACTGGTCCCGTCGCGTCTCATCATCCTGCAGGATCTGCTGGAACTCCGAGTCGACGGCGCTGCGTTCCCGCTGCATGGCCTCCTGCTTCATCAGCGGTGCCTTCATCAGCGCCGTAAAGTAGTCCAGGCTGGAGTCCAAATGCTTCTCAGCCACCTCGAAGTAGAAGAGCGTCTCCTCGCAGTCCGTGTTGGCATTGCTGAAGCCGCCGCACTTCTTGATGTGCGCATCGAAGATGTTCTCCTCCGGATACTTCTCGGAGCCCATGAAGATCATGTGCTCGAGAAAGTGTGCCAATCCCTGGTATTTCTTGGGCTCCGCAAACGAACCGTAGTCGATCATCAGGGCGCAGGCGGCCAGCTTTTCGTCACCTTCCTCGCTACCCGATTCCTCGCTGCTGACGCTATTCGCGGAACAGGATGAAATGGAATCGCTGCTGCTGCTCACCGAACTGCTGGTCGACTCCCATTCGCAGGACTTCTCCGACGAGGATTCGGAGGTGGTGAAGCCATCGTGTGGCATGGGGCTGGGATCGGAGACAATGAGGGCATGCAGGCCATTGCCCAAAAGCAGCGTCCTAAGGGGGGTGGAGTGGGATCAAATACATCATTCATTAAAGCCGAGCTTTATCTGGGTCACTAGATGGCACACACTCACTTGTACAGCTTCTTGTCCGTCTCAGACTTGTCCGGCGTGTCCAGATACTTGACCTGATGATCGGCCATCTTCCACGGCCCGTGTGCAATTGTCCGTCCGCCGGCGCTTAATTGAGTAATGGGGCTCCGACTCGGGATTCGTCCGCGTTTCGTCCGGAATGGGAATCGAAATCGCTTGAGGAGGAGCTGTGCGCTGTGTCGCTGCCAGCACATGCGGCAGTCGAGTGGGAATGCGGATCGCGCTCGCCTCAATTGGGAATTCCGGGGCGGCGGGGGGTGGAAGGACTGGATTGACTAGTTTGTCAATTTGCCAGTACAATGCGTTATTTTAATAATTAATTTTGCACCGGCACGCAGACTTTCGTAGCCTGTCGATAAACGGCAGAAGAAGACGAGGGTGGGGTGTCGTTATCGATAACGCTGACGATGGGAGGCCACGAAAAGAGATATGTCGTATATTGTTAAGTTTTAAAGTATACAAGTTATTTTTGTTTAAAATTTTACAAATCGCCTGGTGTTGCTTTCTATTACACACAAAGAGCAATGAGAGAAAAATCCTTGTCATATGGTTATATATGAAAAAAATATATGAGCCTACTAATTCTTCCATTTAGATATTTCAAAACTTTATCATAATTTATTTATAAATTAAAAAATAATAGGCTTATTGATATATAAAATAGGTTCATTAAATTCTGCAAATAAATTAATAAATGTAACTATAGTTTAAATAAATTACCAATGAAATTTAACATACTTTAAAGAGCTTACAAAATAAATTTGCGTCATATGACCGTCAGTTAGTTAGATGCGATCGAGGAACGGTGGAATCGGGAACTCTGAGGCTGTTTTTATTTTTTTAATTCTCGCTATTTAACCACTAAATCAAAAAAAAATAGATCTTTTGAACTGGAGAGATATTTTTCAGTGTGACCATCTTTTTAAAGTAAGAATGACTTTTATAAGAGATGCAAGGACAC